GCGCCTGCAACCACTCCTTCGTGTCCGGGATCACATCATCAACAGTATACGTCACGCTCTTCGCGGTTTCCTCATACGCAACACCATCGGGAGTCTCGGCCTCCTCTGCGACAGGAGCAAGGTAGTCAACAGTTGGCACCTTAGAAACGTCCCCACCGTAGGAACGCTCGAGGAGCTTCTTAACGAGGCAGGAAGTGATATTGCCAAGAAGGTCCTTGATGGGTTCGTCCTTGACTGTGGAGTACTTGACGGCAACGGGGCCTTGAAGAATGCACACACGCTGTGGGTCCTGGTCAAACACCGCTTCGATATCCTCTGCAGCCCAAAGCGAATCCTGCATTCATCCATGAGGTCAGTGAACGATCTCCGCAACGGAGGGTGTATTGATACAAACCTTCTTGAACCACACCTCAAAGCTACTGTCCAAAATCGGAATGAAAGGCGCAGGCTTCTGGCCTGCGCGCTGAGAGATGGTAAGGAAGTATGCGCGGTCCTCAGAGGCGAGCAACTGAGTCTTTGAGGCAGGATACTTGTCAAAGAACGACTCCACGAACTTGCTGGGATCGTCCAGCTCTGTGAAGCTCTGCAGCACACTGGGCTTCGACCCTCCATTGACACCTGCAAATCTCTCTTCCACGCGCCTCAACCAATCGCCCGTCAAGTTCCTCAAGCTCAAGTCGATCCACCGACTCTGATGCGAGACGTACATCAGACGGACCATGCGCAGAGCGACTTCCTCATATGTCATGTCACCCAGATCGAGGGCAACGCTCCCATCCTTCTTCCAACCGAACCACGGCTTCGCAAAGTCTGCATTCAACTTGCCGATGATCTCCGCTTTGCGCTCAGCGAGCCAAGGGTCGCGCTTCTCCTTCGGGAGCTTGAAGACGGTGTCATCAAACTCCTTCCAGAGCTTCACAGCGCGCGTGGCGACCTTGTGGATAGGTTCGCCCAGCTCTGAGCGCACCGTCAAGATCCCGCCGGTAGGCTTCGCGTACGTGTTTTCCCATTGCTTGTCGTCCACACCAGGCGCTTTAACGATGAGATCTTTCACGCTGGAGCTCGTGTGCGCTTCCTTGGCCACCATCACACGCGACGCAAATAGGAAACCGTCGAATGGCATGAGCTGCTGGCCGTAGAGGTCCTTTGACCAATCACCAGTGAGGTAAGGCCACACATCATCAGCACCTCCGAACCCGGAACCGCCGACAAGAATCAAGTTCTCCTGCGCACGCATGGCGCTGTATGTTTTCAGCACAGGCATATGGAAGTCTTCGTATGAGTGGTGACCACCGGCGCGGCCTCCCGTCCATTGAAGAATGATAGGGAAATCAGGGTTGGACTTCGCGATATTGACGACCTGCCTGATACCATCCACCGAGCCCGGCTTGAACGACACGTGCCGGATACCAGCCTTCCTCAATCCATCGATGATCTCTGCTGCTTTCTCAGTGCTGGGAATGCCGGCAGCAACACAGAAACCTTCGATAGGCAAACCCTCGCGGCGCATTTCTTGCCATAAGGGGAACTGGAAGCCGAATTGACGGGGGTTGATGTAGAGGGCGTTGAGCGTGAGACCGACGCCTGTAGGAATCTGTGCTTGAATCTCGGCAACTTTTGCACGTAGTGCTGCAGGGTTGTAGTGACCTCCACCTGCCAGCTCGATGTGGTACCCTGCAGAGAGGACCGCAGAGACAAAGCCCGCTTTCACGGTTGTGGGTGTCATACCAGCGACCATGATCGGAGGCTTCCCGAGCAGGCGCGAGAACGGCGTGTCAAGGTGGATAGTACCATCACTGTGATCTTATGTCAGAATCTGGAATGAAAAGTCACCGTCCTGGGTTGACGCACCATGTCTTCACAAGTTTTGGCGCGTATTTCTTGCTCCACCACTCCTCGTACTTGACTTCCTCAATATCAAATAGCTCTGCCTCACCGCGGCCCTTATCGCCTAGCGTGACTACGCGCACACCGCGACCTTCAAGATTACGAGCTGTGAGAGGCCCAATACCATTCAGGCCACCAGGACCAAAGTCGACGACGTGTGTCGCGGTCTCAGGGAAACCAGTTGCGAGCGTCCAGTGAATGGGGGATGTAAAGATCTGGTCGCATAACGAACGCGTGATAGATGTCTCCAAAGTGCGCATATCAGAGCCTACAACCATCAAATCAGCCAGAAACGCGTTTTGAAGTAACTGTATGCGCACCATCTTCGGTGTTGAATACTGGAATACCCAATTCTTCCTTGGTCCAAAGCTCCTCGCCTTCAAGATCTTCATCACACAACTTCTCGGCAGCACCCTTCAAATGCGCGCTGTGGTATGGGGCATTCACCACCAAAAATCGGACACCGAACGCGGGTTTGCGTTGCGAAAACGGAACCTTGCTCTGGTCAAGCCCAGAAGGTGCACGTACTTTCCTCAAGTTCGTGACGAGCCCACACAGAGAACGTGGAGGGCCAGTCACGACAAAGTTTCTGGGACCATTGAACAGGGAGACAGCGATCTGTGCATTGGCAGGTAGATGATCATTTGTAGCGTCGATATGGGGCTGCAACAGAGCGAGGGACAGGTTCGTGACCGAAAGCATGGGCGTGGGGTCACCCTCGCCTCCATCGATGCAGTCTTGAACGATGCTTGGTTCTAAGGCAAGCACAGGGAAGGCTTCCTGCCCGCGCAGACCACAAAAGAAGAGCCATCGGAGGGCTTTCTTGGCGTTGATATTAAATGATTCGATAGATGTAGACGCAGAAATGGCGATGGCAGAAACAACGCCCTGCGAATGGCCGGTTGCACCAGCGAAATGATCGCGAAGCTCGCCGGGAGTGAATCCGGAGACGTGACAGATGACGAGGTACTGCACTAGCTGTGTGAGACCGATCAAGGGAAGCGAAACTGGGATAGAGGCAAGGTATTCGACAGGGGGACGAGGAGAAGTGCCTGCAAGCCATGCCGCGACGTTCATGCCATAATTGTAAAAGCTACAACCCTGGCGGGATGCAACGAGAGGAAGGAGAATATCATTGGTGATGGACGTAATTATTGGAGAAACGTAAGGCTTGTAAATGTCGTGCAGCGACTGAAGCTCGTCAAAGTAGACCTCGTTGGTCCCTTGACCACCAAAAAGCGCATATATTGATGCTTCAGTGTCATCAACAGCTGTGAGAAGAGCAGAAGCAGGTGGACCTGGGATGTCTGCAATATTATGGTTCTCTAGGGTAGCACGTGCAGTAAAGTAAGCTGCAAGGATTCCAGTGCGGACCTCGGTATCGAACGGGTTTACGAAAGAGAAGACGTCGGTATCGGTAAGATATGAGGAGACGAAATGCGTGAACACGCGATTGAGCAGGGAGGTGCGTGTCTTTGTGCAGTCTGATGCATCGGAAGTCCTCTGTGCAATGAAAGCGAGGAAACGTGCAAAGAGATCTACATAGGCCTGTAATGGGAGCTCTGGGTTAGCGACGGTGTCTACGACATCGACGTGTTGCTGTGACGAGATGAAGTCATCTCTAAGGACTTCAGCAGCGATCCACTCGTCTATTTGGGTAGAGACGGGAATGGAGACCTAAAAAGCCAGTTTAAACAAGGGATGGATGTGACAAAAAAATGACGCGTACTCTAACATTTGCGATGGATATTACTAGTGGACGAGTAGCAAACTGGTTTTCGTGAACGGCGTCGCCGTTCTGGACAGACATTTTGGAGAGATGATGGACGTCAAGAACGACGTACGGGAGAGGACTGAAAGAAGGGGAACGGGTTCAGAGTTTACTTTATATGCCTAGTCCCCAGTGTATTTTAGATTATCCCAATTTTTTTGGTTTCAGGCGTCAACATCCCCAAAAACTGTATGAAAGTCACGTGCTTACGTAATACTTTAACGGTTAACCAACCAATAAGAACGCGTCAGAATTAATTTCGTAAATTCTAGCGTGTTCATCATCGGATATGGACCTGGCATCAGTCTTGGTCTGGCCATGATTTCATATGCTCGTTTCATGACAAGTACATCAAGTTTTCTCAAGCGAAACTGGCGGTGACTGGCAACGATAGAAATCTATTCATCGCGTGCCATGACTCCATTTAAGACACGTAGTAGGTTAGTCCAGCCCCTGTCTCTTGTCAGTACGCACCCACACAACGAAAAATGAGGCATGCATCGAGGCAAATGCAAAGCACACACGTTTGTTTACATCAACTCTGTATCAACATGTGTTGTTTTACTTACATGAGGCCCCTTTCCATCAACGCACATCAATCGATTAGCTCAGATAGTAAGCAGCTCATGTCGATAATCAGCGGCGGCTGGTTTGTCTCGACCTAGGCAACTTGAATCAGACAAAACTGTCGGTATGACAGACTAGATCGAGATAGCACTGGTGTAAAGTATTTTCAACGTCACGTCTTGTAGTACTCTTCCCTGCTAGTGTTCCAGTAATTATCAAATTCATCAGTCTTCCTCTCCGCCGAAGGTGGTCAGTTATTTCATCTTAAAGTTGTTCTCGTTCACCCAACACTCAGTACTGTCTTCCCCCATCAATCAGTCTTCCTCTCCGCCTATACCCCACGATTGCAGGCGGTGGCACTACCCGTCGTTCCTCGTATCAGTGATTTAATTTAAAGGGGTTGTTCTCGTTGAACATCAGTGAACAACCCGAAACTTAAGATTCAAATGCATTGTAATTTTTTATGCAGATTTTTTTTCATCCCCGCCGCCGCCATACTTGTATTCGTCGAGTTTCATCTGTAGGTGTCACTTGTCTATCAAGTACTCCTCCGATCTTCATATCCCCTTACTTGATCGCACAAGAGCCTCACCAAGAACAAGGTCAAGTTCCACATGGGTTTAGGGCAAAAAAATGGACATTCAGAGGATTGAACTCTGGACCTTATACATGCTAGTATGCAAAGCATACGCGCTACCACTGCGCTAAATGCCCATGAATAAGCGCCGAGGGTCGTGCGGGCATGGCCGATCGAGGCATGAAGGTTAAGATGGGAAGCGAGCGGACAGGTTAAAGAACTGCCATCTCAAAGATAATCGATCATTCGATGCATCACCTTCGACAGTACAGCTGGTTCACGGCAAGTTCAACATGTCATGTCCAACGCCGCTGCATTGTGTCTAGAAGTCACAGTATAATTAGCAACCACCGCTCAAAAATGTACTAGTCAATGATTCAACGTTCCACAAAGGGTCAAGGCTGGCATGGAAGCTACGGGTATTAAATACATCGTCAAAAGCTGTATGACAGACTCGTAGGTAAAGATGCAACATAACGTAGTCCTTTCGAAGTAAACGTTCGATAAAGATCATCCACCGGGGCATGGAGCGATGGATAGAAAGGTAGCTATGAACAAAATGCCATGTATTGGCTATGGAGTCCGCATAAGGTATGTGTCCGAGCGAGGGGAACCGGTTAGCATGTGGGAATCGTGATGTTTTTCAGGTTTTTGCTATCAATAGACATCAGCACTGCACAATTGATAACGTGGAGTGAGTAAATTTACTTGGAGTCGAACAAGCCCCAGTATCCCTAGCGAGCAAGGGTGAGATCACCATGACGAAATCAAAAATAACTGAACGTTACCTCTACACCACCATACGTCACGTTCTGCAAGGCAAAGTCAGACCCCGCTCCTGGACATTGCGAGTGCAAGCTTACCTTCCAAGGCTCGTCACTGTACTATTGTCATACATTAAGGTGAGTATAATTTAATTTTAAACGTTCGGAGATGGAATACGCACCTCAAAGAAGAAGTATTCAGTTCCGTTTTGGGTAGCTATTGAATACAACGTTGAGCTATCATTGTCTTTGCTCCATGTGAGAAATGCATACCGCTACATGCGAAATCGTTTATAAATATCTGCAAGTATGGAATTAGCGATCATTGTACGTCATAGCGTGGCAACAACGAGAATGAATCCCACCTGCAAGTTCGCCACGGAAGCGAGTGAAGGCCCATCATTCGGGTTGGCATTGAAAGAAGAAGTGCCCTATAATACAGGTTAAATGAATCAGGGATGAAAGAGAATGAGAACAGACAGTTGGCCAGCCAGTCTCAGCAATGAACATCTTCGGTTTATTCGGAAGAGTTTGCGCAAGAGCTACGTCTGTAGAGCTGAAGAATTCGGCCGTCCAGGCGGCAGCGTTATCAATCGTTTGATTGGCGAACCATGGGTGGACATTGGCCATCTGCACAACATAAGTAGGCGCCAAACATACATAGAGAGGGACACTAACTCCATAGTCGACGGCAGATAGAACTTCGTTGTTGAAATAACTTCCAGCATCTGCATTACCGACTGAGATGTTGGTCAGACCCATCGAGGACAACATTGAACGAGTATCGTTAATCCAGGGTACCAGCATCGCCGCGGCTGTGACAAAACAATTGGAAATTCGTTTAAGCAGGAAAGAACACTATGAACTCGCCTGCCTGTCCTGCGGAGCCGTTGGGGTCCGTCTGCCCTGCCGCTGTAATGTAACTGAGAGTCCGTTTAGCCAACAGTTTGGACTTCAGAAACGAGTGCTAACTCAAGGATGAACTCATTGCCGACTGTGATACCGACCACGTTGCCTGCACCGTATTGCTCAAGAGCAGTCTGAATTTCGCCTTTCTGGCGTGTGTACGAAGTCCCGTTATCGTCGGAAGCGGGGTAGTTACCAAGGTAGACAGACATGTTAACCTTGGTAGCCTGAATAGCGGCAAGCTGCAAACAAGTGTGGGTAAACGCATCCAAGGTACCCCACGTGATAACTTACGACGAGGGAGGACTGATTGCAGTCAGCGCCATAAAGACGAATATTCTGGCAATTATACAATGAGTGCATGGCATATAAGACACCACCGAAAGACTCACCGTTGTGACCTGAGACAACAGCTATAGGTCGTGTAAGAAAGCAAGCGCTCAGAAAGATCCCTCGAAAAACCTACCTGGATATCCTCAATGACCTCCGCTGCGGTACGTTAGACACGTTCCAACCAAGATGATGCAATTTTACACACTTAGATTATTGCCACAGTCGGGGAGCTGCGAGCCCAGTGGCGTATACGCGATACCCCAGAACGAATTGACCAAAGCAGAGTTTTTCGGGAAGTTACTAGGATCGTCGGGGTTCGTCCCAGCTGGAGCGGAGGCGCTCGAACTCGAAGTCGAGCTGTTGTTCGAGCTCTTTTTCGAGAGCGTGACGCCAACGCCGACACCAACAGCGATCAGTACAGCAAGGGTGATTACCGAGCCAATGACCTTTCCAGCAGGACATTGTTAAGTGGTCAAGCACCACATAGGTTGAGTGAAACTCACGATATATTTCGACCGTTTGCTCGCCTTCTGCGACTGCTCCAGCCAGTCGCTGTTGCGGGTTTCGATGTTCTGGTAGGTTGTTTGTGGGACGGGCATGTAGGGCTGGCCTGCAAGTGGATGATTTGTTGGGTTTCCGGGCGTTGGCTCCGATGAGAGATCGTGCGACGAGTCGAAGGGCGAAGGAGCGTGTGTAGCCTGCGCAGCAGAAGTTTAGTTCAGAGAAGGTGTATGCAGGGAGAAGAGACTGAGAATTTGGAGCGGTGCAAAAATAATTGAACCACTAGAACTTCAAGCGAACTCAGGTTTCAGGCTGGACGCTCCACATGACATATATATACATTCTAGGAATAAATGAATGGTAACGGGGTTCTTACCACGCCTGATGATGGTGCATTGCTCGACGGGGTGTCGCTGTAGGGCGCTACCTGTTGCATCGAGCTCGAGTATCCACCTCGTTGCATTTTTGCAAGTATAGCAAAAGAGAGGAACGTTGGAACTGGAACTGAGAATTCGTTGATCCTTTCCCTGAGTTCTTTAATTTCGTGTACCTCAATGAGGGCCGCCAAAAACGCGTCCCGTCACAAGGCGTCAAGGATTGCCTTTTCTTGATTGAACATCACCCAGGCTTGGCGACGGGGATAGATATCATGCTATTCTGGTTCGATTCTAGTGTAAATCTTTCCTTAGTCAGGTACTGCGTAGACAAAATTAGCAGCAGGCTGCGGAATTGACGTTACCCTGAGTCCCTGACAAGCCTGGGCCCGCGGCATGAAAACAACTCCAAGTGTCCTGTCTGTTATCTCCCAAAGTACTACAATAACCCTGAAGTGTACATAGAATACTCAAATGCAATTGTCCAGACCGGAAGGGAAAACAAATGGGCGATCGGGAACTCGGCACAACAACGCCGTGCCCGCCTCCAGGTATATCAATATCACAAACTTCCAGAGGACTCCACTTTCACCATTTTCACCCATCCTACCCACCCGCATGCCCCCCAGGTGCAGTTGGGTGTCGCGGCTGAGCTGATGTTCGCTTCTGTTTTCTGAGCACCCTAGCACGGTGTTTCTCGTCGTCCGTACTTGCTCGATTAGAGGGCAGTGTCCGACTTCGGCTCACTCCTACTGCTGCAGGACTTGAAGCTTGGCTTACGGGGCGTGATGTTGGTGTCTCCAAGACAGGCGACAATTGCCCACTATCAACATCTTTTGTTCTGTCGAGCGAATCTAAGGGAAAAATATGTGGCACAATCACAAAGGGGTGCCCTCCAACTTCAGCGACGGTCCAATTGATGCGCGGCCCCCAGGAATGACCCACCAGTGTATTCTAGCGTTGTGCGGCGCCGGTAAATACGCCGTCTGTCACGGCCGACAAGCTTCCACCCTCCAGCAATTGACGTGTGCTCGTCATCTGAACTAGGCACAACAACAAGATCCGAGTCATCCTCACTTGGTACCTGTGTGTGCGCGTGTTGGGGCCGTGGTGGAGGCTTCCACGAGGAGCTCTGCTCCGATCGTGGTGGCGGTGGTATGTCGAGTAAGAACCAATCCTGTTGCGCAATGAGGAATTCGAGAACACGTTGGCTTAGCGCGTGCTCCCCAGGGGACATTTCATGGTTAGGATGGGATATAAGGCCGGGCCGAAAAATTACCGCGAGATCTGCGCGCGAGAAGGATGAGAATAAAGATGAAGTCAATCGCAGAGGGGCTTGGCGTACTTGTGGCTGTCATAAGATTTTTATCTGATTTTCGTGCAAATACTGATAATAGATCCAATACGTAGAGAAGAAGGTATTGGTTCGCACGGGGCATACGTTGAATTAGACGCTTGTACGTTGCAATCACTTCATCATGGTTGAATGGTTTCTTTCCTGCACATGCTCGAGTTCAGCTTGTGCTTCAAGCTTTCAAAACTCCTTACCCAAAACGTCCCGGAACTAATTGAGAAGAAGTCAGCCCCAATCAACAAAGGAAGTAGCATACACTCACATCGTGATACATATCGTGTGGTATTACAGGCTCCTGAGTGGGGCATGAGTACATACAGCAAGGAGCGTGGAGCGCCACTGACAGGCATCTGAGTTAGATATCTACGAAAGACGCTCGCGACGTCATGTGTTGTAAAGTGCTCATTTTTCCAGTCCAGCGATTTCCCGTACTGATGTGGAAAATAGTACATCAATAGGACCTCGTAGTGTTATATAGGAACAATCTGTACGTACCCGTGGGGGTGTCTCGAAAGCGGCTTGTAGATCTCGCATGCGCTTATTAGAACCGTTGACACGAAATGTTCCCTCTACCTCTGTAGCTGATAGATGCAGAACGTTTAGATCAATGATTACATCGTACACGCCAACACCCACCATTTTCTTTGAGATACAGACCACTAAAGGAGTCAAGGTACACAGCTAGTCAAGACGGTGCAAGGCAGCTCCACTCACCATTTCGCTACAACGACAGGTATGTAGCCCCAAACGTACAGCTCGCCGTTTGCATTTGCAGTCGAAATCTGCACGCTTGCATATCTTAGACTCTCTTTGAGTGGTTTTTGAAACACCGGATGTTCCTCCTCAGGCTGATCTACAGCTGGATAATAGATTGAAATTAGTCAATGTTATGGGCCGGAAGTCAGGATAGTACAGACTTCTACTCGGGTCTGAATCCTTTTTGCGATTCTGAGCATGGGTGAATTGAGTCCACCACTTGAGGAGGCCGGCTTTGGTTGGCGGGGGGCTGTCTGAAGGCATGTTTGAAGCCTGAGGGGGACTATGCCTAGACTCAGGGATAGGGAGGGTATTACTCCTGTAGGATTGTTGGGTTCTTGAGAGGAATCCGAGAGGCAATATGCGTCGAAAGGTGGCCAGCACGGGCCACGATGAGTAGTTGAGCGGAAAGCCAGCAGAGTACTTGGAGGGCGATGGAATATTATGGTCGTGACCCGCAAGTGCTTCTTCGGAGCACAGCCACACACAGCAGTACTAAAATGCAAGCACGGCCTACTACGGGCCTGAGCTGGCCTGATAGGCTCGGGACCGTCTTTGAAAAAAAAACTGTCAGGTGGACTACTTATAATGTACGCTATAGACTATAGATAAAAAGAAGTTGGTGCAACAATTTTAAAACTATGCAGTGCTTGCTCGAATTCTGATCCAGAGCAAGTCTAGATTTTGAAGAATTCCCTGGTCCGGGTCTACTATCATGTAGTCTAGCTGGGCCACAATTATAATAATCTCATTCTCCTAGGTCACCGTACTTATCTGGTTGGAGACGAAATGATAAGGGGGCAATGTCAATTCATCTAACTGAACCGTCACGGTATCGTACGCCTGCCTAGCCCTGCCACTTTTTTGCCTTTTACTCGAGTGGTCCAGCGCTTACTAGGCCCTGAGTTCTGAGTCCAGCTACATAGGTACTCGAAGAGGTCATGTCTCGGTGGCCCTGGCGGAGACTACCTTAACATGTCAGGCACGAATTTGCAATTTGTCCGATTGGTTCCGTGCGCGCAGCCCATGGATACATGCGCTTGGTTGACGTCCTAGGTGCTGTTGCCAGCGCTCGTTCGAATGAATGCTTTAATCTTAAGCCTTATAAGATACCAGATGTTACCTCGGTCAACGACTCGGCTATCGTAAAATTGATAGTTCGGACGAATTCACATGCGATCCATTTTGCATCCGGAATCTGATTCCGGATCCGGGTGGCATGAGCTGGCACAAGGCCTTCAAATATTCCCGCTTCTTCTCCTCTAGCTCCTTCTGCCCCGAATACTCATGATATATACAGACTTGTTTGCGAAGCTGCTCGGCGTTCTGGAAGCCATTCAGGCTCGTGCTGCCACCCCAAATAGGCTCTCTCTTGGCGCGGCAGCAAGCGTAGTGGCGTTAACGATTGTCCTGAGGTACCTCACCGCGAAACAACCAAAGCTCATAACAGACTACGCGAAAGTAGCGAGGAAAGTCAATGATAACGGAGTCGAGTTTGATGAGTGGGACTTCATCATTGTTGGAGGAGGTATGACATTTAATGTTCCATACTAGTAGTCACATTTCTTATGCCCCGAACGCGTCTAGGCACAGCAGGATGTGTTCTGGCATCACGTCTCTCCGAAGATCCAAACCTGCGAGTTTTACTCATCGAGGCTGGTGGAAGGTCGGCATATTCGAGGGTTTTGTCTACTTTTGAGATGCCAAAGTTTTTCATAGCTCTAAAAATGTCGCGCTAAGCAAGACACCTGCTGCGTTCGCGAAACTAATGCGCAGTCCATGGGACTACCATCTCTATACTGAGCCTCAGCGAAATGCAGGCAACAAGAAAAAATTCTGGCCTCGCGGTACGTCGTATCCCTCAATTTCCCAGTTGTTGTACTGATCCTCATATGTTCAGCTAAACTTCTCGGAGGATGTGAGTAGTCATTCTCCCCGTAAAGAGATATTTTAATATTCCTCAGGCTCTGCTATGAATGCCATGATGTGAGTCATAGTGCATCTTCCCGCGGGTTTACTTACCCCTACTATTCTAGTGCACAATACGGCGCACCGTCCGATTTCGACGAATGGGCGGAAATTACTGGTGACCAATCCTGGTCGTGGAACAACTTCAGCAAGCACGTAGTTTGTTTTTCGTCATTCCTCGCTTCTGATAACTCTGTTGCGTAGATATATTCGCAAATTCGAGAAATACACCCCAGACCCACGCTTCCCATATGTTGATCCACTCCTCCGCGGCGCCGATGGGCCTGTTAAGATTGGGTACAACACCCACTTATGGCCAGGCTGCAAAGCTTTTATCGAGGCAAGCATTAACGCCGGCATCCCTTTCTCACCCGATTTCTGCACGACTAAAGGAACGAAGGGGACAAATAAGGCGAGTCTTTCTTTACAGATTCTGTCGGCTTGAAGTTTCAAGACTCACTAACACCGGTCATTAACACGGCATAGATCAGTGAGTTCATTAGTCACTTAGTGTCAACAAGTGCTGAACAACTGATACGTAGTGACGTACATCGACAGCAAGAGCACTCGTATAACTACCGAGTCTGCATACCTTACTGATGACGTTCTTGCACGTCCGAATTTGAAAGTCGTCACCCACGCGCGCGTTTCCAAGGTTCTCTTTGACACCTCCAGTGGCACCCCACGTGCCACTGCTGTCGAGTTTGCCAGCAAATCTCATATGAATAAAGTCGGGCCCAAGTTCCGTGCACGGGCGACTAAAGAAGTCATTGTCTCGTGCGTGATTGTTTCATATGCCCTAAACAATCATTTACCTTTCCTTAGCGGTGGCGCCATACACTCTCCGCAGATCTTGATGCTTTCGGGCATTGGTCCAGCTGCGCAGCTTTTACGTCACAACATTCCGGTCGTGCTCGACGCCCCCAGCGTCGGGGCTAACCTCGTGGATCACCCATCAGTCAATCTCCGGTTCAGGGACAAAACGGGAACCACGTTCCACCATTTTACCCCTCATAGTTTGAGCACCACGTTCTTGTTGATGCGCGACGTGCTGCGATATCAACTGTGGGGCACCGGCCCACTTGCTTCTAGTGTTTGTTACGTCTTCCCTGCGTTCACATCACCAGTACTGAATAGTATCATAGATTGGCGAGTCTGTAGCATTCTTCCGATCAGACGACCAGGTGCTCTTCCCACCCGCTGAGTACAACAATGACCTCGAAGACGCTAGTTCAGGCCCAGGCGCCCCCGACCTCGAGATCCTCATGTGTGCCGCCTCAGTACATTCACACAACATACCCCTCAGCCCAAAGCTCCAGGCATATCAGATGATCATTATCTTATTACGGTAAGCCATCGATGTTTCTACTTCAAACTCGACCGACACGTTCTGTGCTGCCAGTCCCACGAGTAAAGGATCGCTCCTTCTCAAGTCTGCCGACCCTTGGGATGACCCGCTCATGGATCCCAGGTGGGCTAACTCGTTTACTTCAAACTCACCTCTACTTATTACTATTACGGACCAGCTACCTCGAAACAAAACATGATGTCGACGTACTCGTTCGAGGTATCCGCGCTGCTTTTAAAATCGCACATACAACACCCATGACCTCTTTCACCGACGTGCACGCCTCGCACCACCCCGAACTTGACCACCACATCTCCGGCCTGAGCGATGCAGAGCTGGCGGATGTTGTTAGGGAGCGCGTGGAAACGGTGTATCACCCGATAGGGACGTGTTCGATGGGAGCTGGCGGCGTCGTTGACTCGGAGTTACGTGTTAAGGGCACTCAGGGGCTCCGAGTGTGTGATGCAAGTGTTTTCCCTAAACTGGTCTCAGGACACCCGGTATGTAGAAGCTCTGAAAGGTGGCCGTAAAGCTGACAGGGATGTAGACTGGTGCGGTTATTGCGACAGCCGAGAAGTTAGCGGATGTCATCAAGGCTCACTACAAATCGTAGGCTCCTCGATGCGTATTTTTGTGGTACGTTGTTGATTCTCATGTCCTTATCATGTAATTGTACTATGTACTCGTGTTATATACCTATGTGACAATTAAATGGATTGTTGTGCACTATCTTGGATGACAGTGAATGGCCAAACCTCACTACCATCCCGACCTTCTTCTGCCCTACCCTTTGCAACAGCTCCGAGCACCTTGTACTGCTCGCCCATCCCAAGGGGATCGATGAGCCTACTTGCGCCATCTTCGATCGCCTTTTTCCTCTCTAGAGAGGAAGCCGAACGCACAAGAGCAGCGGCCCTGATTTCTATGCCCATGCGCGTGAAGAAGTTGCGTTGAGAGATGGGACCATGTATCGAAACTGTACATCTTGAATAACCACAATCGTGTAGCAGAGCACCATCATGAGACGTACCAAGGTCAGCCATAGACTCTTTCAGCAACGCAAAATCGACATTCGTCGTAACATCGCACTCTCCGGGACTGCAGAAGATATCGACGATTTTATGCTGTTTGAAGGCCTGTGAATGGTTATTGATCAGAATTCGGTGCATGTGTCTGAATTCATACCCTCAAGGAATCGCTAAAAGCTTTGTCTGCACCATAGTCGATGACAAGTGCGCATCCTCCGCCTTTGGTATTGATAAGTTTCCCAATACCCCGTGCTTGATTCATGGACGCTCTGGATACCTCTATACGCGTCCCCACAGGGAGCGAAAAGAACCGAGGAGATGCAAGTCCGAGGAGGGTCGATGATGCTGTCGGAGTTGGCGAAAGAACACGCGTCCAGCGCGAAGACGTGTGATGCAATTGCGGGGGGGAGTCTGAATTTTGGTCCGAAGTGGGCATGGTGTATTTGATGCTTGGATCACTCGAGGGGGCGATTAGCACCTCGTTCCAGCCTTGTTGAGTTCTCTATGATTTCAGCTAGTAAAGCTAATGTTCGTTTCTCTGAACGGAACTCACCTCGATGACGTTCACGGGAAGGGCGTCAAAAAAACTCATGAGCAACTAGCATAGTGAAGACATCTTCTTCGTGCTCAATTTCTTCGATTGCATCGTGCCACATTGTCTCGAAATTACCCTCCTGAGAAGCCTTACGAAGCTTGCCTTCCTGTAAAGCACGCATAGTCGGACTGCTCTCAACAAGATGAATACTCTTTAGTTTTCCACGTGCTGCAGGAAGCTGTTTCAAAACCTGGAAGAAAGATGGTGAGAAGCAAGTAACCACCCGTTCGACACCACCCACCCGAAGTATGTCGTCCATCAGCGTCCCCCTACCAGGTCCAAGTTCTACTACTCGGAAGGGTACTTTAACATCCGTATCCATCCACTGCTTTATCATCCATAACGCGACAAGCTATTTGTAGCGCATTTCGCGTTGGTAAGATGTGATAGATATGATAGCATGAATCCCACCTCGCCAAACATCTGGCTAATCTCAGGACTGGTGATAAAGTCACCTTGGGTGCCAAAGACAGCATGTTCCGGCTTCATGTAGTACCCATGCGTGGGGTGCCCAAGACTGAGTTGTATGAACGTCGAGAATGATATAGGACCTGTTGCCTTCATTTTATGAGACCCATACTTGAGAAGTTGCACGGTCGAGGACCTCACCTTGACACTATCCAACATTATTTTCTCGACGTCCGTCAGAGCACCGAAGGAATCTCCAGACATCATGCGTGCATGCAGGATAGTTCTTGCATTGAGTCCATGACGGCAGTTTGGTTGTCTGAGCCACGAAGACAGTCTATTTGAACCATACCTTGTAGCATATCTGAGCATCTATGTTTTAGCAACTGGAATTCGGTCAAGTTCGCGAACAGCTAAAATTAATCATTGCAGTAATCTAGGGTTCCGAAAGCGGAGCCCTGCAAATTGTAAGTGTTGTTTGCAGAACTCACGCGAAAGGAGGCCCGGGCAGTGGCAGAACCTGGCAGAACTCCAGGGTATCTGAGACTCGCGGAGATATAATTTAGATCTCTGATAACAAAGTTTGAATTCAAGAGAACATGTGCATGAAAACCGACATCCTTAAAGTAAGATGGCGCATACTGGAGGGCGCCCCCTCGCATCACTGATCAACAACAATTTCGAGCGCCTGGAACGAGTTGACTCGAATCACTACTACTGGAAATGCAAACATTGCGGCGATGCTTAGGGAGGACTATAGCTCAGAATACTCAAAACCTGTCAATATACCCGCGGGTAACCCGTGCTATTCCCTAGCGACACTGATAACTCATCAGGTGCTCGAATCCAACAACAACCTACCGAACCATCATATCATCGACATGCTCACATGCACACTCGCGAAGAGGTTGGCATGGCTGTTGAGACTGCACAGGATCTTGAAGCATCCTTTGCGTGGGCACCTCCACTCTCGACTGAGCCTCGCGATGCATATGACTTGCTTGCTGGTCCAGAGAGTATCTCGCCTGACGACATTGCTGCTGAATTTGCAGCTCTCAAGGAGTTGAAAAGGACTGAGGAAGTTCAGAACATTAACGAAGTTGAAGTGCTCGAGGGAAATGCTTTTGATTTTGACGAGTTGGATCGGGTCGAACAAGGAATAATACCACAGACTATTCTAGATGAGGTTGAGGTGGTTTATCACAATGACGAGGACGACGGATGGGACGAGGCAACATTGATATCATCATTAGGGATGTCATATAGCCTAGATCTCTGAGTCATCGGAAGAAATTGAAGGCGTCGAGTAAGAATATCCTGAGTCTTGGTGGGAAGCGTCGAAAGCGGAACCGTCAGCAGCCGCTAGCTTGATTACGGTTGACTCGTTGTAGATAAGCCTGATATAAAATTTCGAAGATCACGCAGGTCGAGCACTAAAATACTCACTACCTTCACATCAGTTCACACCTCTCACTCTTTTCTGTATTCTATCTTCCATCTAACCTCTAGAACCAGCTGTAGATTACCATCTAAACCTTCAACAATCATGGCAACTCGTGGGTGTCTTTACTGATGCTCAATCTTATGCATCCTATGAACATACATCACAGGCATCCAGTTCGAAAACAGTAGCGAAATCGGCGTGTTCTCAAAACTCACCAACAGCTACTGCCTAGCTGCAATCCAAGGCAGTGCAAATTTCTACTCGGCCTTTGAGGCTGAGCTTGGCGATGTCATTCCCATCGTCCATTCCACGATCGGCGGTATCCGCATTGTTGGGAGATTGACTGCAGGTTTGTGATATGGTTTTTCCCATAATTGCCCAGAAGGCTGATGAGTCCATCATTTCTAGGAAATAGACACGGTCTCCTCGTCCCTTCAACAACGACTGATCAGGAACTGCAGCATCTGCGCAACTCCCTTCCTGACGCCGTGTCGATCCAGCGAGTCGAAGAACGTTTATCTGCTCTTGGAAATGTCATCGCTTGCAACGACTACGTTGCCCTCGTCCACCCTGACATAGATCGTGAAACGGAGGAAATAATTGCTGATGTTCTCAAGGTTGAGGTCTTCAGGCAGACCGTGGCAGATAATGTCCTTGTGGGGAGCTATTGTGCGATCTCAAATCAGGGGGGACTTGTTCACCCAAAGACGAGTGTTCAGGACCAGGATGAACTGAGCAGCCTTCTACAAATTCCCCTCGTGGTGCGTATTTATATGAAACCCAGCGCAGGTATATTATAACTGAGTTTACTCTTGTGTTTCTAGGCTGGTACTGTCAACCGAGGTTCAGACGTTATTGGTGGAGGTCTCGTCGTGAACGACTGGTGCGCGTTTACTGGGCTTGACACTACCGCCACAGAGATTAGTGTTATTGAAGCTGCATTCAGTGGGTCTACCATTCTTGCCTCCTTTTTTCACTTTTTCAACTTATTTCACCATCACAGAGCTTCAAGGACAAAGTTCTTCAGCTGTCATTGGACAGATGCGGGATTCTCTTATCGACAACTGGGCATGATTGAAATTTCACCATCACGCATCCCGTTACTGTTACTTATACCTTGACGTCTACTTTCATCTACACTCGAAGCGCAACCTCAGTCTACACCATGAATTCTGTATCTTTACGCTCGTAAGTCGTTGGCAATGGAAAAATAGTGAGAAAGGAATTGATACTAGAGAATATGTTTCTCGTTGAAGTGTAATGTTAGTTTTGATGCCCCCTGGCACTGGTAACCCCTGAATTGTAACACAGTTCGGCTACACGGCGTTATGTGACAGTCGCGTGACAAACGTATGCATCGACGAGCGCTTCAGGGCTTGTACCAGTACTTGTGTGAACATCCTCATGTCGTCCGCCCCTCCTCAAAGGCAACCTGAAGATGGCCATACATTTGCCCGGGTGATACAGGTGTGTACGAGAATCTGCCTACCATTCAGCATTTGCTCAGGTTAATTGTCTCCTGTCTTAACAGTTCATGATCAATAAAGCTGCCAGCGGGTCAATCAAGGAGCTCGACGGACTATGCAACATCGCACAACACTGGAAACCAGAGCAACTTCTGATGCTGCTCCCAGTCTTCTATCACCACCTTGATCCAGCTCGCATCCCCGATGTGGTCACTTCGAGGGATGTGAGGAGTATCATGCTCGCAAGGTACTCCCTTAAAGGAGTGCTAGTCACGCTGAATCGTGTCAACAACCCAAGGGAATTGACGCAGGCGGTGCAGACCATCGCTGATAATCTAATATCCAATTGGCATCGCTGTCATCTCTGGGTCAATTTCTTTTATCGTCACTTCTTCGCCTCCAGCAACCCTGCCCGCCTTCCGGGTCTTCTCATAACCAGATCAGAAGCGCTGAAGCTAGTTGTAAACATGTTGATGCGGATGAGCTTAATCGGCGATTCACAAACACCACAGTCACTAATCAACACCCCATCTCTACACTCCATTATCTCGCAGCTGTGGTGCATGGCTGTCACCTCAAAGGATAACGACTTTCTCACAGAAGCTGACAAGGTAATGGGCAGCAAGGAGCAGGGGGCATTCCAGGAACACATGTCATACGTGGTGCAGGCATGCCTGGACGTTGACCATCCTTCTTTTGTGTCCACCCTTATTCATGTCGCTGGAGGCATTAGAGCCATGGCCTCTATCGTCTTCAAGTATATCAGAAATATTCGCTGTCTGTACAGGAAAAAGGTCGTTTCTGGACAAAGCATCGACGATACCACTTCATGCGATTCTGTTTTTGGGGTGCCTCGTTGGCAAATAATGCTCATTAATTGCTTTGGGAATTGTGCAAACCTACTATTCGTTACCAGTCAACAGAACTGCGCCTTGCGAGAGGCCTACATCGATCGCAACCTCGTGGCCATCGTTATCTACACCCTTCGTGATCTATGTCAACTCTCTCTAACCCTGAAGCACGATGACTTCGCCAAACACGTCAAGAAGGCGTTTGAGGATGCTTTAGGCTACATTGCATTGCTCATGGGAGGTCCTGTGGATGACCTTGTGGCCGTTATATGTCAAGCCCTTCGGGCACGATTCCTCCCTACCATTCTTCAGGCTCATACCTGTATTCCCGGTGCGGATACTGCGGAATGCCTTAATGCATTGTTGATTACTGCCCTTCGTTCATACCTCACGTTCGACAAGGTCTTGCGGATCGCAGGGAGCGAGCTAGAGGCTGACGAGAAATCGCTAGATGCGATTGCTCAGCGCGATACAGACCTACTACAGGCCTGGAATCTGTTCAAAAAAGATGTTCGACGTTTCTTGGACCTTAGAAGCCAGATACCCGCGGCATCGATATTCTTCGATCGTCAATGTGCTGCTGTGCATGTGAGTGAACCATGTACTTCTCCCCTCTAGAGACTGTTGCTGATCAGCCCCTCATTCTGCAGAACAGCGATGAATGGCATCCGCAATGGGATCTATTCCAGTGTGCCAGGTGCACAGTTGCGAGGTATTGTTCTAGACAATGCCAGAACATAGATTGGGACCAGGGCCATCGTATGGCGTGCAAGTACCTCAAAGCTGCAATCGGCGCGTCTCTCTGCGCGATCTGATATGTCTTGCATACTGAGACATTCACAGGCCCGAATGCTTCACGATATATTAGGAGGAGCCTCTTCCTTTTGGCCAAGATCGAAGATGCTGAAATTCAGTCCCATCAAGAATTCATATCTCAATTGTCGGTGACCGCTCGGGCAGAACATCCGGAATTCCAAGACCGTCTCGTTCTTGAGATCGATCCTGTTGCAGAGGGACCCACAGACAAATTCAAATTCAAGCCGGTGTCCAACTATCTTCATATCTTTCCGGAGGCATCAGAACGTCCATGGAAAGTGGCTGACAAGTGGCGCCAGTCTACGGGACTGCATAGCCTTTACTTGCCTCCTGTAATGCGTATTCACTCGGGATACGAGATAACCGATCAACCGAACTTACTCTTCAGCCCATCAACAGCGCTCAGGATGGCGTTTAAAGAGCATGGATTAGATGCGGTTGTACGGCGCCTCGAGCGTTTACTATTCCGGGAGTTCCCTGTGATCGTACGTGCCGTACTTGTTCCGCTGATGTCGTGTTGTAATAGTATGATTTGCTTTCGAAGTTCGTGCGCTGTAATCGCTCGGTATTCTAAAGTTTCAACTGTACCATTGGATCTTTCATTTCGCCGTTGATTGTATACCAAATTGTAGTTAGAAGACACGTTAGCGTGTGGTATGGAACGCAGTATCTATTCTCATCGAGATCTCTATTGATGATGCAATTGTGATAGCTCCCTACGTCTGACAAGGTCTGGCAGTGCCAACCAATGAAAGAGAGCTCTCGTCTAGATATGCCATGGAGGCGTTGGTATCGGCGTACATCAAACTGACACAGGGTCGACAACCAAGAGTAAAGGGATGGGAAGTCGAGATATCCAATTGAAGACAAGCAACCGTTGCCTACCACTCCGCATGGACCACACAACAGCTCATTAAGACCCACGAGAGATAGACACTTTTTCTTGGATACTCGCATATTATCTTACCCCTCTGGATTCTTTCACTCAATTGAGCATGCGTTATAGTTCTTCACCTGTTACAGTCCTTCACTACCTCGCACGCATATCTACGTCACTTCATATTCGTAGAGTTGCGCGTCTAAAACGGCCGCGGGAACGGCGGACTGGTGGGTACGCCTCACACCAGCGGCATTCGCGAACTCTGAGGTACAGCAGGGGCACGGGGCCCCTTAGACTAGATTGTATTATCCTACATCCTCTAAATGGAAGGGATGGGAATTGTGGGGCGATGGAAGGACCAAGAATTTACGAGCTGGACAACTTCGCTACCACGACCTGTGTCATCACACCAGGACTTTGTACATATCAAGCACCTGTAGACATGTAACGAGGGCCAGAGGCGAACGGCCGAGGATTTCCGCGGGCTTGTCGAAGCATAATTCATAGATCCTGACGTTATCTTTGGGGATAGACTGGAGAACAGGAGAAATTAGGAATAAATTATTTTTATGGTGGGCCAGTGCACTTGATTCTGCATCAATACTGATTCGGGGACCTATGAATGTAGAGTGCGTTTCAGAAGTCGTTAAAAATACGTCGGCCCGACCTTCTGCAACCTACGATGCGCATCCATGTTTCACAGAGGTACGAGTTCTAAAGGCCTAACTGATAGTCCTAATTTGTTCTTCAGCTCAATGCCGGCGCAGCGCTGATGATGGCATTGAGATTAAAATTGAAAGATCATTCTGCTATGTCTGTGTCAATGACAGCACCTTGAGATTTGATTAGTAACGTGCTGAAGCGCTGACTCCTGATCTAGGCCTGCCGTCATTCCTTTGTAGACGATTTGCCTCTGAAACCCATTGCCAGGAGGTACTCGTATCTTGAACTCGAGATCCCGGCACTACTTAATTTCCTGTCCTCGGGCTTTTGCCGTTGATCAAGTCAGAGTCCCGAATTAAACTATAGATTAGAAGGACACAAGTACTTAGCTTAGGGTATAGAATATGAAATACATACACATGGCATCTAAGTGACGGTATCAGTACAATGAGATAGGTGAGACAGGGCGGCCTGAAAAACGTTCCCAGCCAGTGACGCTGACAGATCCAGTCCCGTGAGTCGGATCCGAAATCATCTTAGATATTGATCATGCACCAACACCAAGCGCCGCTGCCCATGACCGTCCGCCCACCTCGCTCAGCACCCTCTCTACCTCCGTCTGCTCCAAGTTAAGAATGACCCTGCGTTCCCGGGGGGGCTTACGGACGGCATTCACACCATCCTCGACAATCATAGCGCGGGACGCAACCAAGGAGTCCAGAACAAGTCCCAGTTCCTCTGGCGTGGGCTTCCGCGACGGATCTCCTTCCGAAGTCAGGGCTTCGACATATACGATATGCTGGTTTTCAATCTCACGTACTGTTAGCCGAGCACTCCACAGAATAAAAATAAACATAAAAATAAAACACATACCTCGCCCCATTTGATCTCCTCAACACCCTCCCGCTTTATACATCTCAGCAGGGATGCGAGCATGATCCGTTCATGCAAGCTGCAGTCACGGAGGTACGCTGCGGTTGGGCTATTCTGCAGCACTTTGATGACCTCCTTCACATCCTCTGTGCGAGCAGGGCGTCGTTTGGGATGCACGAGTTCCACCGCTCGTCTACATCTGAGTTTAATTGTATTATTGCTATAAAACAAGCCTGACACATACCGGCAAATATCAAGCACCCTTCTTGCATCTCCACTGATCGATGAAACCTTCATTGCGGCAAACTTCACGCCGTCGGCGTTGATCACGTTCGGTGGCTCCTCGAGGCCCTCTTTGGCTTCTTTGAGACGTGCATGCACGATTTTCTCGAGCTGCTGCGTTGTGTATGGCTGGAAGTTAATTCGGATCATGCCTTTGCAGCGCATAAATGAGCATGAGATGGGTGGGGTGCTTGATTTAACGGCACGTACCGAGTCGACTACGTACTCGCCCGGTCATTACCCGCTCTGGAAGGTCCATGGTGTTTGCGACAGCGATCACGACAAGCTTTGAGCCAGCGATTGTGGGCCAGTTGAAGAAGTTGTATACTACATCCTGCTTTGCTGTGACAAGCTGATCGAGCTCGTCCATAAGAACGACGCTAGGCATGCAACTTAGCAACGACCGACTGGTTGAGACTACTACTACTTACCACGCGTGCCCTGCGGGACCCGCCCGTGCGCCTGCAGAGAAGTGTTTGGTAAGTTGCTTGAGCGCTTCCTTGGCGCTGGTTTTGAGATGACCATCGCCGGCTACATCGTGCCCAGAGACTGTCTCCCAAAGTAGGTTGTATGCGGCAGATGGCTCGGGAATCCTGAGTCCGTTGATTTCAACATATGTGAAAGGATTCGTTTCCTACCAAAAAATAACATTAAGTGAGAAGAAGAACTGATCGAGAAAGAACAGACATTGTTCTCAGCCATTCGTTTGAGCTCACGAACAATGGCATGAACTGTTGCAGTTTTGCCTGTTCCTGGTACTCCAGAAATGTCTAAAATTCGATATTAAAAGAGTGAAAAAGAATGGTTGAGACTCTACGTACAGACGCAGCCTCCACTTCCTTCCTCCAGGAGTTCTTCTACAGTTCTCAAAACACGGCTGTATTCCTCCTCACGGCACGGGAGAACATCAGGACGCGCTGCAACATGAAGGACGTGCATTGCACGAAGCCACGGATCTGGAGGAAGGTTTTGCAGTTGATTGTAGTGTTCCTGTGTAAGATTCGGAGGCGGAACACGGACGGCTGGTGCTTTTCGACTTCGCTTTCGCAGTGCCGCTTTAGAGTGCGGAGTGGGCGCTGCGAGCTTCAGTGCACGTTTTTTGCTCGGCGTGGATTTGAGTGTGGATAAGGCGCGTTTGCGCTTGCGAGACGGTGTCTTTGGAATGTCATCAATGGGTCTACTAAGAGTTGTCTCGTTGTCGGAGGTGTCGTCAACAAGAGAGGGGATGAGGTGGTCATCGGGCTCTGATGGAGGTTCATCGTCCTCGTAGTCACGATCACGAACGGGATCGTCGCCACTTTCTTCTGCAATGTCTTGAAGCTTTGTTCGCTTCTTCGTACGCCGTCTTGATGGTGTGGTCTCCACAGCAACATGCCAGCAAGTCCCATTGGCGAGGTCTTCATTAGAGCTACCGAGAGCCTGTTGTTTGTGAGCTGCCCAGTGGAAATCATAGTAAATGTTGCTGCGAGACTCTATTGCAAGGCGACAGTAGAATAGTTTATTCTCTTCTGCAGTAGCACCGATCCAGTTACTTCGTTTGCGTGCTGTAGGTGCGGTCTGTGGAGCTTCGGAGATAGTGCAATGCGATAGTATACATGAAGGCGGAAGAATAGCTTGTGAAGCGAGAGTAAAATACACTTCGTTCTGGTGGTAGGCATGAGCGGATGCCAATTAACAGATGTGCCACTGACCTCAAAATGATCCCTCTTTGCCCTTATGCGAGGCAGTTCTGATGGATGTTGGAACCAGTGAACCCTGACCATCATCTGATAATTTTCGCCCTCCCGGTCCTCCTTGCCTTGAAATTCCCACATAGAAGCAATGACACCAACACTGGGGTGTTTTGTAGACTGGGTTTTGACGAGTACGGTGTCTCCGACCTCAAATGTCTCAGTCTCGACAGGTGACTTACGTGCACTCAACCCTTTCCGTGAAGTTGGCGCGGTATTCTTGGTCCGCTTAAATGACTTGCGAAAAGCAGTCTGCATTCCTGGCCCTGGTTGCCATCCCTCATCCTCTTGAAGAACCTGGTAATCTTCGAATACAGTAGGGCGAATGTAACACGGAGCGTCTGTCCAGATTACAGTTTTGTCTACAAAGGCGTCAATCTTTACGGGAGTTACAAGCGGTTGAAAGCGTTTTGAACGTCGAGAAGGCGTTACCGGAGTCGACTCCATTGCTGGAGAGAAAGTGGTGTCACGAACGCGTGACAAACGCGTCAGTCACTGTACGAGGGTCACGTGTTGATGCCGGGCCTCCGGCAAAACACTCGCTTGTTCAAAACAGTGACTCAGAACTGGCTGCATTCTGCTTGTTGTGGTGCACCAGCCACCCATTCAAATCATTATCTCCATTGCAAGACCAAAAATATTCTGTGATCTGCCATTTTCATGCTTGTGGCACGGTGAGCAATGAATCGACTCGGAAATGTCGCGCCTAAGCCGATCGGCGATATGCTCAAAAAATTAGCCAGAATTTCCCCGGTCATGCCGCATTATATTAGTTGTTGGCAGCTATGATACTGCCATTTTTCAATTGCCAGGTCACTTGGCCATTTCCGGCAGTGGATCAGGGGCCGTCAGCAGAAGTCACTCGATAGTTTTTAAAAAATGAAAAATCTAGTCAAACCTCGTCACCTAAACCTTGTCAACAGAGTTTAATCCTTCTCACACCCCCTTAACACTCCTGACATCCCTCGGGCTTCAGACCGTTACAGTCCCGCCATAACTATTTTATTTGCTCGCGGTCACACATACTCAAGAATACACCTAGCTAAGCAGTCGATTGCTTCTGATATCCCGCTTGTTAGGGATGGCGAAAACTATGTTAGCACGTTCGTCCTCTGACTTTTTTCTTTTCATGAGGTGTCCAATACGCGGCCATATTATGGGGCTGCAGTGTATGCTCCATACGGGGTACGGCGAACAACCCTACTGTTCCGGCGTGTGTTACCTTCAACTTCAATATATTCCGCAGGCTTTTTTGACCGGTTCTATTGCCGTCTCTCCGCGTGCTTATTGATAACTTACAATTGTATGCTCCGAGACTTGCAGTCCATCGTGCGTGCACACTGTGGGATTCGCAGGTTCGCACAATAAAATTGAAAGTTCGGGACTTGCTTCACGTTCATCAGGTGGTGCACAATGCTCAGTACAATACATTGTCTTCAAAACATTGCAGCGCCTTCGCAGGCAAACAAACAATGTTGTCTTACCAGAGCCTTGTTCTGCTCCTGTTATCGCGTCCACGCGGCTCACTCTAGGTTGGCCCCTGTAGAAGTAGCGCAACCGTTTAAAAAAAATAATTAATGTCCTATGGAGAGTTGTACTCAATATTGTCTAGTCTAAGGGATCCCGTCCCTGTCACACCTCAGGATACGCGAATGCCCTGGTGTGAGGCGTACCCCCACCAGTCCGCCATTTTAGACGCGCCACCGTCCCTTCGAAGATGAGAATACAGTGGGTATGTGTATGATCTGTCGAGAGCGCAACCGTTAATGAAGCTTATCGTCAGGCTCGCCAAGAAGCAAAGGAAGACGATGTCACGATTATGATGAAGCCTTTCCCCGTCTGCCTTCTCGGCAAGATAAATGTAACATTATTCGTGACAGCAATCCAATGATAACATTCAGCGTGGCGCTTGTGCGTGTGCTCTTTTGGGGGGCTCAAATTAACTGTCAACACGAACACCATTCCCAGTGTACCAACATGGATGCCTTTGCACTTTCAGACAACTTAATGGCTTCGCGCATGTGCCAGCAAGTGAACTGAATGGAGGGTTGGACTTGGAGCTTCTCAAGGCAGAGAACGTCGCAGACCATGGTCTCCGGAGACAAGGGAAAGGAGCCTGAAAAATTGTAAGAAACGTGTATGAAAATTGTGGATAGATGAGATTAGTACGACAGTATGTAGATAAATCATAATCAGAAAAAAGCGTATGAGAAAATCAGGTCCAGGACTGTGGTCTATCCCTTGTCTTTGTGGCCGTGACTCGGACGCGCTCCGGGCGCTCTCGGCATGACGCACATGCTGAGCAATCTTTGCCTTGCGGAGATTATTACCTAGTGCAGGCGGACGTTTAGGAGGACTTTGCCCAAACTTTGCCTCTTCTTTCTTGTCCGCGTCGCACCTATAGGCGTGTGGGTTGCCTTGCGGAGATTATTACCTAGTGCAGGCGGACGTTTGGGAGGACTTTGCCCAAACTTTGCCTCTTCTTTCTTGTCCGTCGTCGCACCTATAGGCGTGTGGGTTGCCTTGCGGAGATTATTACCTAGTGCAGGCGGACGTTTGGGAGGACTTTGCCCAAACTCTGCCTCTTCTTTCTTGTCCGTCGTCGCACCTATAAGCGTGTGGGTTATTTTTCATCTTGATGTACCTCTTCTTATTTGTCCGTCGTCGTGCTAGCATTCGAATCTTTCGTCACCCACCCATATATTTTCCAAACCCGCTTATTACACACGTTTTTCACGTATCCTGGGTCCACTCGAGGTCTATCTAAAGCGGTCTGGTTTTGTTCTTAGCTAGTGCGGTATTCATCGGATTTTTTCGGAGTGCTCCTCCGGAGAAACTCTTTTGCTGGCTAATCCTCGCAGCTTGCGCTTCTGCGAGGCAAAGTGAGACCAATTAGAAAGATTTGAAACGCTCACAATGCTTTTGTCGACTTCTGCCATTCTGCCGTTTTACCATTTTGCCGATTGCCAGCTAGCAGCAGCTACAATGCCAATTCCATTCTGCCCCTAAACTAATCATGTGATGCATTTGATCATCAAAATTTTGCGAGACACCGAGAATGGATAGTTACGTGAACCGCCGGATCATGCATAGAGTGCCAGGCCTGAGTATGAGCAATTGCTGGCGTCGGTTGACCATATGAGAACCATATAATCTCATCGTCTCAACTCTGGCTGTTAAATCACTTTGTAGCTCTCCCTCTTTCAAAATATCCAACCAGCAGCCAGCCGATATGCTACCCCCTGATCACTTCCTCCTCCAGCCTCGTCAGGACTTCCTGCTCGGCGTACAGGAGGGACACATCGATACCTCCACTCTTGCTGCACACGATTTCGATGTTGATACTCGCACGGGTTTTATGCCCCCAGATCCGCCTTTAAGTAGACTCCCGGCGCAATGGGAACTCTGGGAGACAGCACTAGATGCTGCAATGCGGGAAAAACTACAGCTTGCTGTCAAACTAGGTCTGACAGCTGAGGAGAAAAACTCATCTGAGTCATGGCGAGAACATGTTCGACAGGTCAGTACGGACCTCCGTACTTTTTATTTCCCACTCACACACACCATCAGCTGCCTGTCCTCCCCATGTCCGAGCTCACACACTCCGAGCTGCTACTCCGGCGCGCGCACCATGTTCTCACCTTTATCATGCATTTTTACATTTACACACTCCCCCTATCTTCCTCCGTGTTCATTCCAGAACCAATTTCTGTCCCCCTCGTCGCCATATCTAGTCATTTGCAGTTACCCCCAGTCGTCACGTACTCTGACAATGTCCTCTATAATTGGGACACCATCCGCCCCAGGGCCCAAAACGAGCTTGGATTTGAGGCCCCCGCTCTAGACAACCTTCGCAGTCGGGACTTGTTCTCCGGTACCATAGATGAGCAAGAATTTTACCTTGCTTCGGCCCGCATAGAGCTTTGCGGCGTCGAGGTTCTCGAGCTTATGCGTGCAACTATGGACGAGTTGTTCGTCGGCGACGAGATAGCTATCAGGCGTATCACCGCATACCTCCACAAGCTTGCGTCGATCGTGCACGACCTCGAGACCATCCTGCTCGACGTGCGGAAGGGCTGTGACCCTGACACGTTTTATCACTCCATCCGCCCATGGTTCCGTGGCGCAGACTCCGATCCTGCCCACAGGAAATGGGTGTTCGAAGGTGTCGAAAAGCAGCCTATCCACCTCTCAGGGCCAAGCGCAGGGCAGAGCGCCCTGATCCATGCTCTAGACGTATTCCTTGGTCTAGACAATTGCAATGTGGTCGAAGGTGGTGTTACGCCGGACCAACGGACGCTATTAAGAAGAATGCAGATCTACATGCCGCGTCACCACCGCAATTTCTTGCGACACCTCAGCACGAACCCCCGTCCTGTGCGGACGTTTGTGATGCAAATGAAGCCTGATGTAGAGCTTTTGGACGCGTACAATTCTGCAGTGCAGTCGGTGAAGGAGTTTAGGGATGCGCATATCAAGATCGTGGCAATCTATATTATTGGACCTGCTGCTCGTGAAAGGATGGAACTCGAGCACGCAGGTCCACAAGCTCCGGAGGCTGGGAAACAAGTGCTGAAGGGCACTGGCGGGACGGATCTAGTACGCTTCCTTAAAGGTGTTAGAGACAAAACTGCGGAGGCGGTCATAGAGCCTACGCTGCAGTAGACCGCGTTGGATCTAGGACCCTGGCATAACATAAGCATCGGCATTCATGCATTTGTTCAACTTATTGGTCAATATTCTGACTCGCCAATCTTTTCTCCTGTATGGTGACATACTCACTTTGCATGAACTGCGTTTAATTAATCTCCCTTAGACAAACAAAATGGTAGATTGTTGTCACTAGATTATATGACGTTCAATGGGTTTAGTTCAGGTGTCGGACTTGTGATTGAGAGTGTCTTCCATCAATGGTCATCACTGAAGTCGAGCGTTGTGGGGAATTAGTCGGCTTGCAGCAACAAAGCAAAATCCATGCTTTCTTACCGGGTCCTACGTCATAGTATCAGCAGTTGGATGTACCACGTTTGGAAGTGCGATCAGAGCTTTGGGTGCAACTTCCATACCTGAGCATACCGGTTAGCCGGCCATAGTTATAGATAGAGAACGAATTGTCAAGGATCTCTGACATTATAGGAATGGTGGCACAACATCAACACCATAGACCTGGGCTCGGCGGCGGTTTGGCTGGAGCAAAGGGTGACGTAGTCACCTACTTGACTTATCCGTGGAGTAGAAGCCATCATGATCATATGTCCTTCTAAAGCCGCTGACTGCGACAGGATCTTGCCGTTAAAGGGATCGCGCCTGGAGCGTCGAATGATGTCTTCAATATTTCCAAGTCAGGAAATTGTAACTGAACTCGCACATTGAAGGCATATAATAGTAACGGCTGACATACCTAGTCGGGCAACTCAGTCGGTCCCGCTCGTCATAAGCATAGCCACTCATATTTGCCAGCCAGCGTCGTGGGACGAACTAACGGGGCAGCACCTGGATATAGAACATCGACACAAAGGAATGGCTCTGGTAAGCTGCTTGCACTGCATCGAAGACCGACAACCTTTTGATAGAGGTAGACTCTGATCCAGATCACAGAACCCGTTCGGAGGATACAAAAGGTGCCATGCCGACGTCAATTGATGTCATTCTTAAGTGCGCTCGAGTAGATGCCGTTTAATGGTATGGCTATTGACGATAGGAGACGCTCATGTCACAACAGAGCACGATCGTCCGATCGCTCAGAGCCGGAGTTCCTCGCAAGAATCTTGAACAGGGTTTCATTTCCGAGTCGCCTGTGTAGATTAGAAAAACGAAAAGATGGCGCCCAGGAGAGCACAGGATAAAGGAATAAGGTTCAAAGAGTAGCCGAAGGCTAATTGCGATATGGTTCACGGAGCGCTGTGAAATCCTTACGAGTTTTTGGCAAGAGCTAACCAGTTGAAACACTGGATAGGATCCAGCCGTGCCTCGTGTCCGCGATTGCGGGTAAAGGCTCTCCTTTGAAGTTGCTAGATTAGTTGGGCGCAAATGTTCGATATGATATTTTGGTTGGAGGTTCGATCGGATCTGCTGTCAAAGTTGTGAGAAGACGTTCCATGCAATATTTTGCAACGAATCACGCCCCCCACCTACAAGCAACAATTAGCACGAACGGCATATCCAACATAACAAATAAATACAAACACTTATCCTCACCCTTCCTTTCCTTTTTGAGCTAATTGTGTTGCTCACTAGATTATCAGTCACTGATTTCAGTTTCTCATTGCTTTATTGTTATTGGGCATTTAGGAAGCACTGTTTTCACATATCCGCATCTATTCCTTGACTACAGACACAAAAGACCTTGCCGGGTCTGACTTTCAGATACATTGAAGACAAAAAGCATCAGACCTACTTTTTGTTCTCCACCAAGATCGCAATATCTTCTTGACACGCTCGCCCAAGATGGACATACACATCAACTCTTCAGCTATAAAACACGCAAGACAATGGCGGTGGTTAACCAACAAGCCTTCCGAGCTATTCATATTACATTCTTACTACAATGGCACCAGCAGCAGCCAACTACTATTCCGCTCCTCCTCATGCACACCAGAAGCAACGTGGCTATCGCATCTGCGATACCTGCGGTGCAGTTGAAAATCCAGTTGTCCAGAAGTTCAGACTCTGCGGTGGTTGTGTAGGTCCTTTCCCTTCTCTTCGATCACCAACCCTCCTGACACCGTCGTTATCCTTCAGATGACCACCCAGTACTGTGTAAGTTACTCAGGCTCCCCTGCATGTCATTTATTCTAACGCACAATTATAGTCCCCCGAGTGCCAAAAATCGCATTGGCCTTCTCATAAAACCATCTGTCAGCACACCGCTGCTCAGATGTCAGGTGCAAAACAGCAGGCCATTGGGCCTGCATATCCCGATGAAAACTTGGCGAAGTACCTTCGCAAGTTTACCTCAACGCACTCTTCACTTCTCGGATGGGCCGGTTTCCAAGCCCTTCAATTAAAGCGCCTGCCTGCCAATATCCGGCAAAGTGCGTTGCTTATCGAGCTGAGCTACAACGCTCACGCCGAATCATTATACCGGTAAGTTTTGGTCACCGGACTTTAAAAGGAGATAGTTTTAAATACTGATTCCGCCGGACACGCAGTTTCTCAGTAGCAAATACGCATATAGTCTCTCGGACATATGTAACCAGCCATGATCCCCTTGTGGCCGCTGATATCAGCCGACGAGAAGAACGTTGTCGTCGCAGTGGGGGAATTGGAACCCTTGTTATACTCGTACAATGTGGTGGCATTTCTCAAGTTATGCCCGTGGAAGTCGACCCACCTAGTAAAATTTCATGGGATTCGCGAGACGATTGGGCGGAAGTTCTCCGTCATTTCGTTGAATCTGGCCGAACAGATTTCAAACCTATATCCACGACCGCCAGGGGGTAAGCAGTCAAAGTTTGATGAATCGGACCGTGAAACTGACATGATCGAATCTTAGGGTCGTTTATGGCTAATCTAAATCATCGCCTTCTTGACTTATGATTATCTTTCGGCAACGTGAATCGTTGCATGACCAGCATTTTTTTTCGTTCCGCTGCATCGTGTTCGGACAATTTGTACTATTTGCGTCGCATTCATTACAACTTATCATACCCCACGATCTCATGTTATGTTGTAATTGTACTGCATGTCGATTTAATGGTTATCATTCATTGATACAGTTAGAACTCGAGCTTGAACCGCTCTGGGCCGGTTATGAAATAGTCGCCCCCTGCTTATGTAAAATTCATAGATGGACAACACGTTGACCCTTCCATCTCTTCCAACTTACTGAAAGTAATATTGTCCCTGATCAATGATGGCTACTCAGGGAAGGGAATACACATCTGCACCCGCTGATGGATCCCGGACGCTTACGCTACACGATTCGCAACCACGACCAGACGATGATGTCGGTCAGCCTGTAGTTGTGGGAACTCTTAGATTACGGGGGGAACCACGCAAGACTCGTCAGCGAGTTGCATGGGATGAAGACGTGATTGACAATGAGGGATCTGGAAAGAAAAAGTCAAAGAGTGAGTTTGTCCAGGCATAAATTCGTGTGGCGGAATTGACCCCGGACCCCTACTAGTTTGCTGTATATACCACAAACCTCGGCGGTTTGACGAATCGTCTGATGAAGAATCATCCGGGTCAGACTCTGATTCAGATTGTCAGCACAATAATTGCCCGCGTCAGAGAAGGATGCATCATCCAGAAGGAGACGGGCATAGTGATGGACTTGCTATGCGTGACGCCCCTAACAGAGGAGCGATTCATGAAGTAGAAGAAGCAGGGTCGAGTGGTAATGCGTATGAACGCGCCCCTAAGACTAAAAGGAATTAGGTACGTGGGTCATCAAGTACGGAGCGTTGTTCTGACGATGATCATGTCAAGATTACCCGTCAGGCTATACGATATCCTTGGTACTCTACCTATAGATTTGTAGAATATATAATACGCCTATTTGCATACCTTCAGGAGCTGAGCCTGCCACATGCATTCGGATTATTGACATGTTTTGCTCCTGTTCAAGTTGTAGAATTTTCTGACTCGTAGTGGAGCCTCAAATTCCTACAACTTGAACTGTGACTTTGACTTTGATTCCAACTTTACCATGCATCATCCCTTCAAAAGGACAAAACGCTCGCGAGAAATGACAGATTCCTCGTCGTATCGAGCGAGTTCGCCATCTCCAAGGTTGGAACAACGGTATCGTGGTCCAACTCATCTGCCTTCGTCCAACTTTCCACAGTTGGTTGGTTTTATCGTTGCAATTCTCGTAATTGGTACTCTCTACATTTCGCTGTCAAAATCAGCATCGCGACGTACAGGGACGTCACCTACTCCACCGAACACCACAGATTTCGAAATAGGTTCAACTCGAGTACGTTCACCGTCACCAAAAGTAATTGACCGAACCGTCCTTCATGTCCTTCATGATATCCATGAACCTGATGATCATCGCGATTTATCTCCCTCGACAGTCTCACGACCCCATCTCAAATGGCCCCCAATTGTCACCAGAATTCCCGAGTCTAAAGGTGTTTCAGAACTTGAACATACAGGCGTTCACGCTCCTAGTATGTTGACAGCTCCAGCTGCTGACGCAGTCCAATTCGATGAATCAGTTTGTGGTTCATTCCCTTGTCGCTTTCTTCTTCCCCTTCGTATCGCCGAGCAAGAACCGAAAGTCCATCTGCATCTCCACCAACTGGCTATTCTCGCAAGTAGCTTGAATCGCACTCTTGTTCTCCCGAATGTAGGCAATAATCGCATAGGGGCTTGCTCCAAATGGCCACTCGATTCATATTACGACGTGGACCTGTTCAGAAGCGCCCGCCCCGCTATCAACACTCTGCCTTTCACTGTATTTGACAGTTGGAGCAAAACGCGTCCCATCTTACCTACAAGCAGAGTCGTATCTTTCAGCGTCAGCAAAAGTGGCGAACGGGATTCACTGTCCGATCCACTGACTGACGGCGATGATTTCATCATCGATTATGGCCTCGCAGACCACAAGGTCGCTTCCTGCCTACACTCCAAATTTCCCAGACTTCACCAAAGCTCCTCTATGATTTCCTTCAGGTTCTACCACGACAATCCGACCAGGCCATCGATAAGCCAGCATCTTATCCGGATTCTCTCAGAAGCTGTGGACTCCGTGGAATATTTCTCAGACGAGCTTGCCGCGCTCCGGAAATCGGACGTGTTAACCATCGAGTGGGATCTGCGCCACCTGATCTTCCCTGGGCCCAATATGATAGACCTGCAGTACTCTCATGCTCTTGTTGAGCTTGCGGAAAGATTAGCAAGCTTCACAGGACCCTATATTGCTGTGTATTGGCGATTAGAACGCGTCCCGGTGGAAAACCTTGCGTGGTGTGCGGCATCGCTTGTCTCTACTCTTCGTTCAGTGCTCGGCGATGATGACTCAGGGCCTCAGCTGGTCTGGTTCGCTACCGACTATCACACCCCTTCAGAACAGCCAAGCGGTGTGAAGACTAAGAGCGCGAGATCTGGAACTTTCCAGGCTGTTAAGCCCGAGCACGAGGAAGTCATGAGCATCATTCAGGACGCATTCCAGACGGGTGGCGATCTAGAGGGATATGCCACGACTGAGCTTCCATCGCAGATAAAAAGGTTGAGAATGTTCGAAGGGAACGTTCAGTTTGAAGAAGGGGTTCTGGAGGACTCAGGAGTTTCAGGCATCCTAGACAAGTTGGTGTCGATGCAGTCCCAGGTTTTTGTAAGCGGGTCCAGGGCTTGCAGCAAGACGAGGTGCGTCTTCATGACAGCAAGTGTTAATATTTGATCAACGACAGACCACAGTTCCTCTTCAAAGCAAATAGTCGATTTCCGAGAGAGCGTAATGAGGGATAAGGAAATTACTCTGGACATCCGCAACGTTGTGGAGTTATTTGGAGAATGGTAGCGAGCTTAGTTCCTGAAGTTGAAGTGGACAAATGAGAAGGAACGCGAAGCAGAGCATAGTATAGTCATGCATAGAACATGCTCATACAAAATTTTGCGATCACCGAAAAATGCAAGTTCTAGCACTCTGACCGAACTTGTAGCGTCTCGCACCAACAAACCGCCTACTCTCTAGGTGCACCCCGACCAACACCTGCGAATGATGGCCTGTAATCGCCGGGCGCACCACCCTCCTTCTTCCGATAATCATCGCGGTCGCCGCGAGGTGCGCGGTAAGCACCGTCGCCACCACCGGGGCGTACGGTTGCTGGGCGTGGGGGGCGAGCAGCCCGCTTGTGAGTCGAAGGGACGATCTCGTTGGGGAGGTGTAGCCTATCGATACGTGAGTCCGAGTAAATAAGATATAACGAGATTACACACCACTCCCTGAGATATTCAACACCTTCAGGAGTCAAAACGTAGTAATACCACTGCCACGAGAATTGGGTCTTAACGAAGCCCCTGGAGGTCAGGCTCTGCATGGCCTTGATAACCTGGAGATTCGGGACATCGAGGTCTTCATGCTTCGGCGCGTTGTAGTCTTTCTTGGCGACCAGAACACCCTCTGAGATCAATTGATAATGAGCTCTGGAAAGCCATCGCAAGGCTTGTATGCCAATAACCATAACCCACCCTTGAAGAGGTTCTCGTAGATGGCGCGCCTGTTTTGTTTGGTGATAATCATGCTGGGCTAATTGAATGAAATGGGGAAGCTGAGGGAGAGTTGGAAATGGATCGGACAGTGCTCATAGGAATCAAACGTACTGCGATGATGATCTCGCACTTGTCCGGCTGAGGAAGACTGGAGTCAGTCATGTTATCCAACTGGGAGGTAGCTCATCCAGCCATGGGGAATTTCTGATACTCTTCTTTGCATCCTAATACACCCCAGACGATGTGAACAGTACTCACAAGGATTTGACGGGCAGGAAGGGCCTTGAAATGAGTCTTGACGTCGAGCTGGACAGCGTACGCGTGCCTCTTGGACTAGGTTTCGACGAGCAATGGCGGAGTATGAATATTTCCAAAAAAGGAATTTTGAACTAGTGTCCGTACTGAATTCTACTTTACGAGAAGAAACGACTTCCTTATCATTAGATCTGAGGCGTGACGGATCACTCTAGACACTGATATAATTTGTTTTCAAGGTACGGCAATATTATACAGTATGCAGTGCACGGCTACGTTGATACAAAACAAAAGGCTGTAAAAACCACGCAGAATCGCACCGACACTAGTGATACTGCTCACAGGCTCGATGCATAAGGTTTTTTCAACAATCATGACGGCTGAATGACGAAACCTGGAACCATGGTCCGTCGGAAGTTTACATCTCATGCCCCCCTTTCGAGCATACGGATCATCCTCTCGATGTCATCTCCAGAGATCGGATCCCTTGCACGACTAAACCACTCATTCAGGCTGAGGTCGCTCACTGTAATAGGAGATTGTCCGTTCGAAGGCGACCTCCCGACATCCGCGTTTATGCGCCTCGCCTCTAATATAATATCCTCCGTGTTCCTTGCACAAAGGGATTCGTAGTAAGAGTTGTACTGCCCCTGGACAGTCCTAAAATTCTCATCAATATTTTGTCGAACATATTTGGTAGGAAATCCTCGTACTTTATTTGCTCTTTATCGCGCGTTTCAACGGCCCGTTTTGCAAATTCGGAAGACACTTGCCCTTGATCATGATAAGCAGCTCCAGACGCGCTTGGGAAAACAGCTGGCGTATCGTCCCGTGATAACGTTGTGTTTGCTTTACGGTTCAGAAGGAGCGGCCTCTGTTGACCACCCTGACGACAACCCTTAGCCTGCGCATCGAGACTAGAACCCTCGAGAATTTGACTCATCGCAGGCTCTCGCACGCGGTTTACTTCTGCAGCCCATCTAGCCACTTTGGATGCGACTCGTTGGGGAGCTGGACTGAAAATATCTTCCGGAATGGGCATGCGTAGTGTTGTTGTACCTGAAGGCTGGTGCGATGAGGACGCACGGGCTACTGGCGCTCCCAGATACACCTTCGGCGCGGAGATATGAATGTCTACAGACCTTCGCTCCGCAGCAGCTTCAGCTGCCCAATCTGGGACGGGGCCGCGGGTTGAGGGAGCTCTGTGAGTCGTTATGTGATTGGAACCCGAAACGGCCATCCGAGGGGGAACGTTTCGATGAGTCGCATAGGCTCCGGCAGAGTGCAAGGGCTGCGGTCCGTAGGCCTTTGCAATGTGATCAGGTAGATCAGTCGTGCACTTCCTTGAATGTGTATGGTTTGGGAGGTTCACATTCAGAGCATGGTCGCCTTGCTCCAAGCCTGGTCCAACGAGTCGCAGGGGCGGGTCATATCTCGTCAACGTGCTTTTCAGAACCAAGCCTTGTGGTGTGAAAGACGCCGCCCGATGATTCAAGGCGTTCTTGCTAAGAACAACATGTGACGGTCTTCCTGACTGGGGTATTGCGGGACTGGACTCGATGGCTCCCCCAATACAATGAACCGGTTCTGGTGACTGTCCCGAAGGAGCATGGATAGATGCCGACAAGAACCGGTGAAATGGTGCGTTCGTTCCCGATTTTGGAAAATCCCATATCTCACTGGTTGGCTCCTGACTCGGACCTTCGAGATTGGAGTTAGATGTGGAATAAAGTTCGTCGTCTGACGCTATTTTAGTAGGGCCTTCCTTTATGTTTGGGGGGCATCCCTTGGTGTTCGGATATGTCAACAGTTGAGCGTTGTGTGCAGACAGCTGCGCAGAGGGAAATTCGCCAGTTATCGAAGCCTCTGGCATCGTCATAAACAAACTGCCCTCCTTAATATTCGTCTTCTGTGGAGCCGAAGAGGGAGGAACAAGGGGGATGGTGACTGACTCTTTTGCTTCCATAATCGCCTCGGGCATGAGCGTTTCATTACCCAGCGCGAAACTTATTTTGTTGGGGCTGTTGTCTTTGCATTGATCGCTGTTCTTCTGACCCAAAACAGTTGAAGCGCTGGTCTGCTTTCCATTATCGCCCAGGACAATCAATGACAGCTCAGAGGCCGTGCTGTGACTAGGTGTTAAGGAATACGCCGGTAGTGGGGACTGGACGGCTCTGTAAGGCTTTATGCTTTCCGCAGCTGGATCGCCAGGGGATTCATCCGTTGATGTCGTAGTCCCTAGACAATGACTAGGACCTTTCGATTCAGGAACATCAATCACGACACATGGATTGAGAACGTTCTGATTATTATGGATACCCTCCTGTCTCTTAGCTCCAAGCTCGGCGCTGCCAGGAATAGTGTGGTAGACGCCTTCCGAGTACGTCGGCTGCTCACCAGGAACTCTTTCCTTTGGCACCAGTCGGGTAATAGGATACCCTGCTTTGCAAGGAATTGAGGCTGTCGGCGTTGCTTCGTCATTCCCAGAGGACACTAGTGGTGAATAGGCGACTGGATCCTCGATTTTAACTACCGCTGGGCCTCCAGAATCCCGTGAACAGATAGCATGAATCTCAGGTTTCCCGGTGATCGCCCCAGGCGGGGTATCGTCAGGAGCGTCTGGCCTGATTTCGTGGTCTAGACACTTGGTATGCACATCTTGTCCGCCCAATAAGTCGTGCTGTTCGACAACCAAGAGCTCCTCTTCATCACCGACCTGGCCGCAAGATGCATGGAGCAGGGGTTCATCTATCTGCGACTCGACGATGACGCTGTCTTTGGGACAATCTTCAGAACTTGGGTTTGCATCCCCCAGAAGCGGCTCGACTCCAGTAGTTTTATCGCTGATTTCCTCCAGCAGCGCGGCAATATCGACGCTCTCGCATGCGCTCGTCTCGTCGTTTTCAGCAGGTGTTATGGTAATGATCGGAATTTGTGCTTTCGTGGCTGGTTTCCTCTGAACGACATGGTGGATCGTCTTGATACCCATTGAGATCCAGCAGAGGTAGGAAGCGAGCAAGGCGTGTAGCCGGTGAATTACGAAGCACGGCCACCTACATGCAGTCACCATGAACATAGCGATGTAACGAGCAGTGCTAGACAACATGTGCGCAATCTTGTTGAAGCACGCTACTAGGATCTTGGCGAGGCGCGCTGTACCAGTGCGGAGACAGCAACCAAGCTTAGATGTTACTTCTTTGATGATAGGCCACGACCAACGGAGGGCAGCCATGGAAAACGCCGCGACACACCGAGCGACTGCAGCACCTGGTTCCATCGTCTTAATCATTCTCATAAGGCTCGCCACACCAGGGTTGACAAGCAGAGCATCACAAACTACAACCTCCGAAGACTGTTCAAATGGTGCAGCGACAAGCATCGTGAGGATCCTGTGCAGAACGTATCACCGAGATATGTCAATTTGAAGCGAGCGGCTTCGGGGGTATAGGACTCACAGATAGTATGAGGTATGCTGCTACTCAAAGTGAGCGCATAACGGACGAAGAGCAGCACAGGACAGAAGGTGATTATGCGCGGAGAGAAAGGGGCGAGTGCTTTGTGCTGCTTCTCCCCGGGCACGGGTGACTGCTGACGTACCCAGGAAGGGAATATTACGTTGCGCGTGCGCTTCTGCGCACCTGGGGGCGGATTTTGAAACCAGAAAACGTGGTTAGGTTCCGCCAGCGGATCGAGAACCCAAGGTATGTGGGTTGGAGATAGTGGTGTTAATGTTGTAGTAGGCGTATCATATGAAGAGATAGGAGAAGATGTAGCTATTGATGTGGAAAATGATGGTTGAAAGTGAGCCAAGTCCCCTGGAATGATGGCATTTTTCGAATGTGGGTAAGGTGAACTAGGTCCAAGAAGTAGATGGGGTGGGAGATACGGGAGGGCGTGAAAGGTCTGCGTGACACGCACGCTGAAAAAGCGAAGCAGCGTGTCTAGCAGAAATGCCCAAACAACGGCATGGATCTCTGGAGGGATCATTCTGGACGCCGATCAAGGTTTATTTTGGGTGTTGCGTCGAATATGTGGCACTTTCTAAATTACAGGTGATTGAGAGGTAAAATGGAGTAACGAACGAAGATAATAAAACGGAGGGGGAGGTAAGCAGTTGGCGATGTTCAACTGTTTCAGTCGGCGCGACTGACATCACGTGACTGAAAATCAATGCTAAATAATTTAATATTTTTCCACTGAGTAAGCTACATATCTTGATCGTTCAACGTAGTTTTGACTTTTAAATTTGGAATCAGGAAGCCTGCCAGTGAGGCAGAGGTCACTGAAACCGACTCTAGTGTCTACGGTACGACACAACATACGACGCATGCAGTGGCGGCGGCTGTTCTTCCGTAATCTTACTTTCACTAACTTTGATTTCGAGTTTGCAAACGGATGTAAGTTTCACGTTCTTGTAAATTTTAGCGTCACGGACACCGCAGGACAGCTGTGGCAATTCTGCAATTCGGGAACATTCTTGTTACTTCATTTGGCTTCTGCATCATATGCCTCCTGGGGTGAACACGACAGATAAACGGTGCAACCAAGTGTCCGTTCTACGGTATAGTGTGCTGTAATTCTCCATTCATCTTTGGTTCTAGAGACTATTTGAGCAATTGTAGGACTGACTACCCACTTCTACTGTCTCTATCGAAATATGATGGCATCGCTCCTGATGCCAGACTAGACCTCTAGCTGCCGACGGCATGGTTGACCCCTGCTTGCGTATCAAGCAGGTGAGTTATCACGAAGAAAGCCACCAGAAGGTTGGGAGGCGGCCTGTAGGAGCCTAATCAAGTCAGCGCATTCGCCTCGCGTCTGAGTTCCTCTCACAGCAACAATACATACACCCAGCTCCGACAAGATTGGGGCTCGACATTGGTTTTGGAAACAAGCTTAAGGAATGAACGTCCGTCTTATCCTCACGGACAATATCAATGTCCAAACAAGTTACTTCTTCACCTCCTTGCTTCAGCCGAGCTTGCACTCGAACGGTCCTGTAATCATGAGAGTCAAGACCATCATCGCTATCAAATCAGTGAGCGGAATCAACAGGCTCTGGAGCTGATTTCTGGGCAAAGAAGGAGCTGGCGTTTGTTCCACGCTCTGCGAACAGTACTTGGTTAGCCCTGTTTGAGACCTCAAACCGGTCTTAGTATCCTTCGATACTAGCTTGCAATGAAACTAGTTTGCGATGATGGAAGTACACTTGAAACGTTTGAACACATAATGCTCACTGGCAGAAATTAGTAAGTTTCTTACACAGTGGTCTCGCTTTTGACACTGACTACGTACTTGAGCTTATTATAGTGCAGCGTGGCCTCTATTTTCGGTCAATTTCTACCATGTTAAGTAGCAGAATGCTAACAGGTACGTCAAGGCTCCGTTATCCGAGACACATACTTCTCAGTACCAACACTTCAGTGGACTAGCCGTGGACTAGCACATACAGGTACAGGTTTGTGAATAGTGTACTATAAAGGAGCTGGATTTTCGCTCACCGAACTGAACACCTTCCCCATACGTCCTCGTGGGTAGCCTTTTCACTTCTATAAGTTGTTCGTGCAGTTCATTGTAAACCCGTTCTTCAAGTTGTTATGACTCTCCATCAAAGCAGACAACATATCTTTACTAATGGAATGCTCGACTGCTCAGTTAGCCAGGCTGCTACTTCCGGTTCACGACCTACCTTCAGACCTAGATTCGGACGCAACCACTCCCTCACTCCTTCAGAAACCGTCTGACATATCCACCACCATTGAGGACCTAGATTCGGACGCATCCGCTCCCTCACTCCTCAAGAAACCGTCAGACATATCCGCCTTCATTGAAAATGAGCAAGCAGTTGATTTCAAGCAGATACTCAAAGACCTCATGAAACGGCAAGTGTTTCGTGGTGACTTGCATAAACTGACTGATTTGACATTTTGTTATCTCTCCCTCAGCCGTCAACATGAAGTGATCAAGGACTGCCCACTTGGTATCGTGTTTAAGGACTTGCGCGTCGTTGGTGCAGGTTCTCGTACTTCGCTCCAACCCACTGTAAGCTCACCTTTCCATCCCTCAACGTTTCTGCGCAAGATAAGGGAAATTCGCCACCCCCCCGACCAGAGACATCTTGTCCGGATTCGAGGGTGTGGTCACTCCTGGCCAAATGCTTTGTAGGTTCACGTCCGTCCGTCCTCGACCTCCGGTATTGACTTTCCGTATAGTGGTCCTTGGCCGTCCCGGTTCTGGATGTTCAACCTTCCTCAAGACGCTTGCTAACCAACGTGGGGAGTACCATGCTGTCGAGGGTGAAGTTTTTTATGATTCATTCACCCCGAAGGAGATTCATGACTCCTTCCGTGGCGATGTCACTTATTGTCCGGAGGATGATGTCCACTTTCCAACCCTGACTGTCAACCAGACGCTCTCTTTCGCTGTTAGAAATCGTACACCCGCAGCACGCTTTCTCGGCCAGACGCGCGAGGAATACGTTGAGGATACTACCACGAGGTTAATGAAAGTCATGGGCCTCTACCATTTGACAAATGCCTTGGTCGGTAATGCTGAGGTGCAAGGTGTTTCCGGTGGTGAGAGAAAGCGAGTTTCTATCGCAGAAACTTTAGGCTCTGCAGGCTCACTTTGTGTATGGGATAAGTAAGTTGCAGTCATTCAAGGGGTATTATTCTGAGTTGTTTCTATTCTAGCTCCACCCGTGGACTAGACTCCTCGACTGCCCTTGAGTTTATTCGCACATTGCGTTGCGTCACAGATATTAGACGCACAACAACGATCGTTTCTCTCTACCAGGCCAGCGAGCGATTATATGATTTATTTGACAAGGTCTGTGTTATTGCGGAAGGTAAGATGGCCTATTTTGGTTCGGCGAAGTTGGCCAAAGGTTATTTCATCGATATGGGCTTCGAACCTCAAAACAGGCAGACCACTCCCGATTTCTTAGTAGCAGGTAGGACATTACGGTTTTCTAGGATTGTCTCGTAATCATTTTTATCAGTCACGGACACGAACGGGAGGAAAATCCGCCCTGGATATGAGAGCTTTGTCCCGCGGACGTCGGAGGACCTTGCTAGCCGTTTCAAAGTGTCCGACCTCAGTCGTCAGAATCAAAAAACGATTGAAATGCGCTGCAAGCAATTTATTGGCAATCGCAAACACAAGCAGACGTATCTGTCTGGCGTAGCTGCTGAACGTGCCCCCAGATCTACCGCGTACATGACATCTATTCCCCAGCAAGTCAAAGCGGTCATGAAGCGCCGCCTGCAAGTTATTGTTGGTAATAAGTTCGAGCTCTTTGTACAACTGGCGTAGGTGACAGTCTTTTTGGTCCAACTCTCAGTGACACTGGGCGAAGTTCCCAGGTCTTCCAAGCGGTAATTATTGGCACCGTCTTCCTGAACGTGCCAAAGGACACCTCAGCCTATTTCTCTCGTGGGGGCGTTCTGTTCTTGTAAGTTATTTCCCTCGTCGTGGTCCAAGTTATGCCTCACGGCTCTTTCAGCTCCCTGTTCTTCAGCGCTATTACATCCCTTGCAGAAGTCCCTGCGCTTTTCTCCCAGCGTCCAATTGTACTTCGCCACCAGAAAGCCGCGTTATATTACCCCTTTATCCAGAGCCTCGCGCATACTGTCATTGATATTCCGATCACTTTGGTCATTCAACTGGTTTTCTCTGTAATACTTTACTTGCTGGTTGGGTTGCAACGTTCTGCCGCACAGTTTTTGTAAGTTCTTCATGCTGTTGGTACTTGGCTTTCATATTCACACTGTTGCACAACAGCATATTTTACCTTTTTATTTTCTTAATGTCACAAACCATGAAGACATTCTTCAGAACTATTGCTGCAAGCTTCAAAACTTGTCATAGTGCAATAGCCGCTAGTGGTATCTTCGTTCTTTTGATATCGTTCTATGGTGGGTATGCAATCCCTTGGCCGACTGCTCCAATGGGCTTGCGGTGGATCATGTGGCTGAATGTGCGTCATCCTATCCCTTGTAGAATGCTTCTTTTCGGTTTAGTATTAATATCGCTAAATAGCCTTTGTGGTGGGGGTTTGGTGCACTTGTTGTGAACGAGTTTCATACGCTTGACGGAGTTTGCTCCACTCTCGTCCCTCAGGGTCCTGGCTACGAGAATGTTTCGCTTGTAAACCAGGTCTGTACAACAGCTGGATCGCAGCCCGGGCAGCTTCTCGTCGATGGCAACATCTATGCTGGATTGACGTTTGACTTTTGGTATGGTCATCTTTGGAGGGTGGGCCGGTCCGTTGTGCTTTGTGAATAGCTCATGACACTACCCCAGAATTTCAGTGTCATTTGTGTCTTCTACCTCGTATTCTTGGCCGCTCTCCTAATCGCAACAGAATACAATATGTCGTCTACTTTCGACAGCGCCGTCATTCTCTTCAGGTCGAGCTCCAATGTTATCGATGTGTATGCCAAGGCACTTGACGAGGAGAAGGCAGATGCAGAGTTTCGCTCTAGAAACCACTCCAAGGTAGCTGACCCATCAACTTTCCACAACCTCGAGAAGAACACTGTGGATACGAACCTCTTCACGTGGCAGCACCTGCAGTATGAAGTCCCCATTGAGGGTGGTATGAAACGCCTTCTTGACGATGTCACGGGCTTTGTTGTCCCTGGGAAACTCACTGCGTTAATGGGCGAATCTGGCGCTGGAAAGGTATGACTTCCTATGATACCAATTGCACATCCTGTTTAATTGAGTGCTTGTAGACTACACTTTTGAATGTTCTTGCACAACGCGTTGCTGCTGGTGTAGTGGGTGGTGACCTGTTCGTCAACGGGCAGCCGCTTCCCATAGACTTCCAGGCTCAAATGCAAGTATCGCCTTGATTTGTGTCGACTTACCTGAATGTCGTGCTTAGCGGTTACTGCCAACAACTCGATGCTCACCTTCCCGAGGCAACTGTTCGTGAAGCGCTCCTTTTCTCTGCAAATCTTCGCCAACCCCAGTCAGTTCCTCTCACTGAAAAGAAAGCATAGTGCGTACGATTTGTTTCCATGCTCAATCCCAACTTGACTTTCTAGTGAAGTGTTGACAAGTGCCTTCAAATGTGTGGTCTAGAGGAGTATGCCGATGCTATTGTTGGTTCTCTTGGGGTTGAGCATCGTAAACGTACCACCATCGCAGTGGAGCTCGCTGCCAAGGTAGAAGGCGAACCCTTCAGGCCGAAGTTGTGCTAAGCATCTAACAGCCCAAACTGCTACTCTTTTTGGATGAGCCCACGTCTGGTCTCGAATCGCAATCTGCCTGGGCTATCGTGCAGTGCCTTCGTGAACTTGCTGACCATGGTCAGGCCATTCTCTGCACGTGAGTGCCATTTCCACTTGTGGGTTATCCGCTGCTTAAGAGCTGTATTAGGATCCACCAGCCTTCAGCAGAGCTCTTCCAGGTCTTTGACAGATTGCTACTCCTCTGCAAGGGTGGACAGACTGTCTACTTTGGCGACATTGGCGAGAACTCATCAACCGTCCTCAATTACTTGGAGCGTAATGGTGCTCCACGCTGCGGCTCCGACGCCAACCCGTAAGTGAGGTACAGTTGTACTAGGTATGGTGCTTACCAGTGTATTCAAGGGCGGAATACATACTTGATGTGATTGGTGCTGGAACAGCTGCGATCTCCATCACTGATTGGTACGATGTCTGGAAGCGTTCATCAGAGGCGATGCAACTTCAAGTTGAGATCGAAAAGATGCACGAACATGGTCGTACTTGCCCACAACAGCCCAGCGTCCAGTATTCCGTCTTTGCCACCTCATGGTCGCACCAGTTCGTTGCCCTCACCCAACGGAACTTCCGAGCATACTGGCGTGCTCCCGCGTATATACGCGCCAAGTTTGTGCTTAACATCGCTGGTGGTCTCCTTGTGGGTTTTACATTCTTCCAGGCAAATGACTCTTTGCAGGGCACTCAAAACAAGTTGTTTGTAAGTACATCGTCGAGATTCTTTGTTGAATCCTATTTTCACACTCTTTAGTCAATCTTCCTTGTCCTCGTGCTCAGCATTTCCCTTGTCCATCAGATCATGGCTGTCTACATTGACATTCGTACAGTGTACGAAATCCGTGAACGTCATAGTAGAATGTATCACTGGACCGCTCTCGTCGTATCACAGCTTGTTGCTGAGCTTCCTTGGAACATGACAAGTTCGGCGATGTTCTTTTTCTGCTGTTACTGGACTATCGGATACCCCACGAACCGGGCAGGTTACACGTTCCTCATGCTCTCTGTCGCCGTCCCATTGTACTATACGACGCTTGGACATGGCATCGCGTCCATGGCACCAACCACTCCAGTTGCATCCCTGTACTTCACAACTCTCATTATCTTTGTCTTGATTTTGTAAGATGCACGCTTTGGACCACGCTACACAATACTAATAGTCCATCAGTGACGGCGTAATCCAGCCATTCATGGAGCTTAAATGGTGGAAATGGATGTATAGGGTCTCTCCTTTCACATACATCATCGAGGGTCTCCTTGGTCAAGGTTCGTGAATGATTTCTTGCTGGATAACCATACACATTTTGGTCCTCGTAGCTATTGGCGGGGAAGCTATTAGCTGCTCTTACACGGAACTAGTCTCCGTCAACCCACCGAAGGGTTTGACATGCGACCAGTACATGGGTCCCTTCATGCAATTCGCCGGCGGCTACCTCACGAACCCAGAAGCTGCAGAAGGCTGCCAGTACTGTCCCTATACGACTACGGACCAGTACATGTTCTCGAGGTTCAACATCGCATACAGTAATCATTGGCGCAATCTGGGCATCGTTTTCGGATTCGTTGCATTTAACGTGCGTCACTGCCGGAAGTTGCTTGGATCTTGTGCTCACGCAACATCTGTAGATTACCGCTGTTTTCTGGTTCACATATTTCATGCGCATTCGCACTGTCGGTGTGTTTGCTTCTCTTAGGCAGAAGTTAATTCGTAGCAAGTAGATCGCGATATCTCGTGGATGTACTGACAGGACTATGTATAGGGTGCTGTTTGCAACCCACGTATTTATAAATTAAATGTCTGTACTACCAGCCCCGGAGCCGCGATAGCTTACAAACCAACAGAATACCGCCAGGATATGATGGGTGGTCGAGACAACAGAACAGGTAATATTGTGCTCAAGAAGAATAAAAACGTACAAGTTAGATAAGGAAAAAAACTTTCTGACAGACTAGCTGAAGATGGGTACATTTCTAGCCAACGAAACCCTCCTCCACTTCTGGAAGGAGAATGCCCCGCAACATCCTATCAACCCTCGCGAACGCACTCACTGTCCATAAAGATATCTGCACGGACAAAATTGTTGTAGATCTCGTTGGACGTAAGAAGCGTGTCTGTACTGTTCGGCGTCGCTTCGGGGTGGAGGAAAGCAGAGAGTGGCTAAACATGGTCAGCAATGCCGTAGGATAGCAGAATGTAAGGTGCAGAGAAAAATTTCGAAGGTGCCCAGAAAAGAAATAACGTACTTCGTGAAACTCGAGGAATGCTGCGGCTGAAGGGAGACTTAGTGAAAAATACGTGGGAGGGGATGAGACGTACAGCCTTTGATATACCCGTCGTCCTTCATTCCCGGACCGCCATGAATCTTCTTTCGAAACTGCTTGTTCGGATGGTTGTTCGTGTAGAACATAAGGCCTGCCTCTGCGCATCGCATATTCAATATAACATGAGTAGGCGCAAAGTTGAAATGTAAACATAAACATACGATTCGAATCAAAATCGACCTTCAACCCCGATTTCTCGCTTTTCAACTGGACCACTGGTTCATTCGTACTCTCGAATATCTCTTTTACGATATTTAGTTCCTCCCCTGCTTTCGCAGTATCAAAATCTTTCGCAGATATACGGTGTGGCACGAGTTTCTCGCATAGGCGAGGAGCGAGAAGATAGTAGTGGTCATACCCGTGGTCCGGACATCCCTCTTTGATTAACTTGTCGTTATGCTCGTGCACTGTGCCACCGACTGGGCAGTATTTTCCCGAGGGGAGACTATTTGGAAGAAGCTCAGCAGTGTGGCTTGCCTAGGATGTCACGCAGCTATCAGCCCCAAGAAATAGAGTGAGAGGTACGATACCCGGCGCACCTTAATATTCAGCCTGTGATTCTTCACTGAAAGCTTATCCCTCCCGCTTTCACCCTCCTGCAAGCTTGCGTCGAGGTTGAATCCCCAGTGCTAGATTGGATCAGCACTTGTTTTCTTTGAGATGATTCAGATACATACTTGTGTCAGATTAATGGGAGTAACGCCTTCATTTGCTAACCTCGCCCTGTACAAGATCACTATGCTTCCCAACTTTCCTTTCTCGCCTTGTGCAGGGGGGAGCAGCGCAACGAGTGTTTCCAGGTGCAATTCCCCTGGATAACCTTGATCTCCGTCTTCTGATGTGTACGTATAGATAGCTGTGTTATTAGATGACTCGGACGTAGAGGAGGTCTGGATAGTGCGGATCTCAGCAGGTGTGAAGAGCTTGGCGTTTTCGAGGGACAGGCGCTGCCAAACTGCAAAATCAAACCCCACGAGACCGCCATGTAAAGAAACTTCAGGGGATTCTGGCGAAATGGAGGTTAGACAAAGGTACACGCTTGAGGAGCGGAAGAAGGGTAAGATCTGAGACTAAGACTGGAATGGAGAAGAAAGAGGTCGACAGTTTAAAAGCATCATGGAACCCACCATTACTAACGGGCCTTGCCAATCTCTCGAATCCATCCTTCTTCACTATATGCTCCCCAACCCGCACGCGGTTGGCGTACCGCCCAATAATGGTGTTGGTGTATTTGAATGTTTCATAGTCTTTAGGATTTTCAGGACCGATGAGGATATCGTGGGTCTGATTTATTTTGGATGGTGTTCATTTTGAACAACGAATTGTCAGGGAGAGAAAGTGTTAGAAAAGATGGCGGATGATTTGTTTTGACGAAACATGTCACATTCGAGCATTGTGCATTAGGTCAGTAAGTATAGGTCCACTCACATGAAAGATGCAATGCAAACCTTTCCCTCCACCTGTACAATGATCCTATGTATGGTCACGCCATGCGGGAGGACCTGTGCGTTCATAAATCAAGGATCATCAGTCTTTACTTGATATTTAGTATTCCAGCATAAACTGCCCTGTACACTTGTGCCATTCCACAGAATTGCCAGTGTAGACCCAGACTACAATGAAGTCCAATTGACAATCAGAACACTTACCTCAACGGCAAGTGGTGGTGTTAATGCTGACGAGAGAGACAACCACTCGCCCTGATATCGCTTTTCCATCATATTCTGTGTTGCTTCAAGCTGCCCTCTTCGCAGAACTTTGAAGGACTATCTTATCACTGTCGCGGTGCGAAGGCAGTGGTTGCGCAAACATAATGGTACAGTAGTAATATCATCAACCTCATGACACTAACGGGTCTTGAGCGCTCTGAGCGGTGCACCGTCGGTCCGGGGCCGGTTACGGCAGAAGTTTTGGACCAGCTGATCTGACACATCGGGGTTAAGAGCACCGTGACTTTGAAATTTGAATGAGTGGGTGCAAAATCTGATATAAGTCGTTTAGGGCCACATCCACCAATCGTCAAAGGTATATCTTGAATTCTGTCCCTCACCTTGTGTATGCTGACAATCCATATATTCCTTATTTCTCAGGACGTCCACAAACTCGCTCGTTTCTTCGACATCATGCATGATAATGCACCCTTGCGTGTTCTCCTCTTTAAGCGGTTGCTTGTCACTCTCGCTCGTCCCATGAAACGTGCAGTTCACATTCCCTATTTTTCGGTTTCTTGATCTCATCAATATCGATCGCTGCATCTCTCTGGGACAGAATATTTTTACGGATGCAGGAAATTCTTCCTTCATGTAATGAACGGCAGATTTCTCTCTGATTCTTTCTCTCCCAACTGGCTATTCGCTCCTCAAGCTTGTCGACAATCTTCATCTATCTATTCACCAGTGCATCCATCCGATCTTGTCATTGCTTACATATGAAGTACCAAACTAGAGCCATCACACACTCATTAACTCTGCATTCAAAGCGTGTACGGTCACCGCCCATTCATCATCGCTTTCGCTCCTGCTGCCTCCGTCCTTGTTCACATCATTTGATCGTTCTTTCTTTGTACAACAACCCCTTCTACTTTTGTACGACCGCGCCTTTCCCCCCTTCTTTGTACAACCTCCTACTCTCATTGTACGACTGCCATCGTCGCTACACACGTCGATTGTGTTTTACGACAGGGGATCGGATACGTGTCCTTTTGGTCGCATTTGTACTAATCAGCGTATACATGAATCAGAAGGTTGTTGATTCTGTTTGTGTGGTACTTCATTGATAATTATAGACAACGTCTGTCACGAGGTCGACTTGGGCGCCGTTCAAACCTGTGTTGGGTCAATGAAACACAAGATGTTATTCATGGGTCAAGGTCAAGGCTGAACGTTGCATCACACACTGGACACTGTAGCAAGAATACTTCGAAGATCGCACGGGCACCGCACCGAAATCATATGTGGCGTTCAAACATTCTTTGCGAGTCACTGCTTTGCGATCTCACCAACAAATTTCATCTTGATCCCATTGGTATCCCTGGATGCACATCGTCTTTCTACTGGGATTGGGCTGAAACACTGACTTCGATCAATCAGATATTATCCCTCAAATCCCACTTCGGCGATGTAAGCGCTGGATTGTGGTATATCAAGCACGGATGCGATCGTTATACGTCCGCCAGGTTCCCCCGCTCGCTCACTCCCATCCTCTAATAATATGACTGTAGTCTCAAATGATCCCAGTTGGTGGCCACTCATCGATGCGAGTATCATCTTCAGCTATTTTATAGGTTCGTGGAGAGTCAGCCTCATATGATGACGGTGATGATTCAATTCACCTTGACTACAATTTCGCAGTTGCTGCCTCTGTCGGGATAATGTACGATTGGGGTGAGCAAGACTAAGTATGAAAAGAACCACTAATATCCTTGTGGTATTCTCAGCGCTTACGTTGGGACAAGAGGTAGGTCAAACTATTACTAGGGCAGCCAGCTCGCTTAGAATTGCGTTATAGGTTGAACTGATCTGGGTGAGCGGACTCTCACATCAAAAGAATGACGTGGAAATTGAGCTTGTTTACGGCAGAAGCAACGCTGGTCCTTGATGACCTTTCTCTATCTCAGTGTATGTACCTTGTGTTTCAATATTTACGCTTAGCAAGTCCAAGTTTTGCTGACTTCAATATATCCTAGGTGCGTTATATTGGAATAGGATATGCTGTGTACGTTTGGAAGTTTAAACCATTGATGTTGCGCTCATTGCCCATCTCTTACAATCAGGATCTACGTGCTGGGTATGTGTCCTCGCATACCCTCTGTTTCTTTCTTGTGACGGGCGGCATACAGTCAGTGTTCCAACAATTTCGATGACAGATTCAGTGAGTATTCCACACCGAAGCCTTCTATTGCCGTCCAAACACTGAACTACCATGCAGGGGTGAGTGAGATTCTCGAACAACTCGTTGATTCAACATAACGACTCCCACAGTTGTGAGTTCGTTTGGAGCCTGCGATCTTCCGAAGCTGATAACTAATGTTACTGTATTTGTAAGGCCTTATCATCTACGACATACATATTTGGATGGGTGACGTTGTAAATGTAATACTGGGCGGTGAGCTATGCACCTCCGTGATATTCACTTTACTGAAACATCATGCAAGTCATCGTGATCACTCGGTTATATGCCATGTATCAGCAATCCAGAAAGGTGCTGATATTTCTCGTTGTCATCTTTCTGGTCATCAGAATCGCCAATGTAGTGATGGGCGCAATGATAATGGTGCATATGTCAGGGGGTAAGCTTTAATTATGTATGAAATGTTTAAGTGCATCAAGCTCATTGACAAATACCAGAGGAATTCGTTCTCTTCGGCACTTATCAGTGCGTGATTGGCAATGCGGCAGATTCCCTATTTCTGGATTGCATGACTTGGATACTTGGGATTGTATGGGAGGTCCTTGCACTGTGTCTCGCGGCCTGGATTGCTATAAAGCACTTCCGTGAACTGCGACGACACTCAACAAGTGGTATTATTGGGGACTGTTTCACGGTGTTAATGAAAACTCACGTGAGTTACTTTGCGAGGTGAGCTCATAATGTGAATGTCGTTCTCTTGTTCTGCTGAAGTTTTGCGCGTGCTAGTTTTCTGGCTATCTCTTGCTCCGAGATCGGTTTATTCTCTTCAAAGCTCTCAGCGGTATGCCGATCTGTCACCGACCTGTACATGCAACCATGATTCATCATTTTTATAGGACGCATACTCCTTGGACACTCAGATTTATCTCGGTCTCACTCAGATATTCCAGTTCGTGCAGTTGTTTGTGCTGGGACCACGCCTGATCCTCGGTGTTCGAGAATATCACGCTAAGCTCGTGGCCAACTCTGACACAGCAACCGCTATGACTTCAATTGCTTTTCAGGAGCACGTCCATGTGTCAACCAGCAGTAGTGTGTAGCGCAGGAGATGCTCGATATAATTGATTTGCGATGCGCGGGTAGTGTGTAGGGAGTGGGAGATTTTTTATTTATTTATTCTAGGTTTTGTCGTGGTACTTATTTATGTAATTGCGCAGTAGATATAGGTCATACAAGACCTTTCGGCGAACTATGAGTAGATATCTCTCCCCGACGCTGAGGTTCACGCGCTCAATCTCAGTAGTACTGTCAAGATTGTAGTGGCTGGTGGAAGTCTGTTCGTTCCTGATGCCATTGCTGAAAGGTGGCTGTTTGTAATTTGTATTTGTGCTGGGACCAGTGCCATTGAATGTCTGCACCACCAGTCCTGGACCCGCGATAGCTTACAAAACAGAATATCGCCAGGATATCCAACCACTGCTGATATGTCGGTCATCGCCGGCGACGGCACCTAGTCAAGGGAGCTGTAGGAGGGGTAGTGGTGCGCAGGTGACTTCATAGACTCGTGACTTCAGCCCCTAATCGAAATAGGAAACTACTGCTACTGTGACGTATGACTGGGATGTAAGTTATAGGGAAGCATCTACTTTTCAGAGTCCTACGTAAGACCCAGCACTCCCCATTTCAACACGTACTTACTGTACAGTATTTTGCCATGGGCAAAAGAAAGCGCGGTGGCCAGAACAAGCGAATTCTCAGTTCTGATGAGCTGCAGACAATACTGATGGAGAATGTAACAACCCACTATTCCGCCGAGATGGCATTGCTCATGCTTACGGAGGGGCATGGCTTTACCATTCCTTTGCTAAAGCAGACCATGGCCGGTAGGTTCATCATCATTTACCAAAACTACTCATTATTCCCTTTTTTCCCGTAAGATTCAGGTCAGGGGTTAAAGATCAGTTTTTCAAACATTCGCTTCGAAGACATCGCACATTTAGTGGGCCTGGATCATCTCCGCATGATCAAGGACATGGAAACCTTTCCGCTACGTCGCTCTCGAATCGACACTGGGCTTTTCAAATCGATTGTAGAAGATATCGATGCAATGATGCTTCAATATGGGTCGCCCACTGAGCATGAAAATGAAGAAGCCCGTTCACGGTTCCTCTCGCCTGTGAGCGCAACTTAAACCCAGCTGATCAATATGATAACCTTATATTATTTAGATCTTTAATCGCATCTCAATTGTATTTGAAGGTGTGTTCCGCAACAAACCCGAAGGCATGATACCTGGGCGTATTGCCAGTCAAGGGAGAATCGAGTATTATTTCAAAATATTCGGCGTTATCACCACTATCTTCATCGAATTCATGAAAAAGATAGGCGATACTGGCACTGACCGCTTAGATGCGATCGCACAAGTGATTGCGGAGTGTGACGGTGAGTGATATCATTTAGTTACTGCTAATACTAACAACCCCTAAAAACCTTAGCTTGTGATTGGGTGAATACACAGAATGGTTTCAGCGTGCCTATATACGCAATCCTTTGTGATGGTGATCGTTTCGAGTTCTATCAATTCACTAGCCAAGATCCCCGACCACACAAATTCTCCCGAGGCGTATACTCCCCAGACCGACTTTCTCGTACCGCCTTGCACAGACTTCGACTTCCTGACTTGTCGGACTCCAATAATGCCCTTTCTTTCATGACGGCCTTACGACCGGTATGCGAGGTGATATTTGACCTGTTCTTGCAGGGATATTGCTCTGCGGTCGAGGCACAACATGACCGTTCAGCCCCAACGCCAGGTACCGACGAACAAAGACATAAGAATCTAGAAGCATGGAGGGACTCGTACGCTCACGCGGTTAGGGCGAAGGACAAGTTAGAGAGGCTGACGAGTCGCGTGCAATGGGGCAGGTCAGTAAAGCAATCTCGGATGTTGGAAGGCAACAGAAACTCTGGAAATGAGATAAGTTCCTCAATATTTGGCCGTCTCATCTGTAAGGCTGAGTATGAGTTCGAAAGGGAATGGTGAACAAAACGAAGCTGAGAAGAGACAAGTTTTAGAGGACAGTTGAGACGGGGACTTTCTAAGAGGCTTTTCGGTCGTGCTTGGAGCGAGGATCTGACTCTAAGATTCGCTGTAGGTATGAGGTACATGGGGAGTATATATACGTTTTGAATTGCTTGACTAGGCCGGAACGAGCGTGAAGAGCATATGGCGAGGTGAAAATACTTCGGTGAGGAAAGTGTATCGTGAATTGGGGGCACAAGGTAGAATAATGAAAGAGATAAAGGAGAAGTGAAAGAAATGAAAGGAATGTATCCACGTAACTCGGATGCGAAGAGTTGCGCTCTTCGCATAAATGTGTCACGTATGTGTCGCAATGCAGTATTAACCTGGTCCCCATTTTTGATAGGGTCCATCCTATCATGAGCGACTGGGACGATGCGGCAATCGAGTCGGCTTAAGAATGGTAGATTTTCTAGCGCACTGTTTGAGGGAGATGTCACGATTTCGCACTGATTCTCGCATGTGATATTTCCGTTGATTATTGTGTATCCTTAACTATAGTCGCACCACTTCAGAAATTGCACGAAAACGACGCTGATATGCATTGCAAGAACCAGCGAATGACAGAGCAAAAAATTTCCAGTCTGGTGGTCAATTTGTGAACTTGTACACTGTCGAAGGAACATCAGCACACCCAAAATTCTCAAAACCAAAACGAAAAATTACCACACGCGCCCATCCCCGGCTCCGTTGCAAATACACAACTCGCGAGGTCCTCCTCGCTCATACCCTCATATGACGCATATTTCTTCTTCACATGCTTGATAAACGCCTCCACATCTTCTCGATGTACGAGAGAAACGGTGCAGCCGCCCCACCCAGCACCTTCAAGCGCATCAAATCGGAGGAAAATAGGATGAGCGAAAAAGAACGCACCAGTCATGCGACTCCCATATATTCTCCCCTTCCCCCGTCCTGTCTCCACTTCCCTAAAGCTCCGCGCGACACGGACGAGATCGTTCACTTTCGGATGCGAGCAGTCGAATTGCCTGTGGCAGCTGTCGTGCGAGTCGTTCATAAGCTTACCGAGGGTCTGGAGCTTGGATTCTTCGTTGCCTGGTGATTGAAGGGTTGATGGGCGATATGTCGATCAGCGTCGTCGAGGTCATGCAGATAGTGTTATTTAATCGTCACAAAACGGACCCAAGGAAAAAATGCACCTCCTCCAGCTAAGCAGACCTCCCTAAATTTGAGCACTTTGAGCGCCTCTTCAAGAACATGCTGAGCACGGAGATACAGTTCGAACTTAGTTGTTTCCGCTGATGAAATTTCAAACAGCAAAACATGTCAGGACGAGCATGGGAGTTCGGCAAGTCAGAGTGATGAATGAAATAGCACCATCAAAAAAGCTCACCGTCCACCCCCGAAAGATACACCTCCCTAAATTCTGCCTCATCCATCCCACTCTTGTTAATCATCTCATCTAGAGAAATATCTGTTCTATTGCCAAACTCTGGCAACAAATAGTCCATAGCAATCCCCAATACGTCCACCAATCCTTTCCGGAGCTGCCCAAGATCTTCCAACTGCGCATCTTGCTCATCTTGATAGAAGCCACTCTTCCGAGCGAGGACTTCACGTAGGGTCACGAGACGCCGCTTCGTGTTGTCGCCGTCTGTGGAATCGACTTGGAGATTAAGACGATGGGAGAGGAGGCGGGCGGCTGCAAGGGTCTCCGCAACACGGAGGTTGTATTGGTGTTTGGCGCTTTCCGCTTTGTTGGAGACGACTAGGCTGTCACCGAGATTAAATCTGTCAGAACGTTTTGGACGACTAGGAACTGGCTGAAGGTACCTATTAGCACAGACAAACACGGCATCGCGCGGAAGTCCGATTGGCTCCGCATGAAGGGAAGGCACGAAAGAAACATATAGTGCACTGCCAGGAAGGGCGATCACGGAAGCTGATTGGTCCATCCTGCAAAGAAAGTGAGCGGCTAGTTGCGTGGAAAACACAGATATCGAGGGGTAGATCTAAAACACAAAGCCGCCACACAAAAGGACCAAGTGAAGACAGCGACACTCACCCTCCACTGTTCACCCCAACTCGTCTCTCATTCTCCATCGCAATATTTACTAGCTCACCCTTGGTTGGCTTGGTTGGGGCCTTTTCCCCGTCAAAAATACCGTTGGCTGCCAAAAATGCCAGTGTACTCGAGACGACCATGGCTGCGCTGCTTGAGAGACCGGAGCCAGGGGGAACATTTCCAGTGACGAGAATATCAACAGGAACAGGAACGGACGATACGGATGATGGAGAGAAGAAATGATTCAGAACGCCCTATACCCAGCAATTAGCATCTGTAGAAGAATTGAAGTAAAGGCGAGGAATAGAATAACTTCAAAAGCCGGAGATGGGACACGAAAGGGCAAAGATACATACATAATATCCCGCCTTGACATAACTCTCCCATCGTAACTCGCTTTTATCGATATCCAAATGCCAGGGGGCGACACGCACAGCGTCAAGGGGAACGTCGTCTCCAAGCGTGTGACGGCGAGTCGGCATGAAGACCTGACGTGTGTAACGAGTATGAAGGTTCTCAGCTACGACAGAGCCTGGCGCATGCCCGTCGGGATGCGCGGCAACGGTAGACGCTGGCCGCGGAGCACAAGCAATGAGAATATCATGCTCTATAGCAGCTGGCAAAACGCCAAAGTCCGCGTAATCTATGTGTTCACCTGTGTCCTGTAAGTTACCATTGCATTGAACCGTAAATATGAATCATACCAATGAGGCTGTATTACATGGGGAATGATGAACACCAGTGGGAAAAGGAGGGAGTGTGAACGTACTTGACCCGGCCTGGGGCTCGGGCGACATAGGTAGGTTTATGCCCGAACTTGGTCTCGAATTCTCTGACAAGCTGGTCCCAGCGTTCTCTGCCCAGAACCGAAGCGAAGAACAAACTTCATTGAAAATCAGTACATAAGACCTAGAGTCCAGACTCACGCGTGTTTGGCTGCTGTCGCAAGACTGCCATACACTTCTTTCAGGGTGGTGAAGATGGGGATCGGTGCGTCAGCTGCTGGAAGAACTGTCATCCTCAAAAGTATGAAATGAACTGTAAACTCCAGCCCTGCCCAGCCTCGGGGCAGGGCAAGGGCGGCCCGGGGCACGACGGAGCGCAGAGGCCCGGATTTATTGATGTGTACTTGCGTTTGCTTGTTCTTGTTGTAAGCAGACGGTCTAGCCAAGTATACGTTACCCGGACGTTAACGTTACTGTCAAAAATCAATTTTTTGTGTACATAAGTACTTATTGCACGGAGAGCAATTGTGTGAACAATGTCACTCACTGGTGTTCCACCACAAGATGCAGAGCGATGTAGACTGAGCTCCTTGTTTGCACGAACATTCCCGGACCATCGAGACTGCGAGACGCTGCACATGATGTTCACAAAACTGATCCGCCACCTGCTCTCTTACTTCGCGATATCACATCTTTGTGAATAATATGTTGTCGCCATGACTCTTTCTCCCCTGATACCTGGCAGATTGTCTGAAGTCACTGATTTGCAAGGGGCCGCTAGGTCAGAACCACACATTGGGGGAGGTGATTCAGGGCGTCAGATCATGTTCTAGGCCATGGCAGGCATGGTCCGGCCCGATCGATCACAGACTCATCCGAGTGCTAAGGACTGGCAAATCCCATCGCAGCATATTAGTGCCTGCACCACTGATCATCGCATGCGACATTTAATTTCAGTATTGAAACGAAGGCCAGATGGAGAAACGAAGTCAAGAATATTCCATTCATTCTTCATCCTCGTTGGTCACTTTCTACTATTTTGTCTTCATTATAATTAATTGCCAGCCTTGCCCCTGTAACCTGAATTTATCAGCTTCTTGTCTCCTGTACGGCCTCTTTTACGCCGACTTACAGTCTTCCTTGTTATCACCATCGATCAGGCCTTCGAGGTCGACCAGAGCACTTCACTCATCAGTTCTCTTGTAGACAACTCAACGTTGTGTAGACTAATTAGCTGGATTCCGCGGGCTGGTATATTACGCCTGATCCGCGGCTCCCTAGTGGGGTCATTATATAGTCACTGGCCCAGATCGATACTCGCTCGCGTCAATCTCGCTTGTTCACCCATCCTCATCTTCGCTGTCACCCCCGTATTCCAAGCCTGCCGGCATGAACAGTTACGAACACCTAGAGATCCAGTAAGTCTAGAACATTCAGTCCCTATACTACTTGTTCCCTTGGCTTGGATCCGAGATGTTAACATATCACGCTTTTTTTATCACACCTCAGATACCCATGGTCTCCATATACCCCGCCCATGTCCGCGCACGTCGGATCATTGCCACGTTCCTCGTCGCCATGGTCCGACGACACGCCATTCGTCGAGCGTGAACAAACTATTGTAGGTTCTTATTCCTCTATTTTTTGATTGTAGGTGCCGATGCAACGCGTATATTTCAGTGCTCAGATTTCACATGTTGCGGGCTGTCTCTTAGAGACCTTCACTCATTGGTGGATCACTTCGAGGAAGCACATGTCGTAGTGTTCGACAGCGCCGGGAATGCTGTGTACCCGAACCCTAGCCCGATACTTCGCGTTCTAGATCACGAGAACGAGGGACCTTACATGAGTTTAGTGTTGGGTTATCCTGCACCAAGAGCTCCTGTGGCGTTCTTGACCCGAGCTCATCTTGTTTCGAATCTGTGTCTAATTGGTCTTCGCCCTCTATCAGTTCAGAGCCGATCAGTCCTGTAGAGACGAGTTCAGAGGAATGTCTACCACAAAACTCGTTCGCCAAGGTAAAGAGCAAGCCAGTTCGCACTGGAAAACGGGTCCATCGACCTCGTCAACGAAAAAAGGACAAGACTTATAACTGTCCAGTGAGCATGTTTGATTTCGCCCATATGCTCGCTCCATTAATTTCCGCTGATTAGCGCCCTGATTGCACCAAAGTAAGTCTAGGCTCGGCATCTTCAAGAGGGGAAGTGAAACCTAATGTCCACAGACGTACTTGAACGCAAACGGGTTGAAATATCACCTCGAAAAAGGTACTTGTAAAAATGAGATGCCGATACCGGAGTTCTACCGCTAGTCCCAGGTGAGCCAAAGTTCACCTGATCATTGACTGGCCCCGCATCTACGTGTATATCAAGGATTCCTCCGCACCGAAGCAGGCTGAGCAACCCGCTTAGTACCCCACACTTGGAATCCGCGGGAATTCAGGGTCAAGACTACTACTACAAACGCCGGTGCTACCAACCAACGCCAGAAGCGGCTATGTTAATAGCGTACTTAGTACATAGTGTACATATACTAAATTCGTTCGCAAACCAGATATATCCAGCAACTATTAGACTGCATCAGCCACATTTCGCATTGTGTACAATTGACGTTGAATTTCGCAGCGTACTGCGCCTGCAATCGCGTCCGTTTCTTTCGCTTTCATTTCGTATATTAGGTTCATATTATATAGGCCCATTTGGATCCGTATCAAGTGATGTAGCTTTATCTGATGTCCTCATAATTGCGACTTGTTTCGTTTCTCCTGTCTCGAGCGTTGATCTCACGTCTTGTTAAAATATTCTATCTCAAACCATAAAATAAAAATTCGAGTGATAGCGTAATTTTACCCTAAAAGAATTTGTTTAAACAGATCTGATAAAAAAGTTTGTTAACGGGTGAATGTAAAGCCCACAGTCTTGTCGTCACGAACGATCTGGCAGATATGATATTGAAGTGGCTGTTGATTTTTACGTAGAAAATAGTGCTGGTGACCATGCACATGATTCAGATCTGAGTCTGACTTGTTCAAATGCATGCTACGGATACCACATGGAAATAAAAAAAAATAGGATAATCGGGGGTGTCAAGGCATGAGGCCGGTGTCGTTGTGCTGGCGGTCGGACCGGAAACCCACAGGGCCACAAGGTGCAAATCGGGACAAGTGGTTTCAATGAAACCTCACTCTTCAAGCAGCTCTCTCTCACATCCTTCTCTTCCTACATTCAGGACCATACAAGGCCTTGCAAGGGCGTGTTAAGACCAGCGCCTGATATCTGTCAAGTCCGATATCTGGTCCGGTTAACTAAATACCAGAATTCCGTGAATTCCTCATTCTAGAATAACTGGGATTTCTAGCAGGCACGGTCTTCTCGTGATTTCAAACGTTGATTACAGTCCCCAAAGGCGCTTGTATCTTCTAACGTCCTTGACTTCACCCCATCTCCATGCTCACAACCCTTCCTACACCTGTTCTCTCTGTCACACCCGATGCAGTGAAAGATCTTCAAGGGCGAGATGCCCTCTCAGCTCTCTGGACTAGTAAGTTTCAACTGCGTTATTATTTGGCTTTCTAACTCTCTTTCTAGTTTTCACAAAGTGCAAGGAGTCACTTCAGGATGGCCGAAGACTTGAGAATATCTCTTGGAGGCTATGGCACCGTGAGCTTATTCTGGCTCAGCAGGCATACCTGCCGCCTACGCCGGACTCCGTCTCGAATCCCAAAGTATCGTCCGATACCCGCAACTCGTTCTTTCCCCTTACCGACCCTGTCGAGGTAGTTCAGCCTTCAGGTATGTCCGAGGATCATTTCCTTTTTTGTCATTGCTCATCTCGCGTTCTCCTTGTGTTCCGCACATGTAGGCACACTCCCTTGCCTGCATTCGACATCCGCATATCAACATCCTCCATCCCCTGCATCTACAACGAGCCCTGTTGTTCCTGAGCGCCTGCACACATCTCAATTCTCATCAGGCACCCCCGTAGCACCGCTTCTCACCACTTCCTTCCGCCCCAAATCGTCTTCGTTTGTAGGCCGAATAATAATAGACATGTTGCCAAATAATATCCTTATACCCGACAAGACGCCATCACCGTGTTCGCTTCAACAACCTACCGTGCCCTCCGTTCAGCTTCCCTCAACGCCTACCTCTGCAGAAGCTTACTTTCCGCGCGTCGTCGTCGTCAACCCCACGCCCCAACCTACTCCACCAATGACGCCTTCCCTCAGTGAAGAACCAACGGGTGCTTCACAGCCACCATCAACGTTTCTTCTACCGCCGCTTCCCCCGCCCGTACTAATGATGAAACGTCAAGCGCAAGCGGAACAGCCGCTCCCGCAGTCACCTCCACCTGACGAACTATTACCGTCTCCGGCCCCGGCCCGAGGCGCCGAGTCGTCGAAGGTCTCTGGAAGGTTTTTCTTACAGCAGAGCCCTGATGATGCGTCCCCGGAACGTGACGGCTCAACGGAGAGCGGAAAGAGCCGTGTTGATTTGTTCGATGCGTCGAGCGCGGCCTCCAGTCAGATGCACAGCACTGATAATGAGAAAGAAGTAACGAAAGAGCTGAAGGAGAAAGATCGTGCCGGTTCTAAGCCCAAGAAGGGTAAGGAATTGGGGAGATCGTCTGCCCGGCCACCTTTGGCAAAACGGACCCACTCGGCAAGGCACATCGGGCCTTCGATTCAGCGCAAGCATTCGATTCAGGATAGTAAACCGCGTGCGATGTTTAATATTGGTTCCAACTCGTCGAACGGGTCCAAGTCTGCTAATGGGAGCTCGGCGAAGCTCACTCCGCCCCCGCCTCCACCTGCCCCTGTGGTTAATGGATTGGGCGCTATGCTTCACGGTATGACAGCTATCAATTCAAAACCTGCCCGGCCGATCGTGGCTCCCCTCCCTACTGCGAATGGCAACACCGTAGCCAACGGCGTTGGCAATGCTGCTGCTAATGCAAGCACCTGCACGGGTCCCCAACAGCGAAAAACCATCGTTGTCGCTAGTACCTCTGAGGAAGACTACGAAACTACTGATGCGGATGACTCTGGATGGGCCTCTGAGGATATGGACGCTGAGGACAAAGCTCGTGAAGTCAAGGAAGCTGGGCTGCGCGGGGCTGCACTGGAGGCTCAACGCCAACGTGACCTCTTCGCAAAGGTTCCCAAGCGTTCGTACTCGAATCTCAATCGCACACAATCGGGGCTACTTTCTCAGCTCATGAACCCTAACCCTGCGATATTCCCGCCGAATCATCCATATCGCTTGAGTCAATCAACTGCGGATCTTGTGCGGATGCAACGGCAGGTGCAGCGTCAAGTTGAGCAGGCTCAGGCTCCACAAAGGAGTGTTAGTGGGTTTGCGGGGCCAGTGAGGCTGCAGACAAGTAAAAGTTCGGCGGCGTTACCCCTGGCTGCGCAGATCACTGCCACGTCGAGCTCGAAGCCCCCATCGTCTGGAATGAAGGGGAAAGAGAACGAGAAAGGGGGGTACAGGCCAAAGGGACGCCCGAAGGAGGAAGAGATGGAAGATGAGAGTGGTGAGGACGACGACGATGACGATAAAATCCAGGTATCGCGCAGTGTGGCACAGCAGAGGCTTCAAGCACTAATGTCGCGGCACGGACCGGAAAACGGCATTGCATCGCAGCTGGGTCAACATACGCACACACGTGTGGCAGAAAATCACGTCGCTCCTGCTGCACAGTCCACGGCACCTATACCCCTCGGTCATCCATATAACCTTCCCGCCCCCGCACAACCCATGACGCCGCGCACAACCCGGCGAATAATGCTTCGCACAGAGCTGTCAGAGAGCATGCGGAGGCAATTGTTGTGGGAGCGGCAGGTAAGCAGTACTACCAACCCAGCTGCAAACGCAAGACGTTCGAACAATGGCGTTATCAGACCGCTTGCTTCGACCACTTCCATGGGCGAGAATCCTAGCGCTACTAAGAGTGCAGAGGCTCAGGATAGGGATGAGCGCAAACGTCGCGCAATGGCTCGAAATCGAAGTTGGGCGGACGACTACCACTACTCAGGGTGGTAATTTTCTTGCTGGATTCTGCCAACACGTGGATCTTCTATAATCTGGTGTCTCTCGCATATGTTATGGGTTTTTTTTTCTGATTGTCTTGTCCTCTAATCACGCGGCACGGTTGCGTTTATCTCTCTTTTCTATCGTACTTTAGCACTCCCATGCTCCACTCGCGAACATGCTACTGATACTGCAGGGCGTTGTTTCCCACCCTCTGCCGCGCCTTTTACTCATCTCCATGCTGCGCTTCCCCCCGACTTTCCTCGTATCGTTGCATTTCCCACACATAATTTGCACTTGCATGTCATACTCCGTCATCCTCGCTGTCCATTTACGTTGTAATAGTAGTCACCTTAATTACCAGGTAGTTATTCCTATGGATTAAGGTGTTGTGTTCAATTTGCTTTCGAACCTTCTCATAGTGTGTTATTAGGGTAGGTATATCCGCCAAGTTGTACATATATTATGTAATGATAAGTGGTTTTTCCGTTTACGGATTATTTAGTTGTACGTATTGGGGAAACCGTGTCAGAGGTACCAATACTCCACAACCCCAGCTCATGGCTGCATGCATGGTTTTGCCAGTGACCTTGAGTTGCTTAAACTGAATTTTGATCTGAGATCTGAGTCGTGAAATTCATCTATCAGTGGAGTCAGCGGAGTAGCTGACCTATAGAGAGCGTTCATATCCAACCGCGGACATCTTCTTATAGCAGTAAGCTGAAAGCTTCCATTAACCCTTGACGTTGGTAAAACACCCATTAGTAATATTAAGTCCGATAAATAAATAAATAACCGGGTAAGATAAATTTAGAAACTTTGGTCGCAGCCTCTGAATCATGAATATCATATGGACTCGGAAAATCTTAGCTTGACCATCAATCGCAGATAAGTTAATGATCAGCCTGATTTTGAACTGACGACGATACCGACCATGTACAGTTGGACGATAAGTAGTACATTCAATTACTTACATGTAAGTGAAATGATTATCAAACTCGCGCTCCCATGCCGTAGGGCCCTGGGTTACGAATACCATCGGCTTGAGTATGCATCATTATTATCATTAATATTCTCTCAGGTCAGCGCACCCAGTACCACGTGAACCCCGATACAGCTTGTGCAGTACCCGCAAGGGCTCAGACCTATTCCACCATGTCATCCGCAGAAGACGAGTACAACGAGCACGATAATGCCTCAACCTTACCCGGCTCCAAAAAACGACGAGTGCAAAGGGCGTGTGACATATGTAGACGCAAGAAGAGTAAGTACTACTTGTCTTGGATTGTACAAGGCCCGCCGTTAATTTTGGCCGTCTGATACAGTCCGATGTGAGTCAGCCTCATTAGCTCTCGCCCCCCGGCGGTTAGCCCATCAGTAATATTGACCATGTCCTCTCTTGCTATTATTTTTTTTTGGTTTGGGGTGCTCGCTTTAAGGCGATGGAAGTCAGATGCCAGGGAACCGATGTTCCAATTGTGTTGCGTATAATTTTGAATGTACGTACGTAGAGGCCGCAAAGGTGCGTTCTCCCCCTTGGTCATCTCCTTGAGTAGCGCCTGACGCCTACTACCCTAGAAACGAGGCCCCCCAAAGGGGTAAGTGTGAAGCAATGGGTTTATCGCATCTACCCAAGATAGCTGACGATGACTTTAGGTATGTCGAGAGCCTGGAGAGTCGTTTGGAGAAGATGGAGAAGCTTCTGAAAAAGGTCGGTCTGTTGCGCAGATACTCTTCATGATCGTCGCTCACTCTAATCTAGGTCTGCCCTGACGCCGACTTCTCTCAGGAGCTCGGAGGCGGACCCATGGACAGAGAGACCTGGCAAAAAGGCAACCTAAATGGCTCAACCAGCCATATCATGAGCCCTTATGCTACCACCCCTCTCGAAGATCTCGTAGCCAGTGACGATGACGATATAGTATCCGTCCGCCTCGCTGATCACATGCGGAACATGTCTATCAACCCAAACTTGTCCCGTTTCTTTGGAAAATCCAGCGGTGTGACGCTAATCCAGAAAGCTATCGACCTCAAAAAGGAGTACACTGGCGATGAAGATGTCCAACCTGACTTTGACTTTAGGCAACACAAAGGCCGCCCTGAGTTTCATGGAATCTTCCCTGTACGTATATCCATGGTTTTTGTTTCTAGAGTTGACATTTCATCAAGTGGGAGCTGGGCACGAAGGATGTTATTGAGCCGATCTACAACTTTCCTCAGGAAGATCTTGCTACCTCCCTTGTCAATCTCTACTTCACGCATTGTAATGTTCTAAGTCCGCTGTTACATCGGCCAACCTTCGAGCGCAAGGTGGCGCAGGGGCTCCACCGCCGAGACATGTCATTTGGAGCGGTGTATTTATTAGTCCTTGCCGTAGGCTCGCGCTTCTCTGACGATCGCCGCGCCTGTTTGGAAGGTCAGAGCGAACATTCGTCGGGATGGAAGTTTTTCGAACAGGTACAGATGGTCAGGAAGACATTGCTTGGGCCACCAGGTCTGGAGGACCTTCAAGTGCATTGTGTAGGTATCAAGCCAGCGCTCCTTTATTGTATTACTAACTCGCACCTAGCTATCTGTGATCTACTTGATGGGGACTTCGGCTCCGCAGGCATGTTGGACCATCGTCGGAATCGGTATACGTCTTGCACAGGATGTTGGTGCACATCGCCGCAAGGCTTACGGCCGTAAGCCCACTGTCGAAGAGGAGCTTTGGAAACGTGCATTCTGGTATGGTTCGAATAATTTGCCATCGCACATTGCGGCTCAATGTTCCGTGTCAGGGTTCTCATCTGCCTAGACCGATTGGTGAGCTCATCGTTGGGACGACCGTGTGCGATACAGGATGAAGAGTGGGTTTATCTGTGTCACTCTGTGAAGATATGAAGCTGACCGAAATCATAGCTTCGATCTCGACATGCCTCTTGAATGTGACGACGACTACTGGGAGCACCCAGACCCGGACCAAATGTTCAAGCAACCTCCTGGCAAACCTTCCCTGGTATCGTACTTTGTCAATGTACTGAAGCTTAACCACATACTCGCATTTGCCCTTCGTACTATTGTATGTAACTTCTCGTATAAGAACCGCCAACTGATGACGTGCTGCAGTATTCGATCAACAAGTTGAAAATACTGCTTGGCTTCGTTGGGCAGCAATGGGAGCAACAAATAGTTGCAGAGCTTGATTCTGCGCTTAATAAATGGGTCGACGCTGTTCCTGATCACCGTATGTATCTTACCTTGGACTTCGTTATCACCGCTGCTAAATTCACCTAAAGTCAGATGGGACCCAAAGATGGAAATTAATGACTTTTTCCTGCAGTCGTTTTCCCTCTATTCCACTTACTATCATGTCCAGATTCTCATCCACCGCCCATTCATTCCGTCACCCCGAAAACCATCTCCTCTGTCTTTCCCTTCCTTGGCGATCTGTACAAATGCTGCTCGATCTTGCAGCCACGTCATGGATGTATATCGATGTCGATCTGGTAAGCCGGTGCCTTATTCGCAGGTGCGTGAAGGAATTTCGATCTTTTATGTTCAGTACATCGTAATGCTACTTTAGATGCCTGCGTTCACGGCAGGTATTGTCCTGCTTCTGAATATCTGGGGTGGAAAGCGTTCTGGACTATACTCTGATCCTACGAAGGAGATGGCAGACGTGCACAAGTGCATGGCCATACTGAAGTCGTGCGAAAAACAGTTTGTCGACTTTTTTTACTGTGGAAGAATGTTTCTCATTAATTCATAGCTGGCACTCCGCTGGTCGTTTGTGGTATGTACATTTTGATTTTGATTTTCTTCGGTGAGGGCTCAAACTATAATGGAAGGGATATCCTGTATGAACTGGCATCTGTTGGTGACCTTCCGCTCCCCCAGCCTAGTCCTCCTGGCAGAACGAAGCGTGAACGTGATTCAGATAGTCCAATGTCTGTTCCGCCTACGAGTTCACCGTCAGAGGTACCCCGCACCATCGCAGGATCGCGCCGCGTCGGACGCGAAGCAGCTGCCTACACCCGCTCGAAGCCTATGAGCTCATTTGATCTTCCACTCTACAGCAATGATCTTGGGCGCCTACCGCTCTATGGACAAGTGAACTTCTCTAACACGTCCCCATCACTTGACTCGTCTAACAGTAATATGTGGTACTCTCACGGGGGTGGGAATCCGGTGCAACCACACGCTACGCAGACTTCTATGCAAAACGTGCCCCTGCCTCAAGATTATTCGCAGGCCACTGTTCCTGCCGCGTACAGCGTAGATGATATGTTCTATGAGCAGATGCGCCAGTATTCGGCGCAATATCAGTCAGAAACCTCTACGTCCTCGACTTATGACGACGACCCTCAGGGGATGCAGAGTCTGATGGATGGAACACATCACCAAAATGTGCTTCCGCATCCTGAGGTGAACTGTATGAACACGGACACAATTGCTATGTGGTCCAACGCCCCCACTGGTTTTGAGTGAGTCATGCTCGTTTGCGGTAATTCAAATTGCCCCTGCTAATGAATGTACAGGCTTAATGACTGGGGAACGTACATCACGAATGTATCTGGGATGGTAAACCCCGATGGTTCAGCGTCACACTCGAGGCATGGGCATCAAACTTCATAATTGTGTACTTTTTCTTTCTTTTTCTTGGCTTGCTTCGATTATACATGTGTGATAATGCCCTAATGTAGTGAGAAGTACATGTAGCGCTGTCCTTACGTAGATATTGTATAGATTTTATAGTTTTCGAGCAACACGAGGCAGCATCTTATTATATTATCTCTCTGTATATAGATACTATCATGAGGCCAACTCGCCTCATCTCTTTAGCCTTCCTGTAGACTCTAAATCGTACACATGACAAGAAGCCATCAGGAAAGCGGGAGTCCATATTCCTACGCCTGAGATATGTATGTTGTCTCCCGAAACAAAGTCACAAAGCTAATACTTTGTTGAAACCATCATCATCAGCTCAGTTAGTTCTAATAATTTGTCCGTTTCCAACATGTCGACTCGCATCCCTCTTCTTTTTGTAAGGAATTCGAATGTTTCCTTTAAATGCCATGCTGATATTATGAGGAAAGGGGACGATGACTATGGGGTTCGAAGGCCTGAACGGGGTGCGGACGTCCAGCGAGAAGGACTGTCAGGAAATCCTAGACATCTTCTTCAGTCACGGTCATACTGAATTGGACACGGCACGCGTATATGCCGAGGGTACCACTGAACAGGTGGGCATGCTGACGCGTTGAACGTTGAACTCTGGCGCCAACTGAATGATTTCCACGCCAGGTCTTGGCCAAGCTCGAATTGAAGAATGCGACGATCGACACGAAGTGCGTCGTATGATTTCATGTTGTGGCTGCAGACGTGTGCTGACTTGCTGTCGTAGAGTGTACCCTGTCACTCCGGGAGATCACAGCCCGCATGCATTGCGGTCTACTTTCCTCACGTCCCTCAAATTTCTGAAGCGTGACAAAGTCCGGGTCTTGTATTTGCACGCTCCCGATCGCAGTGTACCATTTGGGGATACTGTACGAGAGATCAACAAGCTCTATACAGAGGGCCGTTTGTGAGTGTCTACGTCCTTTCAAATGAAGGAATGGGATCTGACTGGCCCATCAGCGAGATATTTGGTCTGAGGTGAGTGTGTTCGTAGAATACTCTCCTGGGTTCTAGGACTAAATCATAAAATAGTAACTTTGCAGCTTGGGAGGTTGCAGAAGTTGTCGGGATCTGCAAAGCAAACGGTTATGTATTACCAAAGATCTACCAGGTGTTAGTACAACTGTCCATTTGTAATAGGAGGTACTCATGACGCACATAGGATGTACAATGCGATCACCCGGGAGATGGAGCCTGAGCTTCTTCCTTGCTGCCGGAAGTATGGCTTGCGGCTCGTCAGTTACAACCCATTAGCGTGAGTGGGGTTCGAGAATAATATTATTTGGATGGAAGCCTCATCACAAGATGTAGCGGCGGTCTTTTTGCAGGTAAGGTGCTTTCCACCGAGGAGGTAGCTCCCAATGGTGGTCGCTTTGACCCGAAGTCGAAGATGGGCCAGATGTACCGAGCACGGTACCTTACGGAAGGGTACCTCAAGGCTCTTGAGGTTGTGAAAGCCGCTGCCGTATGTCCCACTGCTACTGACAGTCTATATAACTAATGACTTTGACAGGACGGACACAGTCTTCGTCTTACAGAGGTCGCCCTTCGTTGGTGCCAACACCATTCCTTACTGACGCCGGAAGACGGAATTATCCTAGGCGCTAGCAGTGCAGCGCAACTAGAGCAAAATTGCGTTGACTCGGAGAAAGGGCCCCTCCCGCAGGATGTTGTTGATGCCCTTGACGAGGCTTGCAGGATCGTGAAGGCCCACGGAAGTACCCCGTTATACTGGCGTTGAGGCTCTTGCCGTTAAGCCATAGTCATAAGTCTAGTAAACTTAGTGACGATTGAACCGGAAGCGCGAACTTGATATTTTTTACCACGATAATAAATTTCAATGAACACCGCCACGGCGTCAACTAGCATGATGATCGAGTACTGTACACTTTACCGACAGACACACAGACACACAATACCCTTGAAGAACTAGGTCGAGCGTTTCAGGTTGAAGGAATGCTGGATGGATGCGAGTGGAAGGCACTAGAATCTTCGTAGTCTCTTGAGAAGACAATGTGCCGTCTCTAACTAAACACAGATCAATAAAATCCGGCAAGCGAGAAAAAAAACCATACCAGTTGGAGACAGTGTGCCCAAATATCTTCATGAAATCCTTCGACAAAGACCCTATCACCGTGCCGGTACCGATTTTACGTTCTCGACTTTTCCGCTCCCACTCGACTACCTTTTCGGTGGTGTCATTTCCGTGTTCCGCGCAGAGCTGCTTGAGGATGATGTCCCGACTCAAACCAGGATATCCGCTCATGTGTTTGAGCATGTACTCTGCCATAGCCTCGAGGCCAGAATCTGCGGTCTGCGTCATGAACATGCGCCGGTTGATCCGGAAGACCATCTTCGCTCCCGGATCATCGATCACAAAGCGAACTGGTACATCGTTTGCAGTGAAGAGGAAATAATCAACATCTTCGTTGGCTTCAAGCATCTTGGCTTGACGCTCCGCAGCAGGGGAACGTTGGCCCTTACAGGGACCTACGCCAATGTCTGCGAGACTCACAGTCCCATCCCGATTACTTGGGAGATCACGCATCATGTCGGCGAATGGACTCATTTGACCACTAAATTTCCAAAGGTTATCGCCTTTGGTTCCGCTGAGACCTTTCGAAACTTTCTTCTTGCCACAAGCCTTTTTGTGAGCGGGCCAGTCTTCGTTCTGGCAGAATCTAGCGGATGAAACATGAGGCGTAATGAAGAAGATTATAGCACGACTACGCACTGAGAGCAATAATGTACTTCGAACTTAAGTTTCGATTTGCAAGTACTACACACCATGAAGCGAACGCCTTGTCCGATGTCTTCCGGTGTCTTCGTGCAGTTCTCGCAGCGTGAAAGGGGTTTGTCCCTGAGAGAAGATTTTGCCTGTGCTAAAGAATAGGCAAAATATGCTCCTGTATTCTCCACGATGGACAGGACATCTTTCATCCCCTTGCTACGATGGGTAATGTCGTGTAAAATCGACGCCAGCGAGAACAGCAAGAAGAAACCTGGTAGTTGATTTTTCAGACACGCACGATGTTCGATGAGTGGAAGAAAACCCACCAATAAACTTGTTCCTGTTGATAGTCGCGACTTCAAACACGATCTTTGTGCTTTTGGATCTCTTTTTCTTAGCATCGTTCGATGTTTGTTCCCACCATGGGTTTGGCAGATCCGACGCCTGTTCCCACCACGAGTTTGGTAGGAACGCTGGATCAGACGACTCGAAGACCTCCAAGAAATGAGCAAGAAAATCGACAAAACCCTTCCCGCCCTCCGATAGGAAGTTTGAAACTGTGACCTCTGGGCAAAGAGCACGACTGTCTTGGCCCCAGAGCGTCTGTGCCTCAGATGCCTTCTCAAGACCCCCAAGGATATGTCTCCTCTGCTCAGAGGCATCCAACAGCAACCAGATGGTGTTAAAGTGCCCTTCGTGGAAGATCTTGCGCAGGCTTTGAGCTGCACCTTCTTGGACGTTGCGGAGATCTAGGCGGAGAAACTCCAGGTCATCAAGAGTGAAGAAAGAATCATCCATGACATGGGAAATCTCCTTGAGGACGTCTGCTGCTGTTGATGATGCTATCACCGCCTCCCACTCCTTATCCCACTTGAGCATGTCTTGTTTGATGCCAGTGATGTTGAATTTCTTGGACAAGAGAGGAGGGAATTCCACAGCGACTTGGTCCTCGGTTGTTGATGCCATTCCTCTACTAGATGATGACTGAGAGGTCTGCTTGATGGGCAGACAGCATGCGAGGAGTAGACGCGTTTAAAACCAACGCTCTCGCATCGTAATAATCGGATGCCATTATGACGTGGATGACTCTTCAAAGCTTCATGGTTGATGATGATAGTCTATAAAGAGAAGGCAATCCTGTTCAAGACGTAAAGCCTCGGCCCTCGTAAGGTAAAGCTTATCACCAAGTATATCATCCACGTGCACGAGGCCGCCTGTATCATATAATATGTATGTAACATACGAGTCTGAGCGCATGAATGTCAATATTAATGTAATGTCGTGAACATCGAACAGATGAAACGGTTCTCTAATATCTACGTGCTTGCGGTAGTCATAATAATACAGTGCGACGTCGTGCGTGATATATGACGGATTCTATATGTCACTGCTGAGTGTCTGTGGCACCGTGTACCGTGTCGAATTTCTTCAGGCTGACTACGTCAAAAACCAACTCGGAATTCCTTCTCCGATAAATCTACGAGAAGATTAAGCACGCGATCTTGTACGACAGGAGATCCCTTACATTTCTATATTCAAGGGGAATTTGGGCATCCTGATGTCCTGGTTAGCTGTTGATTATCGAAAAAAAGCTTCGGCATCGTGAGCCAAGCAAGAAAAATAACGGACCGTTCTCTCAGGTTGCTCTCCATTCACAACAGTGAAGTCGGCGTAAGCACGGTCTCGTGGACGGGTTATCAACGTCGACATGAGGGAAATCGTGTAAAATTGTGCGAGAGATTGATTGAAGACCAGATGCCTGTGGAGTATTAATTTTCCAAAAAGCACATAAGAAATGTACTTACATGCCATCGGTCTGGTGAAACCAAACCTGTAAGTTGGTCTTTAATACCGAGCAAACGGACTCACAAGCGCTACATATACGGCCAGGTCAACGAGGGCCCATATTGCTGTCAGCAGACCGGTCTGCAGAACGACTAAAATGCCAATCTCTCGCTCATTAACACAGGAACCGACTGGGAGTCACATACCTCGTATTATCTTTTTGATGATGTGGTCAGTGTCCATGAATCCAGTTTTATGTTCTCTCTGTAGCATGTTTAAGCATGCATGCCCGTATCAAAGCCAGCAATGACAGACCAGGGAACGGACAAGCAACCCGGTAATCAGGAGGTTGTCCAAAGTAGAAGAGGCAAGGCCAATGACAAATACGATTTCGAACCTATCAAACTGGGTGAACACGGGCACCATATTGATCGCAATCGTGGTTCCAATGCCACAAACTGGCAGCCATGAGACAACAACGGTGGGTTTGAACAGCCAGACTACCTACGGAATGCAGCACTCGCGAGAAAGACGATGATTCCAACTAGCCAGAAATTGGAAGTCAAGATGCGGATTCTCCAGGCGAAGAAGAACTGGACGAGGGTGGATATAACACCCTTGCGCATCGTCAGCCAGCAACTTGAAGAGGCTTACGATCGAAGAAAAAATACCGTGATGCCAGGTACTAAGAATGATATGGGTGATTACTGACATGCTAACAGATGACTACCAAAGAGAAGTACGCACGTAAGGAGAAAACTGGAAATGTCGAATGAGATCACCATGCCGCATGAATTATGAAGAAACGACATACCCCAGTTGGCTCTGGACAAAGTATATTGATCACCTTATAGCAACCTGTTTGGACTCTGCATCCAGTATAGATGGGAATGAACACACCAAAGTTAACGATGAGAGTGTCATTCAAGAAGACATACTCCAGGACGACGTTGAAGGTGCACAACAACAAAAGGGCTGACACCTGAAAAGTAAAATCAATCAGCTATCCACCCATTTAAAAAATGTTTCATACAAGAAGTCGTATCCGTGCACCGTCACTGACAGAGAATTGATTATAAATTTGTGAGCATTCATATTTGATCACATTGCTCGCCTTTTGAAGGAAGAATAATATAAGAGTACTGATGTGACCAGCACGCCGTACAGAATTGTGTTAAGGGCAAAGCCTACGAGCAAGGGGCCAGACCTGATTGAGTGCGCTGGTAAGACCAGCATGTATCTGACGAACTTCAAGACCTACGAGATGCCAGCAGTAGTAAGCATGCTGGACACAACAAATGTGTGCTGCTCAGCTCCTGAAGCGATGATGGGGCTAAGAGACTGGGAAAAAGCCACAACGTTCTCATATGAGTAGATGCGGACACCGTGGCTGCTATCTGCATTTTATTCTCGTCCGATTAGGGCGAGTACGTTTTCAAAATTTCAGGGTTTAAGTCAGGGTGGTGCTAATATTCTGATAATCTGCACGGATTACGAGATTTTTTTGTTCTGTTTTGGAAGGTCACCGGTCATATCAAATTACCCCCGAGCACGCTTACATGACCTAGACTTGGACCAGACTCCAGAATAAAGGTCGGGGCAACAGTTATTGAGAACGACATACCTCCTGTTACTATCAGTACTAGAACAATTCTGGTGTAGGCTGATTAGTAGGCCTTACAAATTTTGGAACTTGCCGCTCGACAAGTCTATATAGAAATCTGTTTGCTTGGTGGAGCTCGACAAAGCCTATAACGTGACCCTGCTTTCCGTGATGAGTTGTTATGTCATAAGCTTGTTCGAGATCTGAGACAGATTCCTCATAATATCAGTGGTAAACTCGTTCAGCCTCACATACTTTAAGCCCTTAGACTTGTAACTGTGATGCTGTTTTACTACAAACTGGATGCAATTTTTTTTTCACTTGAACAAACCGTATTAGTAGGGGCCGGGGCACAATGAAACCAGACTATCGCCAATCAAAATTCAGAAGAGTCTCGGCAGTCACTAGTAGAATCCTAAGATAAATTTCGTGATGTGAAATTACACGATCAGATAACTTTCATGCCGGTAACCTTGTCATTTATGTAATTAATATTATGGGTCGAATTTGAATCAAAACTGAAGCAAATAGTTTTTAGGTGGAAGCCCTAATAGCAGCCCCGTGAGAGAGCCGAAGTGAGCTGCGAGGGCGGGCGGGCAGCCTCAAATTCAGCAAGCAGGTCTAGGTACTACCACCTGGGTCCCTGGAAGAGGGATGTAGTGCTACCTTTAGGTACTAGTAGCAATACAGGCTGCGAGGATCCGAGAGACAACGAGGACAAGGGAGTAGTGGGTAGGGAAAAGAAAAGCAGCAGGCAGGTTTGGGCGTAGCGTGAGATCCCGGGTATGTGCTGCACTGCCGCTGCCACAAAGTCATCATTCTAAGTTGAACTAACCCTTAGAATAACCACGCTAGGCAGTCACAGAATAGTCACATTGGCCGATTTCACAGTCCGCTCGGCATTTTCAGGGAACAAAATACAATGCCTGCGTATATTCAAGCTCCGAAGTTCAAGTTGCTTCATGCTGCGAGCCTGACAAAAAAGCCTTGATCACGGCCTCCAAACTATCTCTTGTCAGATGGTATTCATTCAAGTTCGTAGGGCATTCTGGAGCATTATGATTAAGTAGCTTTAAGATTTGTGCCAGGCAAAGTGTGGTTTTTGAGGACGCACGAACTGGTGGTAGGCAATAATATTACTTACGAGTAACTGCTACTTAGTGTGTGCGCAGCATCTCCTCGAGCCCAGCCTTCCACGTCCTCAAATCGCCATCCCACTCATTGAGGCGCCTCATATTTCCTCCTTTTGTAATCGAGGTACGAGCGAGCATTTCGCCGAACCTGTGTTTGCAATATCCATGGCGGGAAATGCAGTACCAGATAATACCATTCGTGGATAGGACGTCTCCCCAAGTCTCATTGCACCCTTCCGCGCAGGTTGGGATTATATTTAACAGGCGAAGAAGCGTACGCCAAAAGATTCGTGGCAAGTAGAACCATAGAGGGGGGTCGAGCCCTAAACCGGGAGGGCGCAGATTGCCAGATATTATTATGATACGCCAACTAAGTATCAGGGTAGATAAGCCAAAAGTCAAAAGACGTACAAATGACATCTGTTGCATGATCCGGGATGAGCGTGCCACACTGGCCGCCGTTGCCGTCGATAACCCATCCTTTGGAATTCTGTGTCAACGCAGCAGAAACTCTTTCCTTGAACTCGTCATCTGAAGGGGTTGCCCACCCAGGTCCCCAGAAAAGTGCATCCAGGGAGATATGTGGCACATTGAGTTTAGTGGCAATGTACGCGCTGATGGTTGACTTTAAAGAGTTGATTTCAAGACTTCGAAAAATAATTTATCTAAGCCTACCTTGCCGGTGCCTAACCAGTACCTATGAGTCAATGGACAATGAGGCCATGAGCAAACGACGGGCGCACCACTATTGCCCACAACATGAACTCTATAGTTGCCCTGACCGTCACCAAGCAATGACGGGATATCCATGGTGTGAGTCAAGAGTTATAAGTAACAGCCTTCCATCATGCATCATGCATCAAATCCTTGGAGCTGTTTTCACACGGGAGAACTGGTTCAATAACTGCGCATGTTAATGGAAGGCAGCTATATATACATGATGAGCGGAAAACAAGGAAGAAACAACCAGACCTGTCCGTGATGCAAACCTATGAAACTTCCTCCATGTCCTCATCCTCATCCTCGTCCTCATCATATTCATCCATCCCCATATCACCGGAGGCTCCTTCTGGAAGAGAACTTGGTCCAGGGACATTTTCGGATTTCATCTGTTCTCTAGACTTCAGTTCTGAAAAACAATCATAACTAAGACGAAATACCCCTTCTTTGGCGAACACATCGTTTAGCTCCCACATTCCATTGTACTCTCCGCTGCGATTCAAGGTAGCAATAGCAAGAAGGACCTCCTTGAGATATGCCTCGGGCTGCTGGGTACGCTCGCGCAATGGCTTGATGCTCCACCGGGGTTGCTCGCGAAAGAGTGTGAATAGAAGATCCAGGAGTTGGTTGCGTGGCATACGCGCCATACGCTCAAATGTGCCCTTGGCAGGTTTGGGTCGAAATTTCTATGAGATTGGGTTAGCTGTCAGCGACGATCTAAATAAGTAGATACGGACAATCATATTCGCAAACGATCCTGAGTTGACTCCACTGCTCAACCTGTTAATGCCTCCGCGGCTAACACCAGCATCTTCTATCATTAGGATCTGCCTTCGTGGGGTATTATATTTTCGAGTTCGTTCGCGCATTTGTTGCCTGTATGACTCGTTGAAAAGAGGACGCAAATTACATTCATGTTTGATGCGACCCGTTAGGATGGTCGTTCTAGCTCGAGGGTTATACGAGTTGGAGTTTGGTCCAGAAGGTCCAGGGTCTTTGGGACGTTCTGCGACTACCAGCTGATTCTCAACGTCTTCGTTGACCATTTCAAGTTCATATCTGTCTACTTGCATGCCCCCCTCAACAGAAGGTATGAAAGCTGCGTCCGGAGAAAAGACCGGCAGGCTTGAATCCCGTGGGGTTGTGTCATTCGGGTCAGGCGGCAAGAACAAGAAGATGCGAGGGGATCGACCGGATGAATTGATGGCATTTTTGTACACCCGGATTGTGGCAAGATGAATATCCTCTGCGTCAATGGCTGCCCAGCGAGCCATGAGATGTTTTGGTATCTTCAGTTGCAAACGAGCATTAGAAAGCCCGGAAAACAAAAGGAATCAAGAGGGTCCGACAGGGTAGAAGTAGCACTCTCTACCCTTCTTTCAACAGCCATGGGGCAGGGGATGCTCACCTTGACAAGCCATACTCTCCCGTTTCCCTTGTCCAACATTAGCTCCTCATCAGGGTCTGGTTGAGCGTCGTCATCATTGTGTTCGGCCTCGAAAGGCTTCTTCTCATCTTCGACAGTCAAATCATCCATGAGAGTTGGTCCGAGACTTAACAATATTGACAATCATCGATGAGCAAACAAGTGCTTACTAAGCGTCTACTCAGTGTCTCACTCAATCGGTAGTACTTAGTGAGCATACTACTGAGCCTAGTAGTAATTGACCGCGTAGACTATACACGCATCTCGTTCTTTCCTTCAAGCTTCAATTTTCGAATCCTCATCTCTCACTCACTCGTCGTCCTTGATGTGAGAGTTTGACGTTCTAAGTCAATTGTAAATGTCTGATACGTCAAATTCTGGTGCTTCGTGCATTTGCCAAGGTCCTGCTTCAACTTGAATTGGGTCGACTCGAGTCTATGACCTTTAAAGTCGGCCCAATAGAAGCAGATCCTCAAATGAATAAAGCGCCACGGTTATTCTGGTCGTGTACTCCACCTGCGGAGAATATACAACCCTATAACCAAACATTTATCAAAATATATGTCTTTAATCTTATCAATTGATCATGCATTCAACCTTCGAGGAGTTGGATGATCTAATTTTCATGCAGTACCTTGCTCCGTATGGTCGTCGAGGCGCATACATTTACCTTTGCACCTGATATTTTGTCCTTGTGACGCTATGACGTGGTACTAAACCAGGTGTGCTTGTTCCGAAATCATATCTCGTTGAGACTGGGCGCATATATTTACTCATTCACGCAGTGCGTAACCGCAATGGCGGGGCGACGCCTTCTCTTCGTTGGGTTGTGCATGACCGCGTGTTGCGGGCCGATGCCTCCCTCTTTGTTAGGTTGTGCGAGGATTGCACCAATTCACTGATGATGATTGCGCTGGTGCAGGTCGATGCCACCTTCTTTGTTGGAGTGTGCGTAAGCGGGTCGATGCCTCTGTTCTGTTTAAGTATGCATGACCGCGAAGGTGGGTTTCTTTTGTTGGGCTCTGCCTGCGTGGTGCTAGCCGACGCCTCTCTTTGTGCCTCTACACTATCTAACACTTCTTTTGCATCTTCCTTAGCGCATCTCTTGCACCTTTCGACCCTCCCCTTGCGTCTTTTCTTACCATCTTTCGTGCATTTCGACACCTCATTTGCATATAGGTTCGACGTACCTGATGCAATCGAGCTACTTGAGTTTGCCTTGACGTCTGCTGTAGATCTGACCGATCATTGTCGTGCCATCTGGTCCACTTCCGCGGACTCGTGTTCCTCCTATTGTCACACGCGCGGATTTAACTGGTTTGATTTTCGTGAGGTAGACGGTAGGTTTGACCTGCACGAGACATTGGGCCGGATGTCCCGGCAATCTGTCTCTCCAATTGTGCCGGGTTGCGCTTACACAGCTTGACCTTCACGATAAAGCCAAGGCATTCATGCGCTGGTAACTTCAGCTTGCACGTGCTTTCTCAGGGTCAGCCTTCCTCTCCGGCATTGAATGTGCCCTCGTGTCTCTGTGGTGGAAATGGTAACGCCAGGCTGTACAATGTACAATACTCGGGACGAGTCTAAGCGACCCAGCTTGCTGTTTCACAGCGTGTTAGACGTGCCTCCTGATGCACCCCAAATCTGAGTAAATATTCCTGATGCAGATCATGAAATTCAGCTACCCGAGTCTTTAAATATTTGAATACTCATTACGTGAAATTCGCCATGACGTGGAAAGGGAAAGACTATAGATCGATGATCACAGGGCCTGACACAATATGCTATACATCTAATGATTCTAAATCTACTGGTCACTTTCTCCGACGATCAGATACCTCCCTTCACTGCTTCCCAGGACGCCCTGGATGAGATATCCTTCCACCACCTATCCCATGATTATTAGCATAAAATCCGTCGAAAAAAAAGAATAGCCAACCTGGCCACATTGGGGCGGCTGCTGAACTCGTCGAGCCCGATACCCAAAAGGACGGAACCGTAGGGCAGGTGGAACAGATCAGCCAGAGTGATATCCTATCTCTGGGTCAGCGCGATTCAGCGTCCGTTCATGCAGGTGCTTACATTTCCAGCTAGGTATTTCTGCTTGCCAAGGATGACATTGTAAACATCAAGCTTAGCAGGGAGCTAGCTTTGTAGTAATTTAGCACGAGCTTCGTCGGTCTTCCCTCCAAACCACCTATATTGAAAGTTACAGATTTGACAACGTGTTGCAGGTGACTGGTACCTACATGGCGAACTTCAACTCCCATGCCAATCCGGAGACAAAAGGATCATAATTAGATGTTTCAGTTGATGCAGCTTGCTCAAATAACGCAGTGGCGGTGGGATCGGTGGGAAGGAGGGGAGTTCCCTGCGAAGCGTACTTCGCGGCGATATACCGACAGATCGCCCTCGATTCATAAAGAATCAAACCATTATCATCCTTTAAAATAAAGCATATCAACGATCATTCCACATAGATAAGGAACAAGACCGCACAATGTAAGGGACCTGGCCGAAAGGCTGGTAGGCGGTAAATTCAGGGGCCTTGTGTGCACCCTTGGTCAGATCAACGGAAATGAACTCAAATGGTACATTCTTTTCCTTCAACACCACTGCAACACGAAGTGTGCATGTTGAGGTGGTGAATCCGTAGAGCTTCAAAACCATTGTGAACGGATAGAGAGATGGAGTTTCGGACGGTGCGAGGGAACGAACTTGAAAATTTCTGATTCCTCGCTGTGAACAACTTCATCTTCTTACTTACCCAAATCGCGTGAGATATTTGACGTGGAGAGATTTTGTCAGAGTAAAACATATTAATCATCAAAGTCAGGAAAGATTGCGACGTCCGAGGGGTGAAGCGCGGGGTGAGAATGGACTCATCGAGATTTTCGCACTCCTACAAGACGACCTGGCGTAGAGACATGTCATCAAAGTCCGGAGAAAATGCGATGTCCGACAGCTGCAGGGTGAGAATAGAAATCACTGAGATATTCGCACCTCCACACGACAAGTGAGAACACGTATCTCCCATTATCACGAAGACGTGATATGCAGCACATGGCAGAGATTTGGGCGTTGAATGTTTAAGGAAAATGACGGTACATGTGTTCAGAGCAAAAGACCACCAAAAACAAGATGTACCTGCTGTCTAGCACCAAGTTTTAGCCTTTTTTGAAAGGCGGTGTCCAGAACCCTAGTTCTGTGAACCAGAATTATTGCTTGATCATCACAATTGAGTCAAGTGACTCGGAGATGTGAATCTGGTTTTACAACTTAGCAGTAGTACTGAAGAGTACTGGAGTTGTTGGGAACATTGCCCGACTGAACTGCAGGTGAGGCCACTCGAGTACATAACCAAATGATGCGCGCAGAGATTGAATTGGGCCTATATACTAGCACGTCCGAGTCGCTCCTAGGTGTTGGTCCCAGAGCAAGAATGTGCGGCAAATGCCGGGCGCGCCTTCCTCGTTCTCCGTACTTACGTAGAACGGAGTCTGGACAAGTCACAATCGAACCGTTATTGACGTGAAGTTCGATCAGATTCACTTCTCCTACTTATACAAGCTTATACGTATCTTACATAAATGACTTTAGTACTTAGTGCCGAGTCCTTGACACGCCTAGCTAAGCGTTGGCTTTGACCGCGAGCCACGAAGGCCTCGCAGTGATGTCCTTCCACCACCTGTAGGTAGGTTGGTGAGTTGTCTAGCCACAATAATATCTGTTTAAGAACGGCCGCTCACCTTGCCACATTCGGTCTATCTTCCAACATGTCGTACCCCAATTCTTCGAATACGATTGTTCCATACGGAAGATGGAATAAGTCGGCTAAGGTAATGCTCTAATGAAAGCTCCTGGTGAGCAAGTCATACAGTCGCACCAATCGTCATTACTTACACCTCCTGCAAGATATGCCTGTTTTCCGAGTATAACCTCGTATACATCCAGCTTTGCCTTCAAGTTGCTCACCAGGTCCGACAACCTGGCTTCATTTAGTTCGAGGCCACGATGCCTGTTGAAAACGCTTCAGCCACGAACTCCGCGGAGCGTTAAGTCACCTACTTCTTGACGATTTTCTCCGCGGTGATACCCAGCGCAAAGGGGTAAAAGTTCGACGTCTCGATTGACACCGCTTGTTCAAAGATGGCCTCCGCTTTGGGTTCACGGGGCACGAGGTCTGGGGTGCCTTGTGATGCGTACTTCTTTGCGATGTATCTGCAAATGGCTCTGGATTCATAGAGAATGAAGCCGTCGTCATCCTGGCCGCTACTGTATCAGCATCTATCGCTGTCAGTGATTCATTTGAATCACTGACTATGTAAGGGACCTGTCCGAAAGGTTGGAACTCTTTGAAGGCGGGTGTTTTGTGTTCCCCTTTGTAGACTTCCACGTTCACAAGCTCGTACGGCACTTCCTTCTCTCGGCAGACTTCTGCGACGAGTCTGACGAGGGGAGCGTTAGCATGACCGTGTATCTTGAGGACCATTGCGGTTGTGATTAGAGGTGGAGGAATGACTATCATTGGTGATCTTGTGCTACCCTCTATATACGCCCTGCGCACTCAGCCTCTTCGATCGAGCCTAAGCTTTTCCGGGTAGCTTGGAAACTGTATACAGGAGACTAGAATCGTCATGACGCGCGATGTTGCTGTGAGGAAGACAACGCTCGTGGAATTTGTGCATCATGTTGTCGTCACTAGTCCACTTTAGAAATTTGGACAAGTTCAGCCTGTACACAGTTTCATTGATCAGGTGATGGTGACAGTGGAGGTACGTTACATAGAGCACTAGCGGGATATCCCTACTCCAACCCTGGACTAAAAGCCCTCTAGCCTAGTTACCCACCATGCATCGTTCCTTCCAACAACCTATTCAGAGTTACACTGCAGATCAATATGGGGTTCTCAAAGCAATGCACAACTATGTTATCCTGACTTGCGCAGTCACTCGTACGTACCTGCAACTAGTCCACAACTATCTTAGGCTCCTATGATATGATTGATCCACTTAGACAACAGACAAACCAGCTACAGTACATGCAAAGCACAGGTATATAATGTTATTATAGAGAACACTCCGTGTATAGAATGGGTTCAGAAAAAAAGTTCGTGTATACCACATCAGAGTGTAGATTTGTCAACCTCCAATCTTATCTTTTCTGCACCGTAATGGGATTGCCCTTCGCCTCTCCACTGGATGTTGTGGCACCTAACTCCACATCTTCGACGAACCTTCCCATTTCACCAGGGGTACTAGGGGCACGCTCCTTTTCTTTGCGGCTGGGACGGCTCCAAGACACGAATTTCGTCTTCTGCTGCGGTGCAGTCGCTGCCGCATTGTCTGACATGCCCGCGCCAGGCTTAAGCTGTTTTGAATCCTTCCCAGGCACACTCTGACTTCCCTGCGCCTGGTCCGCCTGCACCTTCAAAAATTCTTCCCCTCTTATCCTCAAAAACTCCTCCAGAAGCGCGGCGTTCCTTGAATTTGCCTTGAACACGGCCATGACAACGTCACCCGCTACGGGCACAAGGCCGCTCAAAGCCGATATTGCATTGTTGAGGAGCATGCGGCGCACGAGCCAAGTTGGTAGTTCAGCCTGCCTTGCTTTACGGACGACCAGGAAATAATTAAGCGTAACATCAGCGACATCACCGGCGCCAGGGATAATGCCAATGATGAAGGTCCAGCCAAATCGGAGGCCACAAATGGAGAAGCCTTTGTCTAGGTAGTGAGCACGACGCTGCACAGACTTGAGAATCTTTGCATCACGTGCTGAAAGGCCTGGAGGTATCGCGCGCTTGAAAATGGTAAGACCGAGCGCAGCGGAAGGAAGGGTTAGGGCACACCTTTCTACGACGCTGTTTGCCGCGCTTGTCAGTATAAAACTCGTACAACGGGTCTTCGGGTCTGTATTGCTCGAGGTTCTTTTCAAAGAGCTTTGTACCTGCTTTTTGAAGGTAGGAAGTCATGGCGGGGAGAAAGAAGAAGGGAATAAGCGACCGCGGCGCATTTTGGCATATTATAACAAGAGCCCCATTGCACCTGACAAGAATCCAAGTGGAGTCTTGGTTCCAACTTTGCCTTTTGTATTCCGCAGTTTTTTGTTAAAAAACTGATCCATATTTGGCATTTATGTAATTTTGAGAGTATATAATAATGGAATTTGTATACGAATTAGTCATCAATATTACATTGTTTCCCCTGGTTTCACTCAATGCCTCCATCCAAGCTCGACGAAGAATATGTTCAAAATAGCTTTCACACTTATCTCAAATCATCCCTCACACAAGCAAAAGTAGAGAAACTGATAGAGGATCAAGTTCTAGCATCCGCAGAAGCAGATCTTATGATATCTGGTGCGCAGCAGCTCTCAAGCAGCTCTAATGTCTTAGTCCGATCACGTCTGACGTCAATATTAATGTGACAGGTCCAGCATTATGCCTGTATTTTGCTGCCCTTAGATGCACAACAAACCCACCGTCTGTACCACTTCCTCGTGCCACAAAGTCCGCACCGCCTCTCGAGCTCTCAGCAGATAATTGCCCGCCGGCATTTCTCGGCTTTCTAGCCGTCTGGGCAGCTGCGGTGCCGCAAATCCAGTGCCTCATCCCCCAAGACCAGCATGATCTTGCTCGCATCATCTGTGGCCTCCAACCTATTGCTGTCCCCCCAAACTCTGAGTGCGCCGGCATCGCAGCCGATCTACGTGCTGTGGCAATTGAAATCAGTCAGAGACGCACCTTTCAGGATAGATATGCAAGCGACCTGCAGGCTGCGTTAGATGCAGGCTCATCAAGCAGTGGTTTGAAAGTCAAGACGAGCTTCGTACCACCACCTGTTTATTCAGATCAGTTTGCTGCTGAATCATCCGGATATGGGTCCAAGAAGTTCCCTTCTTCTCCATCATCCGTTCGGTCCGCATTTCCCCCGTCCACGCCTTTCCCTACGATACTCACCCAAGATACCCCTGAAATCGACTTCATCCGCGAGACACTTTACTCCGCGCTCGCAGGTGTGCTAGAGCAGATTACAATTTCCCAGGCTCACAAACCGCACCCTCTCGCACGTCTCTTCAAATATGATCCCCCGCGTGCCCATTTTGCCGCGGTCAGCCTTGCCATTCTCGAGGTGGCCACGACGCAGGGAATTATCCTGCCTGATCAAAACGCGATCATGTGTGTCAGTGCACGAGAGCTCGGAGGGCACAAGCTCACGCCAGATGCATGTCCGGAGCCACTCCGGCCTTTCATGATGGAGCTTATTGCCGTTGGGCGGGATGCGCAGGTGATGCAGAATGAAGACAACGAAGCGACAATCAAGGCGATCGAGAGAGGTGATGAGGATATACCGGAACCTAGGTTCGAGCGCGTGCAGGCCATCATCATCGATGGTGTACGAGTTGGCGGGGGTACTGCGGATAATGGCTGCAGGATGCGTAAAAGGAGCGTGGAGGGACGGGCTGTGGCATTTGCGAATAGGGTGAATGCCCTTGGGCTGTCGATCAGTAGAATCAAGGCATTTAGAGAAAGAGAGAAAGAAGTATTCGATGTGCTAGGGCCACGTCCATAAGATTTCGGATGTTACCTAGTTTGGTGGGAGGTAGCAAAGGTGATCGCGGGCTTTACTTTACTAATGTCAGTATTCTGCTGTATTTGATACCATATTGATTCGAAACTTGTGTTGTTCATCTCCACACCACAACGATCGTACCGGCCGCTTGACCATTTGGCCTCTGAGCTAAATCGAGGACACAGCGGACATTCGTCCAACGATCGCCATCAACACGAGGCCTCACTCCACATATCTCGACACAGTACTCCACCTAGTGATGCCAACATTACCTTTGAGCCCGCATTTGCCTCGTCAGTTGATCGCGCGCACGGACCGGAACCAACCTGACTCGAATAAATCAGTGATCCATGAGATCGTTGTTCGCCGATCAAGGTGGTACATCTGCCCATCAAGTGGTGACGACAGGGAGTGCGTCAGTATCGGACAATGCGTTGGCAGCGAAATTGGCGACTCGGCCACGTACCCTCAGTCATTTTGTCGAGATATTAATGTGGGGAAAGCATGTCATAGGTATGAGGCATTTGTCTGCGGGGAGAAGAACTTTATGAATCGTACGCGGTGGAGAAGTACACGAGGGAGCGGCTATTCGGAAAGGTGACATACACCAGGATTCGAAGTGAGTTTATTAGGACAACATGGACTCCATCCTCTCTGAGTCCCGTGGCGCTTCATAAAGAAGTGCGCAGCGCGGGGCACGCAAGGTCTGCAGCACAGAGAACCCAAGGAAGAAATTCTCTTCGAGACTCACTTCGGTGCTGATTGCGAAGCCAGAAGCCAAACCCAAAGCGCGGACCTGAGCTGGTAGCGTGCTTGAAAGGAAGCTCAAGGCTTATGGTGCGATCTTGCCGATGCAGAAATATCTCAGTAGCTTAATGTAAGTGTTGGCTTGTCAACTTAGGCAGATGCTTACTATTGCTTCCTGTCACGTCACTTTGGCGGACTTGATCCATCTAGCCTGTGGACATACATTGATCGAAGCAGATATACCGAGAAGCAGCGAACGGGCGAGGTGAAGAAGGGACGGCGTTGTGTTAGTGACAAGAAGAAGCGGACATCCTTAGTCACTGGGCTAATGCGATACACTCGAAGATACAAGCTGTTACCGAGTGTCGATTCGATCGACGAACAATGCCGATAATTGTCGTGTGTCCACGAGTTGAAGCCCAGAAAATTCATCCGGATTCCCCTCGCTCGACAAATGCGCTAAACACCGTGAGCGGTCCATGTGAAAACCCAATTTTTGTGAGACTTGAATTGGCAAGGGTCACGATGGATATAAATCATCGGTGCTCATAACTACTAGTGTCTGCAAAAGGATAGAACCGCGTCAGGCTATCAGGCAAACATATGTCACATAATCAAGTAGATCGAATCCGCATGATACATCCATGTATCCCTGTAACACCACTCGTCAGTAATGAGATACATAAGGACAGTAGTCAGATCATATCAGATAAAAGGATGAGCCTGAAAGGCAAACCCAGCCGGACGTAAGTCAAACAACTTTCGAAAGGTCATAAACACGCATTCAAAGAGTCATATGGCCCCGGCAAACCTCATCATCAATTATGAGAAAATAAAATTTGCGCTCACCAATGAATGTACCGCGACATACAAACCACTAGCCTATGCGCCGTCGTCGTCACCATCATCATCCGTCAATTCCTCTCCCTCTTGAATTCCTTGGTGTCTCTCAAATCCTTCACGCCGGGCCCACGAACGGCCATCGGTGTATGGCATTATTCGTAGGGGTAAAATGAGGGTATACCACGGGCTGTGAAGGAGGTTAGAAGAGTAAGCTAAGAGAAGGCCACAATTTACTATCCGTCCGGACCAATATTGAAGAAAAGGCGCAGGTTAGTGCTCTTTCTAAAACAAAGCCAAAGTATTATGCCTATGCCCGACATTCTAACATCCCGCTTACCCAAGGTCAAAAGAATTTACAAAATTCTGCACAGCATATCAGCATGCAAATGATCGTGCCAGACATAACCACATACATCGCCTCTGTCCCTTGCAATGCGCTTGTAGACTTCATGATCTTGTGCCTCGACGGTGGTCTCTCCACGAGCAATGCCCCACAAATGCCAGCAGAGCATGATGAACACTGCAATGCAAATAACAACAGAGAGCATGTAGGTGAGGATATAAGCTAGTTGTGGCACCATGTAGGGCCAGTTATTCTGTCGTGTGTAATGAGCATTGGCTAAACGATATTGACGGGGCGACGTACAGAATACGTGAGGCCGACTGCCTCTAGTGCTTGAGAGTAACCAAGAATGCTCAAGAAGAAGGTCGATAATACTAGGTAAGCCCTGATGGAAGTGCATAAGCTGGGAATTGGGAGGAGGAAGTGGAGCATACATGAAAAGGACGAAATGCCTCTCATTGTTTAGTCCAACGCATTGGTTTATCCCTGCAGGGAGCTAAGAGGGACGAGCATGCCAAAGTAATAAAGGCTCACACTGTAGAATAATTAACCAACGGGTGAGCAACATCCTACGAACAGAGTGTTCAAGCATTTACAGGACAATGATGATCATATTTTATCACACATCGGCCACATATCCGACAATGGTGGGCCCTCTCCGTGAAGTATAGGTCAGCTTCCTGGACCACATCAGAGTAGGCGTACTCACTTCTGGGCGCATCAATCCACACCTCCTACACGCAGTAGTATTCGCTGCTAATAGCGTGATACCACGGTTGGACCACCGAACTCCAGCGCTCGTCCGTTGAGAAGGCGAGGCCCAGAGTCGACCACTCCCTGGCAGCAAGACCTCATCTTGGACAAATCCAGGTGGCACTGTACATACATAGTAGTAGTGCGTGAAGAGGTTGAGTGCAAGGAGTGCACAAAGGGGTGTGGTAAGCCAACGAAGGGGAAGGCTGGGTTGAATCACGGTGACTGGAGTTGAAATTTAGGTGTGTATACAATCAGACAGCAAACCACACACAAAAGCTGGCTGCTCCAATTGCCTGCAGTATTACTGCAAGCCCAATGAAATATGGGCCTGCTGCGCCTGTGATGCGGTCTCCAGCCCGCTCAAGCCATTTGAAACACCGAAAAACGTGACGAGCACAGAGCATGAAGAAGAGCGATTGATGAGAAGCCCTGGCCAAGCGAGTCTACGATGGCCTTCTAATTGGAGTTCTGCTTATGGCCGTCTGGGAAGAAAATGAGTACAAGAATCTGGAGACTACATCCGAAGCGGAATCAAATTCTGACGTGACGCTGGCAAGCCAAACAAATGCTGCTATCGCCGTCTGTAGGAGCAGGGAGACAAAGACAAACTAATTGTACTACACTTTGGTATGATAGCCTGTCAGCTGCGGCTGGTAACTTACAAACCGAGTAGTAAGTACGAAGGACTGGACGATCGAATACAACATTGCATGCAAGCCCCACAATACTTTGAATAAGATACGTGGCAGACCAGTAGTGCTGCATCTGATACACTTCCTGAGAATCACAGTCCACACCCTGCAGATACAAGGAATAGATAATCCAAACACCAACACGCATATATGCCGCAGGGAATAAATCATTATTGTTATCGTTCCTTCCGCCGAGGCGTCCCTGGAATCTTGCGTGGTGTTGCACCAACTCCGGGTGGCAGCCCTGTCAGCCGTCGCTCGCCCGCAAAACCACCACCTTCCTTTACCCGTTGCACTTCTCGGACAGCACGCCGTGCAGCGTCCCCAACTTTGGCTGGCGGACGGTCCATATCTACTCGTGATAGCGCACGGAAAAGATCTTGTTGGTCTTCAGGTGGATGTTGGCTCAAGCCTCTCTGTATCGGCAGATGCGACGAAAGGGAAGAACTTTGTGATGAGGGAGGAAGAGAGCGCGATCGGGTCGAGAGCGCCAGTGACAGCAAAGAGAATCGATAGTCAAGTTCTGACTCAGCTACGTTTGTCGTCTGAACTGCAGAGTGGACAAATGAGAACAGACTGTCCACCTTAAAGTGGACACCCGCTATTCGTTCGTCGAGGATACTCCTCGACTCTGATCTCACGTCAGACATTATGCGTTTGATGAGATCCGGATCAATCTTCTCTCGAAAAGCGTCCGAAAGTTCGTCCTCACGAGGTAGCAGCCACCCCCAGTCATCCGGTGGCTCTTGTGAAGCGGCTCGTTGTTTGCCTTTCGCTTTAGCAGACGAAAGGGGCTGCAGAACTTGGCGTCGTCTCTCCAGATCCGCCTTAGAGTTGGTGATATAAGAGTTGTAAAAGTGGTCGACTTGAGTCCACGCATCGGCCTCTGCTGATGCACTGTGCAGCGGATCAATTGTTAGTTGCTCATGACTGTGGATGCAGACTAACAACGAACCGCTCGATATGCTCGCGAAATTTGATCTCCCGCTCTTTATTTTTCACATTCTGTTCATTTGGCTTCAAATTTCGTTCGCCATCAGCCAGCCCGTCTAGACCATGGCTATACACAGGCGTATCGATCTTCTTCTCCGCAAGCATGCGAATGAAGTCGTCCTGTACGGTCTTCAGAATTTGCTTTCTGCGTTCGTCAAGCGGAGGTGGATCTTTGCCACTTCCGCTACTTGATGCTTTAGATTTTGACTGGGACTTTAAGCTTGAAGAAGATGCTTCAGATATTCTCGTCATAGCTCGAGCAGCCGACCAGACGAGTAGCTGACGTGCACGTTGCGGATCAGGGAGGTCGCAGTCGATGTGTTTATAGAAGCTCGAATCAGATACAGTAGCATGTGGTTGAGCTAAGAAAATGATTAGAACCCGCGCGTGGACATGTAGGAGAAAAACAAAGGTGGTTTGATAGAGGGGGAAGACATACTGATTACACCTGTGTTTTCAAAACTTGTGCTTATGCGCTTGCCGCGCGCGCTCATTGACGTTCGTCGAGAGTGTTGGGGTGTCCTTTGTGGGGTACGCGGGGGAAGGGACACTCCTTCACGGAGTAATTTATTGCGCTCTATTTGTGGGGTTTCGCTGTCGGGTAGTGGATGAAGCGCATCAGAAGGGTATCGCTGAGAGGTGTGTTTAGGTGTAGAGGGAGGGAATTTGAATGAAGAATCGATTGCATCTTTGGCGCGTGACCGCTGACGAAGATGAACGGTCTCAGATTCCATCTGCCTGATGTCCTCATCCAACTCTGGTTCCTCACGCGTTGAAGATGGTACATCGCGTGGCTTGGCACTGGTAGGTGCGCGTGACGAGTCAGCTTTAAACCTCTTAGCTGGCGGCTTGGAAGGTCCAGCTATGGAGCTGGAGGGAATGGGTTGCGAAAGAGACGAGGGAAGACGAGATGGTACTAGGGTAGTTGTGGTCGATGGCTGGGAAGACGGGTAATTGTTCTGTGGAGTTGTAGGACGCGATATCGGCGCGCGTACAATGACAAGCCCACCTGGCTGTTCCTCGCCAATGTCTACACGCGATTTATGAGTACTTCACGCGACTTGCCTTCAAACTCTCACTCACACTTTCGTTTGGACGCGCCGTTCGGCTGTGACGCATCGTTCAATAAAGAAAGTGCCCACATTAATCGAATAACATACCTTTGGCCTCTTTGCTGCCTGTATAAGTGGATTAACATCATCAACTGCTTTCCGCTTTCCTGGTGGTTTGGGGTCTGCGGATGTCATTGGGTTTTCGAGTCCTCCAACAGCGTGTGTAAGGGTCCTGTTCATGAATTTCCGTCAAAGTATATAGGAGTTCAAGGTCGTAGACGTATATTTGTTCGTCGTTGCCGTTGATCCCGGCGTCGGCGTCGGCGACGATGATCAACGGGGGAGGGAACCTACAGTAAGCGGAGTTTGAATAGCAAATTCCCACGTGAGACTTTTGATCAACAAACGGAGTGTGATCACTGATGTCTTTATCTATATTGTCACGTCACACCAGGTACAACACAAATTACACAATGTAACTATATGGCTTTTCACTTCATACGTCTGGCTCCGAATATACCAGTTCCCACTCTGACAATGTGGCTACCAGCTCGTAAACCTGCCTCAAAATCAGCAGTCATACCCATACTGAGCAGGAGTTTTTCGTTGTCCCCCCATCTCCCATTGAACGCTGGATTGCTTCGAAGCATCCCTTCTAGTACATCTCTGGTCTTTTTGAGCGTCTCAAAATCTTGATTTGGTCGTTCCGATGATGCCAGAGATTCCGTCTGTGAGCCAATAGTCATCAGCCCCTGGAAATGTAGCTTGGGACAATGTTCAATGATGTAGCAAGCAAGCTTGAATAGCGGGGAGTCGGCGGCTTCAGCTTCGGTATCCACATATTGCAGTCCCGACTTTTGGATTTCCCCAGACGTGTTGACTTGCAAGAGCATGTTGAGAGGCGTCTTGCGGTCAGCGGGTATAGCACCGTTGTAGATATCAGCATCTTCGATGCTAGTCAAACTCTGGATGGCATGAAGATTTGACACCACTGATTTTTAGAATGATCATCACAGTACGAATCGGGATAAACTTAAATGTACATACTTGTAAGTTCTCTCATCCTTGCTTGCCTCCGAAAATCGTCTCCTTCTGTCTTTTTCATCACACCTATGAAGTGCCATCGAAGGCTTTCAAGGTCTGCCAGCTATCAATCGCGAGTCGGTCCTTTCTCGTTCACCATGTAGAGGCAAGTACTAACCTTTTTCGCCTTGTTCACTAGATCTATATCAGAATTTTCTCCGAAATCCCTTTGGCCTTCCTCATAACAAGCACGAGTCATCCATGCCGGCTTGGTCTTTGATACAGCTACCAGTGTCGGAGCGTGAGATAATGACTTCGAAGCTTCCGCGAAACAAATTTTGGTTTCAGCGAGGTTCTGCAAAAGCTCTGCCCGCCGCTCTGGAGTCGCTTTATCTGACGTTGTCGAAGCCATTCTAGTCTTATAAAGAATTGACGGTGCCCGGAAGATGACCCTGGGGCGGAGCATAGGGCTATATTATAAAGTAACGTCACGATGCAAAAGGCAACTCACGTAATCATCGGTGGTATTACCGTGCACCAGGCCACAAGTGGGGCCGTCACTACTGCAGCGCCTCATGCAAACTTCATCTCCGAATTCCTGCACAGTTTTTACAAGTAGCACCCTCAACTATGCTAAAACTTCAGGAGTACACCGCATGGATATCGGTTGATGGCCAGCCGTTGGATACTTACGCGGTGGAGACATCTCTGGCGACCAGCGAAGTCACATGCTGGATCCCGTCTGAAGCTGGCAAGGTGCGTCACCTTGGCGTTGTTAGCTCATCATATCTGATGATGGGCGCGCTCAGGAGTTTTCTGTGCATTGTCAAAACACTTCTGCCCCTGGCCTCGATACCATTGGTGCATTCGTCTATATTGATGGACAGGGGTGCCACGGTAACTTGTTCGAGCGCTGGAACGTGAATCATACTGTCAAGTTCAGTCACGCATTTGTTTCGGATAGGATCACCAAGCCTTTCGTATTCTCAACTGTCCGACTGACAGGTATTTCTACACGTCGTAGTTTATTGGTTCAGTGCCTCACTGTTGTCCAGATGAAGATGAATTCGCGGATACGTCATCAGCCGACTTAGGACAAATCCAAGTCAGAGTTTGCAAAGTGGCACTCGGCGAATACTACGATCCTGCCCAGAACCAGCTTCAAACTGAACACAAGGTGCACGAGCGGTCGAAGAAAGCAGTGACACACTGTGTTGGGTAAGCCGTGTGGGATGCGCAGGTCATCTAACTGAACACTGACTACTCGACACACACCTCATCCTAGACTTGGTAGGGAAACTATGATCCCACAAACAATGTTGCGCAGGTCACAGTGCATTGGTCAACCTCTCGCAAAATTCACATTCAAATACAGAGACCGAAGTTTGTGTTATGTGTTTTACTCCTTACTGCGTTCACAGCGTCTCTGGTAGATCTTTTGAAGGCCAACGGAATTATAACAGTGCCAGCACCCCTGAAGCGCAAGGCATCGCAGGAAATCATTGACCTCACTGTTAATGACGTCCAGGCAGGGAGCAGCAGATCCAATGATCCAGTCCGAGGAGAGCACAACAGAACAAAAGAGACAGAGCACAGGAGCAAGAAGGTGAAGCAAGAACAGAAGCCCGGTGTATTCGTAGAAGTCATTGATTTGACGTAGCTCGTGTGTTGCACGAGTTAAGACAATGGAGATTGACGGCTATTTAAATAGTAAGTGTGCCATCGCTGTGGATCACTTCGTTACTTTTTCAGCCGTTTTTTTCCGTGCTATTTCTGCACAGCGTTTTTGATCATGTATGACTTCTTCTCGCAGGTATCAAGGGTCACCAGTCATTTGATCAAGGCTTGTCATGCACGTTCCATATCATTAAAAATCTGGCTGGGGAGACTCAGCACAGAAACTTTTCCAGTTTGTGAGGTGAAGCTGAGCATTCTTCGTCAGCATTGATCTAGTGCATAATAACGTAGGTGATCTCTCTCCCATTCTATCACCATGTAGCGAGGCGTTTGTGATACAAAAAAATTGGTCCCATTTTTAGGGGGATTCGACGTGTCCTTCGCCGAGGAGATCCGATGAAGTAAGACGCTTCTGACCACTTTGTTGATTCATTTTTTGATGCCCGAGATTCCACTACTGCATAGTCTATATGCCGCGCAAGTAGTCAAGTACGACCGAATTGCAACTACATGCAGTTCGAAGTTGCTTCTTGTCATCAACAGCATTGTAGCAATGTCATTGTGAGTTGTTGTTTCAGCTGTAGCTAAATGCAAGTGCTGACAATTAATTCTGCTCTCTGTGTGAACAGAGCAACCTGCGAACACATCAAATACCAACCGTCTTCCACATGCACATGTGGGTCACAGCTTAACTGCGAAAAGCTTACCTGAGTGCTAAATAAGCCACTCTCTCCGCCTGGCCGGACGATGAAATTGCACAATGCGAACTAAATCGTGAAGAAGTATGAATATGAGTTAGTTAGGTAGGCTGCGAATGATGTACTTATACCTACTCACACAATTGGCAGACTAATACGGTGACCGATCAGACAACATTTGAATGGATCTCGATTTGCCAGGAGGACTGGATCAGATCTTACCACGTCTAACACGCGTACGGTGACTTCGAAGTTGCGTCATTTTAGTTGTACGTTTTGTCAGGGTTAGCCAGCACCACTGCCTCCACTTGATAGAAGATTTTCTATTAAATAACAACCACGAACACGAGGTAAAGGAATACCGGATACTCCTCTCTCAGACACCTAAATTAGCTCTGGTTGATGCGATTGATTTACAATTGAACTAGTAGTGTTTCCCGAGCGAATGACTGGATGTCGTGCCTTGGTTTCACATACCACTATTCCAACAGTTTGGGAAATTGCCATCACCCTCCAGATATTCTCTTCTATCCTGATCTCAACCCTAAATCCGCTTCATCCTTATGTCGTTGCGCGCTAATACAAATATGAACACCAGCTTCCTACGCACAATCAGTCTCTCTTTGGCAGATAGCAAGTCTTCTTCTGCCGGACGAAAATGTCAATCACCATCAGCCATTCCCCTTCGCAAACAGGTCCCTCGTGGCTGCAGCGAGGCCGAAAAGTTTGCGTCACTTACTAATATCGGGATTGCTTCTCCTCTCCGACACGCTCACGGGTCATCGGATCATGCAGCCCCTGGTTAGTATCGTGCACTACTTGATCGTATATGAACTGAAGAATCATTTTTGCTTCTGCGCCCGGCTGCGGTTTCTTTACTTTTGGTCGCATCTGCAATTTGTCTACAGATATCTACCGCGGTCGCAGCATCAGCCTGTTCGTGCCCCGTGGCGCAGCAAGGGGTTTTCCCACTGGCAGTGAATCTACTACCCTACCCTACAATGCGGACAATCTGCGCGCCATGACATGTAGTTTGTCTTTTCGGGACATACACGACATTTCCTCTATGACTGTCATGCCCGAGATCACTAGCCCGGCTTCGTCCCTGTCCTACAGCGCACTCGACATGCTACTTAAGGGCAAGGCCGCTTCAGACGCAAGCGTTCCATTCGCCCCTTACTCTAAAGAGGCTAAGGAAGAAACTTCAAGAGTAGCCGAAGTTTCCCATCCTTATCCCCTCGTCATGACAAACCCCAGCACAAACAGGCACTCTTTAAAATCCCTTACGAACCCTGCGGGATCAAAAGGGGTTGACCAAACAATCGAAAAGACACGCCTCCCATCTATCTCATCATGCCCATCCATCGAATCGAGCAGTAGCTCGTCCTCCAGTGACTCGAGCTTATTGTCGCCGATAGCCCGGCGGCGGCGTTCCCCATCTCCAGAATCCCGACCAACAATGGTCATCCAGAGCACTCTCTCAACACACACTCTGTCTGTTGTGCTTCCGCGTGCAATACAACCAGAAATGGTAACCGTTTCTGTCAAAAAGGGAGATAGGTTGAATATCGTGGCTGATGCATGGCACATGGAGAATGATTGTAAGCATGTACCATCTATTAAATGGTGGAGTCTCAACTCATTCTGGTGAATCTTAGGTCACTATGAGTGGCAAGTACACTTTGCGCCCGGTGACGCAGATATGCCTAGTGTCCGTGCACGGTTTGCGCCTGACGGGAAACTTTCTATCACTGTTCAACGACGCGCTCCAGGGCAAACCTCAGGCTATGGTAGGGGACCACTGGGAACCAGGTTCTGAGAATGCAATCACACTAGGCATATGTTATTTACTTTATGCAATACCACAGCGTAGCATGACCACACCTACTACTATACGTTCTCTCACTAAATCATAGTCCTGTATTATAGATCTGCCTTGGTGCATAGGGGTATTTCCCCATTTGCGAATCATTATGTTCCATCCAAGGTTCTTCTTCCTTCTTCTACTAAATTCGTTTCGCGACAAGCCCGACTTGGCACCAATCTTGACCTGCTCCCTAGGTTGACGGTCCAAGAGCTTCAATATGGTGCAGACCAGGGTCTCTGTTAGACGTGGGCGACGTTCACCAGAACCTCTTCAAGCGCGGCGGGACTCGGATAGTGACGATTCAGATTCCAGCTCGAACACGTCATCCAAACCTGGAAATGTATCAGAACTTGAAATGCGCTCCTGTCAAGGCTCAAACGCGGAGTTCGCGCACAAATGTTGCAAACACCTCGAAGACTGTCACCGCAATAAGACGAAAGGGAAAACTCGAGTTGTCACCATCTATGAACATGGTCATATTGTGCGGTGTCACGGTGCTAGGTGAGCAAAAGGTAGTCTGGGTTATGCTATGAATCTATGACGGTCCGAGTCAAGTCGTACTACCGTCCTCGCATGCGCATGTTGCTTACATGAACTATAATGCTTAGATATTGAGTTTCCTGCGTCCTATGGACTTTCTGAATCTCTCGCGCATCACCAAGGCCTTTCGAAGTTTACTCGTCCGAATGTCCTCTGCGTTCATTTGGCGAGTAGTCTCCCCTAGTCAGACCATGTAGAAGGAAGACATTCGTTCTATTTGGCGAGAAGCTCGTCGATAGATTGCAAACTTTCTTAATTGCCCAGCTGATTTGAGCGATCCTCAATAAGTACGCAAATCTGACTTTTTATCCTCATTGTCATGTATGTGCTTCATGAATAACACTCCAGCGTGACTCGGGCTAACCGACTTTTGAGGGGTGCGGAAAAGGAGTCAGGTCTGTTATCTGGCCACTTAAGGTCAGACATGTCGGAAAATCTGGTATGCGTCTACTATAGAGACCCCGTTCCCAATCACTCAATTATTGTGCTCACATAGCTGAACTTTTAGAACGATCACTTGGTCAGAAATTCACAATTCGGGTCCACCATGCAAGATTGAAAACGGTTCGCCATATAGGCAACAGGTGTCAAGATGAGCACTAGTGCACGCTAAGTTCAATTCGTACGTGTTGCTGTAAATTGATCGGGTTTCAGGTAAACTGGTGCTGCTGTGCTTGAGATCATAGTTTGAGGGGCTCACACGCGATCTTTCCAGCAAGAACAAAAAGGACCGACAGCTTATCATTCAGCAAGGCAAAGCCTCAACTCAAGCGATCGAAGAGATGCATATCTTGTTATCGTTGTATGAAGTGGTAATTCAGCTGATATCTAAAGTAAGCGAAATTGTATGTCATATGCGAAATGGAAGCTGCGCATGACCACAAGGAAAGACTCAAGGATATAAGTATACACGTAAATGAGATTCAGTTCTATCTTGCTGCTTTCATTTCGGCATTCATCACCCCCTCGAGACAGGATCATGTCGTGGGTGAATTCCAATTTCACCAGAGATTGCAATGGTTTCGGAAGAAATTTGTTTGAGCATCCTGTTTTTAAGGGAACCAAGCCACTGACGCCAAGGTGTAAGTTGCTTATCGTGTATGTTGGCCTTGCTAATAGCTGGTTTGGCAGCAAGGATTCGCGTTCGGCAAGTACTCACCAATTACATCTATGAGCTGAGTAAATGGCTACCTTCGTCTATCCAACGCGCTGCGATATATTGGAAACTGCCTAGTACCGACAATATTTGTAAGACAGAGCTTGGTAACGCGACTCGGATGAGCCAATACCGGATTGGTGCTTTCTCACTGCATTAAAGGGATTCGAGGACATCATCAAGGTTCCTTTCAGAGATGATATGTTTTCTTCGGCTCTCGCCAAGCTTCGAAATCCTGCCTCCGTTACGGAAGAAAGCGGAGCTCAAGCTCTCCGCGTTGTATCTATTGCTCACATCATCAAGATCAACGGGGACGGTCACGACTGTACTTTCCTTAGACTTGGGTTGGCTGGTAGCTCATTCTTCCTTACAGACGAGGATTGTTCTTCGCCACGTGTTCTTTTAACCTGGAAGCACCGTCGGTGCTGGATGACGCCTGTGTTCTCGAAATGGAATCCTGGGACATTACATGGGGATCCCGAATTTCTCGTTGCCAGAGCGCTGCTGCCATAGTTAGCCACTGCGAATTAGACCCCACTAGATTGCTACCCCCGATGGTATGGAAGCCCAGAACGTCCTCATTCGCTGCTCTCAGTGCCATTCGACGCATTCTGATGCCATGAATGGCAAACAGCTGTATGACATTATTATTATTGTTATTATTGACTTCTTCCTGGTTTTCATTACATTTCTGAAATGAAATGTAGATTATGCATGCACATCATCTTTGCCACGGCGACACCTCATTTGCGGTCCAGGGAGCGTAAAACGTTGTTCTGCAAATGCGCGGCATTTAAGTGGATGATAGAAGACTAATTCCCTGCACATACTTAGTACGTCAATTTACTTATCAGCTCTCTTTCGTCCAGGCCTAGGATTTTCATCCTTTCATTGCTCAACCTAGCACCGACGATCCCCTTAGCAACATATTATGGATTCGCAACAAATCATACTAGGCGACTTTTAGAATCCTAGATTTTGTTTCAAACCTGAGAAGTCGTCGCACCTCGTCGCAATCTAGAAATGCTTTCCAAACTGCAGACCAATTGTACCTAGATTCTAATGTGCAGTGTTGAGGTGTCAAAAGGCATGTAAGCGATGGTCACGACTCACAACATGGTCATGAAGTTTGCAAGACTCGTGTTTAGGACATGTTTTGGACACCATCTGAACCTCCCCCCTTCTAGGTATCACTTTTAGAACTGGGTGTTTTTGATATGCGGACTTGCAAAACACTGACGTTTGACGGCGGTACGTCGGGACGAGGACTTTAGAACATAGATTTATATTCAGAATGTCGTTCTAAACGCTGCAGGAAGGCATCGATTCATCCGCTGTTTTATTTCACAACCTTGCGCTCGACCAGGAGTCGAATGAGTTGCTCGATCGAGTTAGATTACTACATACTACATACTACTAATACACTCGAGTTGGTGACCGCAAAACATGCATTAAATTACTGTGTTTCCTGAGGGTGAGCAACCAACTTCACTCCAGACACCTGTCCCATCCCCACCCTTTCCAGCCCTCCAATAACACCTTCGAGCCCATTCGGAAGGATTTCATGGTTGTTCGGCTACATAAATGTGAGACATAGATGCAAGTCGGCAATCGCGGAACAAACCTGAATAATACCCTCTAAGAGCCACGTTTCGACCATAGCCCAGGAGTTGCAGAATAGCTCGTGAGTGTACGGGAGATGCGGGTCCCCGTTGATGTAAATGGTCTTGTGCCCCTTGCCTTCATCTTCCTTGACTGATGCAGGAAGGGTTAATACAATGATGCCATTTTGCGCCAGCAATCTCCATTCAACGGACTGTGTTTCTGGCAGCGAGATAGCGTCAAAAACGATCCTGAAAGGACTATCGATTACTTTGCCAATGGCCGCCACTAGCTGGTTGCCGGAAAGATGCCAGTCAAAAAGGTGAGTTGCGCCGTAGTCCCTGACAAGGTCTTCATTGCTAGGGAATGCTGTAGTAACAACAGGATCGAATCCTGAAAAACGAGCCAGTTGAATGGCTGCAACACTGTCAGGATACGGTCGAAGGGGCGAGTCCCACCCCGCTTGCTGTATGAACCCACAGAAGACGAGCCGTTAAGTATGACGAGACTTCCGTACAAGCCCACTACTGCAGTATCCAACCCCAGAGGAACGGTAGCTGCGCTATCGAAAAATTGCTTTGAAGGAATCTGGGATGGGATATAGCCGGTGATGCAATCGACCGTCTCAAGACTTACCTTTGCAGTGAGCGTCGCAACGGTCAGCGCGTACTGCTGAAACGCACCTTGATCGATGATAGGGAAACTTCCATGCGCCAATCTGTCAATCAAAGTTGAGCCTATTAGACTAAGAGGAAAGAATGTCTAACACTTTATCGCCTTTGCAAAAATTCTCAACACCTTCTCCTACTAGTTCTTCGACAATGCCAGCGATGTCCACGCCCAAAATGACAGGGTAGTGGGTCAAAAATACTCCAGTGTTACGTATCATGTAGTCAACTGGGTTCAGGACAGCAGAGTGAATCTTGACCAGGAGCTGCCTGGTACCAGGGCTAGGGATGCTGCGAGAGCCGACTTTGAGGTTGGCCCGCTTTTGGGGAAAAATAAGAGCTTTCTGTTGCTGAGGCATAAAATATGGAGGTACAGTGACTCGAGGTCTTCTGACTCTCAGGTCATCGCACTTGCTACCTATATGATGATAATCTGGAAAGTCTGGATGAGCAACTTAGAAAGGATCATGTGGATAATGTAAGTAGACGACGCCCGTCATCATTTGAAGATATGTTGTCCCCATGTTGATCACAAGCACTGCCCAGGAGAACATCATGACCTATAGTTTATGCCTTGATGCGGCCGAGCAAGGCTAGTCTCCCCTAGATACCGACAGTCGGATCATAGACCAACCAAAAACGAATGGAAGTCCCTTCTGGGTTGCAACTCGCCAGAAATGGAAAGAGTTTCGCGTACTAGGTGTTCCGCAGTGTGTTGGCTGGCAACAGCACGCATGTTACTTACTGCAAGTAGAGTAGGATGCGGTCAACATTAATGCTAACTAACATGCATGATCGATTTCCACTATCCTTACTTGGCCTCGCGTTGATGCCTTTGGTCTCCGGACGGATAGACAACTCGTCATGGTCAAGAAGCGGAATGTCCAACTACGAGATATCCGTACGTACCAGTCATTCATGGCGTCGCGTCTTGCGGTGCTCAGATATTACTTCTTTCTACAGTCCCTCGCGTCTTCTCCCTCGATAGGTATGTCTTCCGCGTTTATTTGGATCGCTGGTTAACCATTTTGCGCTCTCTGACCTAGACAAGTGTCCACCTTGCTTTAATTGTCTTCTTCCAGCGTTCACCTGCGGACAATTTGGTCACTGCGATGAATACAATGGACAGTGTAAATGTCCTCCAGGCTGGGGTGGGATAGACTGTTTGCTTCCCCGTAAGTCATCAGCCCAGCGCCGTTTGGACGCCGATCATCTATATTCTTTTTAGAGTGCGGTTCCCTTGCAGATGGCGTTGAGAGGCCGCTCCGAGAAAATGAGCCATGTCAATGTAAAGAGGGCTGGGGGGGTATAAATTGCAATGGTACGAACCATTCTGCATCGTAATGTGTCACCACCATTCAACATAATCGACTTCCGCTAGTTTGCAAGACCGACGATGCCTGCATTGACTTTCCATTAGCCGGCAGTATCCATACCGATATGTTAGATGAAAATGTCGCAAACATGACTTGTTACACGGGCGGCGAGACTGTCTTCAACAATCACCAAATGTGTGACATCACTAGTACGCCCTCGGAATGCATCGACCTGCCGTATACTAATCTTGGTAGACCGCAAGATCTTGGACATGCTCCCCGACCGTCCCCCACAAGTCACATTCAGTTGCGATAACTCCAGTGCGACATGCAGCTTTCAGTTCTGGACCGCACAACAAGAATCCTTTTATTGTGCGCTGGACACGTGTTCCTCTACGGCCCAACCAGGATACGACACGAACACTACGATCTATGCATGTGAACATATCAAATGTAAATGCATCCCTGACAAGTTCCTTTGTGGAGAGGATGGAAGTGTCGGTAAGGTTATACTGTAACTCACTTTGAACTTCTAGTAATATGTCGTCATAGATATCAGCGACTTCTTGACAGAAGAGATCCGTGGACCTGCAACTTTTAGCTGTAAGACTGCTGCTGGATGCAGGTTTGAGGAGCCCGCTATGAACAATTTAATCAACGATATCTTCGGCGATGCATACATCACCCTCGATTGTGCAGGTGGAGAATGCTTGCATTACTCTCAAGTTCCTGGGTTCCATGTGCGTAGAGTAATTGAGTTGACGCGTTCGTGTCCTCACAACCTCATAGCCCATACCTAAACCTGACAACACAAAATGGATTGCCCTGAGCTCTGCCGGTGCAGGTTTGATTGTTGTCCTTACTGTCGCGATCCTTTGGTACGTCGGTCGATCGCGCAGCGGTGGTGACTTCGGCAAAATCAGGCTGCCGGAAAACGAAGCTTCGAAGCTCATGACAGACCATGTCCCTGCATCCCTCCATTTTTCGAATATATCTTACTCCCTTGGCAGTCGCATGATCCTTGACAAGATTTCTGGGGCCGTCAAGCCGGGTCAAGTCATGGCGATCATGGGTGCATCCGGCGCGGGTAAATCTACCTTCCTTGATATCCTCGCTCGCAAGCGTAAGATGGGCCAAGTGAGCGGCACGACACTCGTCAACGGGCGAGAGGTCGCGGACACGGAGTTCAAAAAGGTGGTGGGCTTTGTGGATCAGGAGGATACATTAATGAGCACGTTGACGGTGTATGAGACCGTGCTGTATTCTGCGCTATTGCGGCTCCCGCGAGAGATGAGCTTAGAGGCAAAGAAGTACAGGACACTTGAGACAATGAACGAACTCGGTATCCTGGGTATCAAGGACTCGAGAATTGGTGACTCTGGTACGCTTGGTGTCTGCTCGGGTTAAGGGTCCATACTAATGTTGTGCAGGACGCCGGTCAATATCTGGAGGCGAAAAGAGACGCGTCTCGATAGCCTGTGAATTGGTCACTAGCCCTTCGATATTGTTCCTAGACGAGCCTACAAGCGGTAGGGTTATACTCTGACGAATGCCAATAAGCTGACATTATACAGGATTGGACTCTTATAATGCCTTTAACGTTGTCGAAAGCCTGGTGACCCTTGCACGCGATTACAATCGGACCGTAATCTTCACTATTCACCAGCCTCGCAGTAATATTGTTGCCTTGTTTGATCATCTTGTCCTCCTCGCCCAGGGGAAAATGGTGTATTCCGGAGAATTCGCCAAATGCCAAGAGTACTTTGCTAGCATCGACCAGCCATGTCCACCAGGCTTTAATATCGCGGATTATCTCAGTAAGTAGTCTCATGATTCTACGGTACTGCGCGACTGACTTCTGCTATAGTCGACCTAACAGTGCATGCTGGACTTGAACCACGAAGCCCAGATTCTCCTTCCAATGATGCAGTATCATCGACGTCTGGTGACAACCTTTTAGATGAGGAGCGTGCCGTTGGTGCGTCGTCTGTACGATCACATGGTCGCTCTTCCACTACGGTCGAGGAAGAAACTGAGCTTCGAACCCGTCGTGTCTCTCTCACATCCTCAATCAAACGCAAGACTTCGCAGCTTCTGGAAGCTGTCCGACGCTCACCATCTGGTAACAGCACGCTCACTCCCAAACTTACGCAGCTTGTCGAGGCGTACTCTACGAGTGAAGTTGCGCAGTCGATCAAGGCCGAGACAGAGGAAGTTGCTACTACACAGCGTGGAGCTGATGCGTCACACGCAGATGGTGAACTGCGAGACGTTGTGGTTGAAAACTCTTTACTGCGGGGTCGGAAAAGAGCCAGTTGGGGAACGCAGTTCACGATTTTGAGCGGTCGGGCATTTAAGAATCTCTACCGTGATCCGGCATTACTGGCAGCTCATTATCTATCGTCCGTCGTGCTGGCTTGTGAGTCATCATTTTTCTTGTGGTTTCATGTATTCATATGCCTTTTCTTAGTGATCTGTGGCCTCTTTTTCCATGACGTCAGCAACGACATCGCAGGCTTCCAGAACCGGCTTGGTGAGCAGTCTTGTGATAGTTTATTTATTATTTGACTGATAGGGTTCAGGCATTTTCTTCTTCACATTGGCACTCTTCGGCTTCTCGTGCTTATCTAGTCTTGGGTTATTCGCGAACGAGCGAGTCCTCTTCATGCGTGAAAGGTAGCGAGATTCTGTCAAAACATGTTTCCCACATTCATTCTATATCACAGAGCAAACGGCTACTATTCGACATTCACTTACTTCTCTTCGAAGGTAACATAATTTGATTCATATATTATATTTTCTAATTTAACCCTTGGCCAGGTTTTGTTTGATATCCTGCCACTCCGCTTAGTGCCTCCAATTGTCTTTGGTGGCATTGTTTACGGCCTAGTTGGTCTCGTGCCCACAGTTCCGGCTTTTTGGAAGTTCATGTTGACGCTCGTGCTGTTCAATTTGACGACAGCAAGCGTTATCCTTTTATTGTCGATAGCATTTGCCAGTTCCAGCGTGGCGAGCTTAGTTGGCACCTTGGTCATGCTTTTCAAGTGAGCTATCTACATATCTAAATACTGGCCATGTTTGATTGATAATCATCACAGCCTCCTCTTCACAGGCCTCCTAATCAACAGGGACACTGTCACACCTGCCTTGCAGTGGTTGCATACCGTTTCATTCTTCCATGCTGCTTTCGAGGCGCTTGCTGTGAATGAACTGAGATACCTACAATTAAAGGAGATCAAGGTAATGTCGATGATACAATCTTTGTTTGTCATCTAACGTGTTCGCTTCAGTACGGTGTTGAGTTGGACGTTCCCGCGGCTACCATTCTTTCAATATTTGGTCTTAGAGCTCAGGTGGGTAATAGATGCCTATACTGTCGTATATGTGCGCTAATGTTCTGGTTAGTCATTTTGGTGGCCGAACATATCCCTGCTTGGTATTTTCTTCGTAGTATTTACAACCGCGAGCTTCCTCATGCTGCATTTCTTCGTCAAGGAAAGACGGTGAACGTCATTTCTTGCGTATGCATGGTTCCGTTGGTGGAGGACAATATAATAGTATATCTCTTACATCGCCTCACTCATTTCGTATTGTATGATTACTACGATAACAATATTTTTTTTCAGCGTTGCAGGACAGAGGCTTGTGTGATGAGTTTGGTGTATCGCTTGCATTGGTATCTGTGTTCGTAAGTGAATTTTGACTAGTCTAGCGAAGCTCCATGTAGGTGGTTTTCCGAGGAGCAATTAAATTTGCTGACCTGTAGACGCGACTGGGCAATTGTTACCGACGTTCCTTGAGTGAACTGTATAGCCTGACGGGGAGTCACGATTTACAGTGGTTGAGAGATTAGTCCGTATCTCGAAGCTTTTTCTGTAAGAATGCTCAGCATCCCCCGGGCAATAAATAAATAGCGCTACCCAGGCCTTGTGTATACTGAGGACATCAATATTTCACAATTTGGTCGTGTTGATCCGGAAAAACGACGGAAAAACCACTCTTCCCTACCTGGGCCCTGCATGCAGTCATGAATTATTAGGTCGATAGCGCAATTAAAGCCTTCAAACCACGGCGTGTGTATTTCGAACGAACGCCGTCAACCACTGGGAACAAATACATATGCCGCTGAGATCGAGCCCTTGGCATTGAGGTGTACGGCGGAAAACGTTCTTAATAACCGGGGAGGACTGCTGAATGGCAACGAATCAGTATGATTGCTCCTACTATGACCTTGTTAATACTGGAGTGGTGATCAAATGACTGATAGGAGGATGGAGTGCTAGCAAGCTCCACAG